AGCAGAGGGCACCAGGCTGTGTGTTGTCAACTGGAGAAAAAAATGGAGACGAGAGGTCCGGAGCAGAGCTGACCGAAAGTGGGGCAAGTTAACAGGCTATATGGCAGAGTTACGCGAATTTTAAGATGCCGGTGGTATATTCAGTGGAGGCATCAAACATTGCATGCATGGATGTATTGGATGGCAGTGAGGATGATGTTCAGTGGGAGGAGCCGGCAGGTGTAGCAATCTGATGGTACACCCCGCAGCAGCATGAGAGTGAGTACAGCGAGGCAGAGGGCATCTGAATTAAAGCCTCCTTTGACTTTTAATTTCACATGTCAGCAAAGTTATGATAGTTTGTATTAAAATAGTATTTTTGCTCAGTATTTGTTCTCAAATTTAGAATAAAAATTGTTTATTTAAAAAGTTTTTTTTTTTCATCTTTTCCTGGAGATTAGTCTTGGAAAGGAGGGGTCGTCTTATAATTGGTGTCATTCTATATTCGGACCAGTATATTAGGGTCAGTATGGTAAATTTAACCAATTTATACACAATTTGAAAAATAAATGGCTCGTTATACATTTATATTGAAACGTATATGTGTTAATATAACTTTACTTCATGTGACGTGACCTCCGTGTGAGCCGCTGTCACATATGTGTCACATGTCACGCATAAGTCTTTGACCAAGGAAGGACATCGTCTTTTTAAGCAATGCGTCTAACCTTTGCTAGACCAGGCACCTTGACATTGAGAAACACCCTTTGTATCAGAGCTACAGCACCACACACACAGACATGGCAGTTACTTGTTTGTTTAGTTTTCATTTGGATAAAGATATTTATAAAAACAACTCAGTCTTTATGAGGAGAATTTTAGAAGGTCCTTTTGCATAAAAGTGTCTGTCCAATGCATAAACATGAATAACAAATAAAAGGATAGTTTTTAGAAAGCTGTTTTAATGTGGACAAGGCCCGAGTTTTCACTTGAAAGAGCGGATTGAAGTTTTTATTCTAAGTTATTCATGATTGTTAATTATTGGCTTTCCATTGTGTGAAACAGATTATTAAATCGGATCAGTAATACTTCAGTCAGCTACTCAAACACAAAGTTGATAGAACTGAATTATCCTTTGAGATTGTTTATTTTCCCGGAGAGATCTAAAGGCTGTGGGCTGAAAACAAATGCTCTTCTGAACATCTAACGAAACTTGGAGAAAAACACTAACTTAATTTGTTTGGGAAGTTAAGTTAGTTATAAGTTAAATATATATATATGTATATATATATATATATATATATATATATATATATATATATATATATAGTGGGGCAAAAAAGTATTTAGTCAGCCACCGACTGTGCAAGTTCTCCCACTTAAAATGATGACAGAGGTCAGTAATTTTCATCATAGGTACATGGATTAATCCATGAGTACTCTGGATATAGAGTATCCAGAGTACTCATGGATTATTTTTCACATTCTGTCTCTCACAGTTGAAGTGTACCTGTGATGAAAATTACTGACCTCTGTCATCATTTTAAGTGGGAGAACTTGCACAATCGGTGGCTGACTAAATACTTTTTTGCCCCACTGTATATATATATAATTTATTTTTTACTTGTATATTCAAATTTATATAAAATATATACATAATTTGTACACTTTTCTTAAATGTTTAATCTTCCCACTGTCCTAATGGGTGTGACCCCACGAGGAAAAAAGACCATTGAGCAGGAATGAGGGTTTATCCCTTGGGTCCATGTGGCAGGGGTGAGGAGTGAGCACCACCTCACCCCTGCCACATGGACCTCAAGGGATAAACCATCAATCCTGCTCAATGGTCAACTTTCCTCGTGGGGTGACCCATAAAGACAGTGGGAGGGTTAAAAGTTGAAGGGTTTGCAATAGGGATGTCCCGATACAGCTTTTTTTCACTTCTGATCCGATACCGATATTGTACCTTTCAGTATTGTCTGATACTAATATCAATCCTATATGATATCAACACAAATCATACATACTTTTACCTATTTCATAGCGTGGAATGTATAAAAGGCTTGATCAAGTGATTTTACTCAAACAGAAAACTAAAGCCTGTAACAGCAAGTATAAAAAAAACTGACCAATTTTTTATTAACCTTTGGTTGCATAAATGTGAACAGCTGAGGTTAGGGACATAAGGAAAACACACAATATTGTTCACTGGCCAAATGCTACAAGTTGAGTGTGTAGTTTCATTTTCACACACTGCTAATATTCTCATGGAATGTTTTGTGATCCTGCTTTAAATGCACAATGAGGTCGGACATATTAATCTTCCCTGGTTCTGTTCCACCACGGGAAACTTGTGCATGACAAGTGTTGCACTGAGCCAAACTGTCTGACTTTAACGAAAAACAAAGCCAAATGGCCGACATTGTTCCTTGCTACTTTGCTAGCACACACTGTTCTGATCACATGGACTTTGCATGCAGGATCTGGACGCTGACGGATAGAATTACTGGAATGGAATTTAAAGCGGAAAGTACAGCTTATATTGGAAATTTTTGATGCAGTCTGACATAATCTGATACAGTGTTTTGGGGCCGATATCTGATATCGGAACGGCACATCCCTAGTTTGAATAATGTGATATTAATTAGTTTGAAATGTTCTAATTCTAATTGTACAAAATATGCCTTTTTAATAACCAGATTAAGTAAAAAGAGTTTTTGTGAAAATGGTCAATTTAGAATAAAAATAAATAAAGTTTAGGGCATTTTGATGAGTCAGTAAGACATTTTTTTGTTAAGTTTAAAAGCTACAGATTCAGTCTGAGCTGCAGAGCTCCTCTGTGGCAGGTCAGTCATCAGGAAAGAAAGTCACAGCCTAAACCGGTGTTGAACTCAGATTTTAAGAGAGAGCGGATGAACGAGCAGCAGCTGGTTTCCACAGAGATATGGAGACGAGCAAGGAGGCAGAGCTGGCTGCTGTTCAAAGAGGGCAGTGAGCACAAAAAGCTGCAGACCTGAAGCAAACACAGTGCAGAGAAATTACTGAAAGCTTCCCTGGACAACAAAGAGCAGTCGGCAGCAGCACAGTACTTCAAGGAAAATGTTTGAAGGCTGAGAGGGTGTGCACACTGCAGAGATGACTGGTGATTTGCTTAAAGGTGAGAGGGAGAACTCTAGGGTGTCCTCGTTTGGAAAACAAATACAAAGGTAATCCCAACATGACTACAAACAAGGAGATTAACATAAAAGGAAAACACTGAAATAAAGGCGCAAGATTTGTTAACCTGCTGAGCAAAGTTTGGGAACCTGCAGTGCGTTCACATTTATTCTGGTGGAGAATTTCAGAGCAAGCATCAGGTGCTAATTTTGATTTTCTGCATCAAATAAAAATAAAACAGATCAATGAAGTAAGCAGTTCTGGTATTTACAGGAACATTTTCATCCTGTAGTTCAGCAGCAACAATGCCAAGACTAACAAATTTGACCTGCTGACAGGAAACGAGCAGGTACAAATACGGTTTCAGTTATTTTTGTCGGTTGCCATTGAGGTTGCTCTAAGGGTTAATTTTTCTCCCCATTTTGCTCTGGCAGAAGACAATCCTCTTTATCTTTTCTCCTTTCACTGTGTTAATTTGCTGTCACCCGCTGTTATTATAGACTAATTGTGCTTTACGGGTTCCGGTGCAATTTGAATGAATTGCTTTTCTTATACGAACTCTGCTCTTTTTCCAATCATTATTCAGACATTGGAATTATTAACATTAATATTCATTCAGAGACTTCAGAACAACTTAAAATATCACAAGTGAGTGAAGCCTGAAAGTAACTTCTTACAATAATCCCTGCAGACAAATTGTGATTAGGAGAAAATGTTTCAACTCACAAGATTAAAGGAACAAAATGTTGTAAAGTGTTGCACAGCTCAATCATTTGCAATAGTTTTCACGTGTTCTACCTCACAGCTTCTCTGGACTTTTAGAAGTTTTGCATCAGATGCATCTAACTTTGGAGTCAGTTCTAAAGCACAAAGTCCAGAAAATGTTGGAATGTGGCCATGTGACAATTAAGCAGCAATTATTTATAAAATATATAACAAGTGACTTTGCATTGTGTTACATTCTGCTTCATTTCTCAAGGGCTCTTGCCTGTCTCTTTCTAACTGTCATGTAATGTTTTGGATAAATACTTGTGTGTTATTTAAATAATACAGAGAAAAAATAGTCTAAATTGTAAGAAGTGTTTTTTTTTTATTAGACTGTGTTTTCCTGTTTGATTTGTGAACTGTGATAGGAGAATCAAGAATGAACATAGATAATAAATTATTACTTAAAACATGGGTTGAGAGTACTTAAGAACAACAAACTTACTCAGAATTTGCTGGTGTCCTACAGTTACATAGAGAGCATCCTGGCTGCAGCATGTGTGTGTGGTTTGCCAGTTGCACAGCAGCAAACAGGAAAACGCTCCAGAGGGTTGTCAACACGGCTCAAAAACTCAAAGGTTTCTCTCTCCCCACTCTGGAAGACCTGTACAGCGCCCGCTGCCTCAGGAGGGCTAGCAACATTCTGAGGACTCATCTCATCCGGGTTACTTGCACTTTGAACCTTTGTCCTCTGGGAGACGTATTAGGACATTAAAGCACGGACATTAAAGCACGGACAAACAGACTACAAAACAGTTTCTATGCAAAAGCAATAAGCACATTTTATACAGTATAGATATGACTTCCATTATCATCATTCTAAACTGTGTAATATCGCGTGTCGTGCAATAATGCACTATTATGATGAGGGTGTGAATGTGAGTGATATGTGGTATGTGTTTTAGTTATTTATAAATGTATTTTTATTTCTTTATTTTATTCTTATTTATTTTTATCATTTTTATGGCACCACTTTAAAATGTTGTTGTACTAGTACAGTGACAATAAAGGCATTCTATTCTATTCTAAAATGCTGTAACCTTATAAAATCTAATAAGTTTTAAATTTTGTTTCTCTCAACAATTTTATTGACTTTTTAGATATCTGAGCCACAACAAGATCACTGCCCTGATGCCAGGAGTGTTTAAAGACCTTCACAAGCTGGAGTGGCTGTGAGTCTATAGGATTTATAGTCTGTTTTACTTTACATACACACATCTATTGTCTGCAAATTGTGCGTCACACTGGACTACAACTCACTGGAACTCATTGGATGCATGATATGGCAAGGAAATATGGTAAAGTTCATTTGAATTGTGTCACCTTTGAGGCTTATTTGTCAAAACTACAAATTTCAGCATTTGAACGACATTCACATCTCTTGGTTATGTCTCTGTTTATAGTTAGCTCTCATTTCATGTCATTGATACATTTCTCACTTTCTTTTCCTCTGTTTGTCTAATTTTTTCACTTTCTAAGTCATGGAAAACAAATGGAGAATGGTTCCACCATGCCCAGCATGGTCAAAGATCTAATGACATTTCAGTGAGCCTCTTTGACCCACATGAAGAAACTGAGAGCCCTTGTCAATGTTTTAAGATATTTTTGAAAACTACGTGCTATTGTATTCTGTTGCTCATAGTTTCATCATAGATCAATCTTTTCTCAGTTGAAGCTTTTTGTATGAATCAGTGCATAAAAAATGGGGATAAAACTGCCTTTTTTCTCTTGTTGCAGGATACTAGAAAACAACAGTATCCATCAGATATCCACCATGACATTTTCAGGCCTGAACTCTCTCGTTTTATTGTAAGTTTCTGCTTCTATTGCTGCATCTACTTTTATCCTACTGTGCTGTGATCTCCTCTCGGATAACCGAAATTGCTGCTAATAAGATCTATCGATTTTCTGCTAAAAGCAAATGAGTTGTAAGAAAAGTGTCTTATTCAGTTTCTGAGTCGCTGATTGACAGGGTTTTGCTGAACAACTCTTTGACAAGATTGGATGACATCTGTCGAGAAATGCCCAGACTGAACTGGCTGTGAGTGTGGTGTCAAAATAAAATCAAAGCTGTCCTCATATAAGTGACAAGTCTTTTGATGAGTTTATTCTCTGTGTGTGTGTCTGGATCTGCCTGTGCATGTCCCCCTTGTGTGAATGTTCCATAACATTTGCTTTCAGAGACTTGGAGGGAAATCTTATTGAAATGATTGGAAATACCTCCTTCTGCTCATGCAGCATGTTGACAGTTCTGTGAGTACATTTACATGATTTATTCCATAAAAAAGCAATAGCTTTGCTTTAAAAGTTTTCTCTTCCCTTGACCAGGGCCTGTAAATCAAACTGTTTGGCTAGATTATTTAGCACGTTTATAGCTGGTTCATGCGATCTATGTTGTGAGTAGATTAAAAAGGTAAAAGAAATAGCGACTAATCCTTGTTTTGCATGTATTGCTCTTCTCTAGGGTTTTACAGCGGAACAGGATCAGCTACATACACGAACGCGCTTTCTCTGTCCTGAAAAAGCTTGGAGAATTGTAAGTTGTTACTTTGTTAAATTGCACAGAAACAAAACATGAATGTTCATGGGACTTTAATGATACTTTCAAAGAAAAGATGTAGCTCTACACTTTCAGATGTGAATGATTTTGAAAAATATTGTAAGTCATGCAGTGTGGCTTCCTATTCCAAGGGCATTATCAGAACATGCAGCGTCTGTTTGAAGAAGTGTGGGAAGTTGTTGGAGCAGCAGAGAAAACTTTCATTATTCTAGGACAAGCCTAATGACATTACATTTAAGATGAAGGTGTTTTTTCAACAGTCATGCCCACTTGTCAATTGAGAAAATTAGGTGTCAATTTACGCTGGTGGATTTCTTCATTAAGTACCTTTTTCTTCTTAACTCTTTTTTTTCTGAACAAAAGTCTTTTTTTTTATTATTTTCTTTTTTCACCATATTTTTAAACAGAACGAACAACATAGAACAACCTCCTCCCCCCTAACTGCACTGGATCAAACTCAAAACAGAAAACAAACACAAAACAGGTGTCAATGAAACACCTAAATCAACCTCACTAAGGAAAGAAGAGAAATGGGGTTCATTTTCATGCTGAACTGTTTCTGTATCTTGGAGTGATATAAGTCTATCATGACAAAGTTTAAGTTAAAAAGATAACCGGTTTATTACAATCCGGTCCATGTCAGTACATGCATGCTTCTGGAGGAGATCCCAAGGCCAATCTGATCTCTCCCCGGTCAAAGCCCGAAGCACACTTTTATCCTTTGGGGAAACTGTCCCTTCCCATATAGGGAGATGAGATGAGAGACTCCATCTCCTCAGAGTAGCTAACCAGTGACTCGTGGTGTCGCATGGTCTTTAAGAACTGAGGCTCATTCACTTCCATTTAAGGTGAACTTTCTGCACATACGAAGTCTTTCTGCATCAGAGTCGCTGTTGTCATAACAGGCTGAAATGCTTCATGTGACTCACATTATCCTTGTTATTCTGAACTAAATACAATTTTACATGATATTTTTTCGTAGATACATTAGAATATGTCTATAGCAGACATCACAGAAACAATCACAAAAAAATATGAAAAATTTTCCACAGACACACCATTATAATACGACACTGACAACCATACGAATTGCATTTTAGGACAACACCATTTTTTCATATAGGGCCTCTGAAGATAAAACTCTTGATGCACTTTACAAGAACAAAATAAATAAATGATTAAAAATAGAGTGATAAAATGGGGCAAGGGGAACATTTTTGATTAAAAAATTTAAAGTATGAAAATATGAATAAAGAAAAGTGTAATACAGCATCCTGAGAAAGACAGAATTCTCAAGCTAGCCCCTCAGGTGTATATTGAGTATCATCTCTGCATCCACAGGGACTACTCCAAATAAACTGATCAAAGGGTCAGGCTGCATCTTGGACAATGCATCAAAAATAGGCTCCTAATACCGCTGTGTCACAACCTGTCCTGTCTCCCCACTCTGTTCAGTCCTGTGTCTTTCCTAGTTGCTCCCACCTGTCTCGTCTCCCAATCACTTTGGATCCCAGCTCCTCTTGTATTTAAACCCTCCCAGTTCTGCTTCCTTGTCCGTTCATTGTTCAAGTGTCACGCGTGCTCCTAATTAAAACCCTTTTGAATGTCTGCATCAGCCTGCCTTTCTTTCCCCTGCGTTTGGATCCTCACCTCGACCGCTCGTCTCACCTGCCACGTGACACGCTACAGTTTGGGGCACATTCCAAACATGTGAAGAACAGTTGTGGGTGATTGTCTGCAATGTTCACATGCCATGTCTAAGTTGGGCTTAATTTTAGATTAGTCTCTGGACCAATGTGCATGGTACATCACTTTGAACTGGATGACACTGTCTCACAAATCACAGATGTTTCGTAGAATCTTGTGCTAGTCCTCATCCGAGGGTCCGACATCCAGCACCGCAATTCAAATCAAAATAATCTGTACTAGTGTTATTGGGTCAAACAACTGCCTATGAAGAGGAATTTAGCAATTTTATTCAAAGGATATAAATTTGTGTTCAAATTTAAATTTCTTTAGCCAGGTTCTGTTAAAACATCTAGCTTACATTCCACCATTTAATGCATTGTCTGTCGTCCTGTACAACCATCATTTCATTCATACTTTGTAATGTAATGTAATGTAGAATCATTAGTTTAGAAAATAGAATTAAATTCCTTTTTATAAACTATATCCTTGACTCTGAATTAATATGAAGTTTGCGTTCCCTGAATAGTCAAAGATCCTAGAATAATATTAAATCAAATAATCAAAGACCAATCATATTGATAATTCATATTTATATGGAATATCACATCTTACTGATCATTTCATAAACGTAGCTAATCGTCACCGCTACAATGTCTCACGTAAAAGAAATGTCGATCTTTGACCAACCCTGTCTGGTCAGGCGAAACAGCTGTAGGGAGCACCGTCTCAAGGCACAGAGCCAGGACTTTCGTGAGGATTTTAACTTTTTGGTTCAAAAGAGATACAGTATTGGTCTGTAAGAATCACAGTATGAGAGGTTTTTATCTTTTTTCAAAAGTACAGAAATAATGGCTAGACGGAAGAGACTGAGCAGTAAAGGATTAATTGAAAACCGACAGCAGCACTGGTGAGAGTTGTCCAGAAAATGTATGTAAAAACTCCGCTGGAAAGCCTTCCAGTCCGGGAGAGTTGCTCCTCTGCATGTTGCCAATGGCAGAATCAATCTCCGTCAACAAAATATCCTTTTCCAGAACCTCTCAGATCTACACTCATGAAGGGATTAGTTATACATTTCAAAAAAGCTTCAAAATTATCCTCCATAGGGGAGGAATCAGATAAGTATAGCGATTTGTAAAACTGACCAAAACATGAGTTGATCATTTTATTGTCCAAGCATCTGACCCCTTCATCATTATTGAAGTCATTCTTTGCAAATTTTTCATATTCTTAAATGATTTTCTTGAGCCAGTATGTGCTAAAATGACCCTTCACAGCAGTGGTCCTCAACAGGTGGTCCACGGGCCATGTCTCCCCCCGGCCCCCCGCACACCCCCACCCCCCCACCCCGGCCCCCCGCGCAGGAGGTGTGCTGTCACATAGAGGGCTGGTGTGATGAACAGCCAGCAGCAACGTGAGAGCAGCAAAGCACCCTAACCCTGACCTCCCCCTGGAACAACAGCATACTCACATTCATTCACTATATGTGAAATTCTATGATCTGCAATAAATGATCAACTCAGCAGAGAATTGTTTGTATTAACAGGACAAAGTTGAGTACACCCTTTGTGTAGGATTCCGAGAACGCCGAAACTTTGAATTGACTGAACAGACTTATAAGAGTCAGTCCATCCAGTCACACTCCTGTCTAATGAGTAGAACACACCCTTAGTGGCTCCACCCATTATGAGGTAATGTTGTGAGGCGTCAGGTAACTGAGACAACAACCTAGTAATAAAGGAGTGGTCATCCCAATTTGGTGCATATTTTGATCCCAGGACAACCACAGTGTGCACGGTTCACCAACGACAATTACCACTATCACCTCAACACCTGTCCGAATCTTTATGTTCTCTTGAGACAGTGAATTGTACATCATTACCAATACGATAGCAAACTCCCTTGTTTTAGAGCCAAAAGTTGAATGAAACATCTGATCAGACAAGTTTTTCCTAAAATGAAATCAATCTGCTGAACAAATATGTACAGTATCTGCTCCAAAAGGGCGATATCTGTTTTGAGCCGCCATTTTAAATGAGCCATAACCTGTCTTGATGTTAGAGGGATTTATTAACATTCCAGCTCACATGTAATCGGGCATCCAGGTCTGCCATTCATCCTACCAACACTTAGAAAACCCAAACATTACATGACAAGTGTCACTCATAAAACCAGTGTGTCCCTTGTCACTATGACAAAGTTTCTTGTTGAAACAAGAGTTACTTCACGTGTTAAAATATCTTGTCATTATGAGATACTGCTCTTTCTTTCGTTGCACTGTCAGCAATATGCTCCCATACATTTCCCACTGAATATAAGAAATAGCAAAAAAGTGACATCAAACATATTTATTTGATAAAATGTTATTTAATCGTTTTGGGAAGGTTTGAGTTAGCAGTGTTACATAAAGTTAGCATCAGTTTTACTTGAATGGGTTAGTGTTTTGTTCTTTGATTTAGTGGACAGCGATTCTCTTGGATATGTTTTATTTGATGTAAAGCCAGTGCTGCAGGTGCCTGCTGATCTTTACTATTAATCCTGGATTTTGCCTCCCTCTTGAGTTTTGGACAGTGTGCTCTAAAGTGATCTTGACAGAATTATTTTATGTTTCTTTCATTTTGTGTGCTTTACTGTTGCCTGTGCAACTCTGATAAAAGCCCCATGAGTCCCAACATCTCCTCTACCAAGGACCTTTGAAATTTTCACGCTTCCGTTCTAGCAACAGTGGTAGCTGGAGGCCATGTGTTGTCTGTTCGTCTTGCAAAAGCAAGATCTCAGAAGCCTGCTAACAGAGTGTCCTTCAGTTCCGCTGGAATATCCCCATTTGGGTTAAAGCATTGTAAACAGACAGATGTAGGTGAGGTTCAATGTGGCATGCCTTGTTCAAATGATCATACATGACTGTTGGAGAATATGCACTTAGACTTTTTTTGTTTGTTTATCTGTTCTTTTATTAGTTTAAGCTTTAAATTTCCTTTAAAAGAAAGACATAAGATTCAGTTTTTAATATCTAAAGCTAATTCCTTACCCTTATTCCTACCTTCTCAGTGGCCTAGTGGTAGAGTGTCCACCCTGGGACTGGAAGATCGGGGTTAAAACCCCAGTTGGATCATAGCTAAGACACTTCAAAACACAATTCACACACACATTCACACACTGGTGGTGATGAGCTACAAGTGTGCCCTGGGGCGCACTGATAGAAGTGAGACTGCTGAACTGGCACCACCGGTCCCTCTGACCACCACCAGCAGGTGAGATGGGTTAAGTGTCTTGCCCAAGGACACAACAGCAGCATTCTCTGTATGGAGGAATTCTACAATGCTCCGATTACTGGACAACCCCCTTTACCCCTGCTGCCCCAACATGTGTAACAGTTGTTCTTTTGCCACCTCAGCATCACCATAATCACTAAAAGAAAAATGCCTCACAAATAAAATGAACTGTAGAAAAAGCAGCCAATATTTATTTTAATTTGCTTCTGAAAACTAAATTTATGGTTGTTGGCTAATTTATTCAGCATTTTGTTACCCAAGGATAAAAGGTTGTGCTGGATAACTGTTCCTGTTATTGTAACTTAGCCTAAATGCATTTATATGAAAAGATTGAAAAATAAAAAGACGTATGGGAGAAAGTTTTTAGCTTCAATTAAAAATAACAAAGAAGAAAACTATGCTGGAAAAATTCTAAAATAGCTGTGGATCTGTAGGCTTCTGAATTTAAGATTCTATTAACGAGTTCATGCATTAAATTATTTAAATGTGCAGTTTTGTGATGCACTTGTTCTCCTGTTTAACAGAAAATATCCAAAGAGATTTAATAGTCCAGATACCTCCTGGTCTGCACCTACACTCATTGGCTGTTTTGTAAAGTGGAGTGTGTTTATCTCTTTGCAGGGATCTATCCAACAACGGACTGGTGGCAATTCCTCCCAATTTATTCATCTTACTGGAGGATTTGCTTCAACTGTGAGTATACTCATCACACAAACACCTTCAGGCAAAGTGCTTTCTTTTATGAAAGCAAACGAGCTTCATGACTCTTGACGCTGCCATGGAGAGACTTATTGGTTGTCTGCTCTGATTGTTGGTTTGCCTTGAATTTACCGCCAAACAACAAGGTTTATATTTGTTTTAAATCAGAGCTGAAAATAGTGGACCCGTGAGCTGCGTGAGTGCAGGAACATCCTTACAAAAGGCACCAGCAGAGAGTAGCTGAAGAAGCTAACAAACAAAATGACGAGTCTATAACAAGGTGTCATGTACAGCTGAACAATGTGAGGGAATGTGCAGGGGCTGAAGGCGATATGATGGCATGACTGGAAGGTAAACACATGTAGGAATAAAGAGAGAACAGTTAGCTTGTTGTCATGGAGATGTGGCACAAAACGCTGCTCTTTGTGTAAGGTCAGTTTTTGATGTCTGCAAACTGATTTTTAAATTCCCAATTTCTAGAAATATCTCCTACAATCCCATCCTGGAGCTTCAGGTGGACCACTTTGACAAGCTACATAAATTAAAGTCACTGTGAGTATTTCTCCTTTGGGTGTGTTAGATATGTAGAAGACATTCCATGCTTTCTCTCAGCTATTTGCCGGTATCCAGCCATATTTAATGTGGAGCAAACATAAAAACAGCATGATAAAGTGGATGAAAAACTCTGACAAGTATCTTTAGTCTTCCCATTTTGAGCATCACAGCATGTTTTCACCTGATGTTTGGGCTTTATGTGGTTTATATGCAAACATAACAAACAAACATCCATCCACATCTATCATCAGAAGAAAGAACTTAATGAAATGTTGTGATTTAGGACTTTGAGATGCTGTTTTATTAAAAAAAAAACATTTGGTGATAGATGCCTGTAATGTTTCTGTCTTATTTTCTTGTTTCTAAGGAGCATAGAGGGGATCGAAATCGGAAATATACATCGAAGGATGTTTGAACCTCTGAAATACCTGACTCACATGTAAGTACTTCATTGTCTAGCTTTTTCACACACATTCTGTTCTTGTAAGAGTGTGTCATGAGCAAGGCTTACTGAGCCTCAGCCTCACCTCCACCTGGTAGATAAGTTGGGCTTAGAGTGATACGTCCTAATTGTGATTTTAACAGCCAAAGATACACGATACATGTTTTGTTTCTGCATGTTTTTTTTAGATTTTCCTTCCTGAGTATAAACAAGGGCCTTTAAGATACCTACCGTAAATCCTCTTAATACAGGCCTGGGCCTTTATTTAATCAATGCATCCTGGCTTGGGCCTCTATTGGAAGGAGGTTAGAATTAGAGGCAGGCCTCAATTTCAATTTGACCAAAATGAACTACTAGTAGAATGAATAAAAACAAGATTTTGTGTTTATTTGAACCTCTAAAACACTAGGTTCGTTTATTGAAAATGTGCAGTTAACATTGTAAGTACGTATGCATATAGAACATTTACAACAAACACCGTTATTTCACTGGAGGATTTACTCAGTGCTGAAGTGATCGACACAACAAACTATCTCGTGTGGCAAATCTAATATTACACTGCAAGCCAAAAGCCCTTTATGAGTCTGAAAGCCTATAACTATTTTTTTTCATGTTGGTTAACACATTAGAGATTCAGAGAAGCTTTAAAGGACCACTGTCTTGTTTATGCTCATGAGATGTTCTATTTTAATTATGTAAATAACTCGTAATGATAGCTAATGCTAACAGTGAGTACATGCTAGGATCTAATTATAAAATTTTCTGCCTTTTCAAATCCAAATTTCTGGTATCAAACTGTTTACCTCCTGCTTTTGTAGCAGCGTTTCTAATTAACTGTTCTATAAAACGCCATAAGAAACCTTTAGTAAACCCTTACCTGTGGTGAAGTGATCGCTGTAAACTCTAGCATTTTCCATTCCGTTTCTGCTCATCTTGCAGCCAGACATTATGATCCACTATTCCATCTTTGTTCAGTAAGTTTCAGTAAGTCCTTTGTGGCGCACTACTTTTGGGACAGGAAAAAAATGTTTGTTTTTGTCCCGATTGCACAGAATTTGGGTATTTTTACACCCAGCCAACAAAGTAAATAAGGTTCTGTGCTGCAACAACTACCTCCTGATCCAGCTCTGCAGTTGGTGACATGGATGCAACGTTGTGTGAAACCGACTTGACCCCTCCCACCCCCCTTCCCCATGGACATACTGGTAATGTTGATGCCTGCTGGTAAAAAAAAAAAAAAAAAAAAAACGGGCCACTATTAGAGACCAGCCTTTATTTACCCCCCCTGACAGCAAGACCGACTAATGTAAGAAACCAGGCCGGTAATGGAATACATGCCAATATTAGAGGATTTACGGTACATGCACACATATTCTGTGTTTTTCCCAAACAGAATCCATTTTAAAATTGCCCTGATTATTTTTGTTTATTACCGACAACATTGCCACTGATCTGAATTTGAGTGGTGTTTTGTAATTGGACTTCTGTGCTAGTCATGGATTGTCCATAATGAACACCATGTTCAGACATAAAGGTGTCCATATGTGCTCTTGGCACCAGGATACCTTACGCCACAGCTCGATGATCGACTTTGTTGTTGTTTAATCTGACCTGCGGCTGCATGTCTTGAACACAAGGGTGAAGAGAGGGGAGGAGCTGTCAACTGACCACTACCTGGTGGTGAGTTGGCTCAGATGGTGGGGGAGGATGCCGGTCAGACCAGGCAGGCCCAAACGTATCACGAGGGTCTGCTGAGAATGTCTGGCAGAATCTCCTGTCAGAAGGAGCTTCAATTCCCACCTCTGACAGAACTTCCAAAATGTTCCGGGGGAGGCGGGGGACATTGCGTCTGAATGGACCCTGTTCCATGCTTCCATTGTTGAGGCGGCCGACCGGAGCTGTGGTCGCAGGATCGTCGGTGCCTGTCATGGTGGCAACCCCCGAACCTGCTGGTGGACACTGGCGGTTAGGGATGCTGTCAAGCTGAAGAAAGAGTCCTATCAGGTCTTTTTGGCCTGTGGGACTCCAGAGGCAGCTGACTGGTACCGGCAGTCCAAGCGGAACGCGGCTCGGGTGGTCACCAAGGCTAAAACCCGGGCATGGGAGCAAGACTTCCATACGGCTTCGAGGAGATTCTGGTCCGCCATCCGGCGCCTCAGGGGGGGTAAAATAGTGTGCTACCAACATTATCTATAGTGGGGATGGTGTGCTGCTGACCTCTACTCAGGACGTTGTGGATCGGTGGGCAGAATACTTCGAAGACCTCCTCAATCACACCGACACGTCTTCCAGTGAGGAAACAGAGTCTGGGGACTTTGGGTTGGCCTCTCAAATCTCTGGTGCTAAGGTCACTGAGGTGGTTAAAAAGCTCCTCTGTGGCAAGGCTCCGGGGGTGGATGAGATCCGCCCGGAGTTCCTTAAGGCTCTGGATGTTGTGGGGCTGTGTTGGCTGACGCGGCTCTGTAATATCGCGTGGACATCGGGGGCAGTCCCACTGGACTGGCAGACCTGGGTGGTGGTCCCCTTATTTAAAAAGGGGGACCAGGGTGTGTTCCAGCTACAGGGGGATCACACTCCTGAGCCTTCCTGGTAAGGTCTATTCAGGGGTTCTGGAGAGGAGGGTTTGTCGGATTGTTGAACCTCAGATTCAGGAGGAGCAATGTAGTTTTCGTCTTGGCCGTGGAACACTGGACCAGCTCTATACCCTTAGGGGGATCCTGGAGGGTACGTGGGAATTTGCCCAACCAGTCTACATGTGTTTTGTGGATTTAGAGAAGGCGTTTGACCACGTCCCTCGGGGGGCCCTGTGGGGGTACTCCGGGAGTATCGGGTACTATGCCCTCTGATATGGGCTGTTAGGTCCCTGCATGACCGGTGTCAGACCTTGGTCCGCATTGCCGGCAGTAAGTCGGGCTCGTTCCCAGTGAGAATTGGACTCCGCCAAGGCTGCCCTTTGTCACTGATTCTGTTCATAACCTTTATGGACAGAATTTCTAGGCACAGCCAAGGTGTGGAGGGCATCCGTTTTGGTGGCCTGAGGATCAGGTCTCTGCTTTTTGCAGATGATGTGGTCCTGTTGGCTTCATCAGAACGTGATCTTCAGCTTTCGCTGGAGCGATTCACAGCCGAGTGTGAAGCAGCTGGGATGAGAATCAGCTCCTCTAAATCTGAGACCATGGTCTTGATTCGGAAAAGGGTAGAATGCCTTCTCCGGGTCAGGGATGAGGTCCTGCCCCAAGTGGAGGAGCTTAAGTATCTCAGGGTCTTGTTCACGAGTGAGGGAAAACTGGAGCATGAGATCGATAGGCGGATTGGTGCTGCATCTGCAGTGATGCGGGCATTGTACCGGTCTGTCGTTGTGAAGAGAGAGCTGAGTCAGAAGGCGAAGCTCTCGATTTACCAGTCAAACTACGTTCCTACCCTTACCTATGGTCATGAACTTTGCGTAGTGACCGAAAGAACGAGATCGCGGATACAAGCGGCCGAAATGAGTTTTCTCCAAAGAGTGGCTGGGCTCTCCCTTAGAGATAAGGTGAGAAGCTTGGTCATTCGTGAGGGGCTCGGAGTAGACCCGCTGCTCCTCCACATCGAGAGGAGCCAGTTGAGGTGGCTCGGGCAACTGGTCAGGATGCCTCCTGGACACCTCCCTGGTGAGGTTTTCCCAAGTGGTGCTCGCTGCAGAACCACAAAGGCGGAGCTTCACCAGAAGGTGGAGCTGCACCAGAGTCAGCCCTGCCTATTCCATCAGAGTCAGTCCAATTCCTTCCAGCTGTCAGACTTGATAGCATTCTGGAACCAACGAGGGTGTTATAGCTAATGTCATCTAAAATGCAAGATTGAGGACGGAGTTGAGAAGTTAATTGAACAGTTTTTGTAAAGGTTCCATATAATTAAAAATCTAACTTTTGGAACTTTTTACCATGTTATATTGTCATCTCCTCATAAGAAACACACCAAAGCCATTTTTGGCTAGCCTAGTGAACTAGACCAAATTCTTGCTTTGCAAAGTGTCTCCTCCCCTGAAGCGGGTCTGGTCTTGGTTCTCAAATCTGGATATTCTGTGAATTTTCTGACAAATTATTTCTGAAATGACTTCTACTGAGACAACGCCGGAAAAACCATACATCCCATGGACAAAGACACACTGGATGACACAATTACATGTAACGCCACTTGCTATTTATTGGATGTAGTGGCGAAGTGGTTATGGAGGCAGGTTGACATGCAGTTTTGCGCAGGTTCGCCTCCCAGTAGCGGTAGTATATAGGTAGTTTATAACCCTTTTTCTTCTTTTCTAGCTACACTTGCCAGTACTATGTTTACAACAATTTATTGGTATACCATTTACAATATAATGACTAATGTGTTTTTTTTTTTTTCATTTCTTCGTTTATTTAGCCAGTGTGAGTCCATTTGTGAGCAGAGTTTCAACTAAAATGCTGTTTAGGAACGACCAAATTCAAACAACTTTTAGAGACATAAATATTTTGCTGAAAATAAACATTACAATTAAAATATAAACAAAGTAAATGTTTCAGCTGGCTAAATATATTGCTGCCGACCCCACCGAGAGTCGAACCAGTATCAGCTGAGGTGAAAGCAAAACTTAAGGCAGACTATCTTGCCACTGGACTACCAGAACCTACACAACATTAAGCCTTAAATGCTCTATAGCACGCTTTTGTTAGAGCAGCTGTGGGCAGATATTTGCTAAAAGAAACCTTTTCATTTTGGGATATATTCAGGCTTTGTCATGTAGCAAGTTGTATTTATCTTCTTTAATTGGAGCATAGAACATAGCATTAACAATTGTAAACTAGTAACAGCCGTAATTCATGTGGGTCAGGTTAGTTTGCGATAAAGCTGAAAAACAAAAGAAGAAATCAGTGGGCTAGGCTGAGTTTGCTTGAATGGGCGGGGCTGACTCTGGTGCAGCTCCACATTATGGTGCAGCTCCGCCTTTGTCGTTCGGCAGCGAGCACCCTCTCGGTTTTCCGGGCATGTCCAACCGGGAGGAGACCTAAATGTAGACCCAGGACACGGTGGAGGGACTATGTCTCTCACCTGGCCAGGGAATGCCTTGGGATTCCCCCGGAGGAGCTGACCCAAGTGGCTGGGGAGAGGGATGTCTGGGCCTCCCGCCTTAGGCTACTGCCCCCGTGACCTGACTCCGGATAAGCGGATGAAAATGGATGGATGGATGGACCAACAACATTGCTTAACTTTGCTGTTTTTGATCTGTTTTGTAGCTATTTCAAGAAGTTCCAGTACTGTGGTTATGCCCCTCATGTGCGCAGCTGCAAGCCCAACACAGATGGCATCTCTTCATTTGAGGACCTGCTGGCCAACATCGTGCTAAGAGTGTTTGTCTGGGTTGTTTCTGCCACAACGTGCTTTGGCAATATCTTTGTCATCTGCATGCGTTCCTACATCCGCTCTGAGAACAAACTCCATGCCATGTGCATTATCTCCCTCTGCTGTAAGTCCAATTGCATTTTCAACTGAAACAAACTGTGGCTTTAACCTAGTGCTCTACAGGCATTTATAATGTTTTTTGATTTAGATCATTAGATGCCAATCAAGGTGGCACATGCCAGCAAGAGCAACAGAACTTGTGTGACCGTGAATTTGGCAGTGTTGCACATCATTCTGCTGGTTGCTATGGCTTGGTTCATTCTAGTGAGCTATCTGCTGATGGTCTTTTTCATCCCTGTTGCACTTAGTCGTCATCGTTGGAGAGAACTATGTGCACAATCTGACAGGAAATTTATCCTGCAACAAAAAAACTTATGAAACGGTCTGGGTAACACTCAGTTTGCCTTACCAATACACAGTCTCTCAAAAATTTGTTACAGGCAAACATCAAGTTCCTCATGGAAAATAAAAATGCCTGCCTGAGTGCACACACAGAGTCATGGCTTAAAAAGCAGGATTTACAAACAGTACGGGAAGTAGTCGATTTTGGAAATCCACTTTGTCTTGGCAGTGAAATCACTGGGGTGAGGACTAAGTCACCAGTCACTAATAAACAATGGCGCAGCACTGTAGTGGTCAAAGAAATGAAGTGCACTCCTGACAGTGACCTACTTCCTGTCTCTTTGCACTTTTTTATATACCTTGGGAGTTTCCACAGATATTTATCATTCTTGTTTATATTCACCCAAAAGCAAATGCTAAATATGCAACTGGGGGCATGGATGCAGTGCATAAATTACAAATCTTTGTATTAGATGATTTTAACCTCTACAAACTTGAGAAGGCACTCACACATTTTCATCAGTGCATCACTTGTCTAATCATTATGTGGTGTTTTTAGTTCCAACATACAACCTGGTCCCAGAGGGAGCAAAACCTGAGAGACACTTGGTTCCTCTTTGGACAATGGATTCTGTCCAGAAACACCAGGAGTGCTTTTTTTCCTGCAGACTTGGACTTGTGTATTGATACTTGTTCAGACTTGGATGAACTGACCAAGACAGTCATTTCTTACATAAACAATTATGAGGTCCTCCTATTATTCCAAGGAAATTGTTAAATATTTCCAATATCAGGCCATGGGTGACTTAATCAGTTGAAATTACTAATAATGAGAGGAACATATGCTTTAACAAAGGAGACGTTGTTGGAAGCAAGTTAAACAGAATCAGAAGCAGGTGTATTGCCATAGGTGAGTGAGTGACTCATCTACTAGGAATTTTTTTCGGTAACGAGGTGCAAACATTCATACAAGTCAGGCAATATAGAGATTAGAATACATCTGAAATAATCAACATAGGAAACATAGCAAGAAAAACAATCAATTATAAGCATGGAGATATATGTGACTGGTGCAGATCTATGTGGCTATTAGTTTTGGGGAATAAGCTGTTTTTGTGGCCTGAGGTTCTAATCTGTCAGGACCTGAACCTCCTTCCTGAAGGAAGGGTATCAAACAGTCCATGACCAGGGTGAGATGGGTCAGCTGTTATCCAACCTGCATGTCTCAGAATCCTGGAGGAGTACAGGTCGTGTATTGCTAAGAGGTTGCATCTGATCACCTTTTGTGCTGAAAACACAACATGTTGCAGTTTTGGCAGGATCTTACGCTTACTAAGATAAACCCAGATAATTAAGTATAACCATGTTTTCATCAAATAGTTGTATAAATTACAACAAAATTAACTGATTAATTATTTAAATCCCATTTTTAACTGAAAATTGCACAGTACATTCATTTTTTATTTAGAACCAGTGAAACATTTCAAATGAGCTCTGGGAGCAGTGCTATGGCTGAATTTCACGTTTTAAAAAACTGCCCCTATTCACATTAAAAATGTATTTTCTTATCTTATGTTCCAGATTTCTACCAAGTTTCAGCTTCATAATTTTACATGACCTTGTTAACAAACTTACTGATGGGGTGAAGTTACATCAGGAAAGTTGGGGGAAACAGCTAACATGGTGGTCAAACAGAAAAGAAGTAAAGAGCGTAAGGGAGTGTTGATTCATGGAGTGGTTGTAAGTTGGTTTAAGATTAAAGTACAAACATTAGTAATGACAGATTGAACGGAGGAGATTAGGAGAGGCTGAAAATCAGTTTGATTATAAGATAATAAAAGTTCCCACTAGGCTTCAACTGTTAGTGACAAACTGCAAACAGTATTCATGAGTAAATGTTTCTAAAATGTGTCACAATGTCAATGAGGGTTCTCTCTGGGTTCTCACAGTTTTTGTGAATTTTGAACATGTTGGAAAATTGGACATTGGTTAGAGTAGTCACGGGCATCTGGGAACCATTCTGCTTGTTGGAAAGTGGGACAAATGTGGGACGAAAGTTTCAATCAAAAGGTAAAATATACAAGGTCAGGGGGTTATTTACAGCAGTTATGATGTTTCCCTTCAACAGCAATGTATGAATGTCAGATTTGATTAATTCCCCCATTCTGGGGTTTAAGTCCAGTTTGTGTAACACATTGACCTCCAAAAGTTTGCTCACTGGAGATTTATTAAAATAGTTCATTTTGTTGGTGAGATCAGACAAAAACGGAGCTTAAAAGATTTAAAAGAAGCTAAATGGTCTTTACTTTTTTGCTGCAGGTGGATTATGCATGTCTATATCAAACAGGACAGTTTTCAAAAGGCCTCTAATGTGGTTATTAAAAGGATTAAACAGATTTCAGATAATAAACAAAGTACAACCCTCCACAAAGTTGAGTTATTTCTTTAGAATATAAATAATAGTTAACAGGAAAGACTAGTTTATCTGATGTGCATCAGTCACTGATTTCCGGTATTAACTATGTTTTAGTTTTTGTTGTCTTCACACATTTTTATCTTGTTTTGAATTTTGGCCACATTCCAGTTTTCTGCAAAAGCCTAACAATCCAGTATTTATCCGTTTGAGGATAAAAGTATTATTACAGATTTCCTCTCCAGACTGGCTGGCCAGAAGGCTCTCAGACGTTGCATATATGAAGAAATACAAGTATTCACTAGGGAATAAAGCTAAGCATTGCAGTAATAAAAGTTGTGAATTAAATAGCTGCTTTGATACTGACCTCAAAAGATTTCATTGAGCCAAGGACAGAGAAAATTGTCTTTAGACTAAAACAATGCGTGATGTTGAGAGGCTTGCAGTCTGATAATGTCCTTTGGATCAGATGAATCAGCATCTTTGTAAAGAAAATGCCAACACTCTGCATGATATCAAAGAGGTGGGTGTACTTTAATCTTTTAGCCAGATGAAATCTTGATTGTTGTTTGTGATAATGTGTGTATGTGCCTTGTTATTAGTTATTAGGACTGATTTGTTGACAGCTTGCTATCCAACCAACAGCTAAACTTGGTGCTGCACTGAGGAGCCAAAATAAGTTTTGGTCCCTGCCTGGAGCGGGTTTGTAGAAGTCTCAGTAGGCTTTTTATGTGACCTTTCTGCGCCACACCTAATATTAAGTGATGTGTGGTAAGACCAGGGGCCTCATTTATCAACTTTGCTTACGCACAAAATGAGGTCGGAAAACTGTGTAAGCAACTTTCCATGCAAACTTTGGGATTTATGAAAGAAAACTTAGCGGAAAAATGTGCACAACTTTGAGTTGACTAAGGACCAGTGTTGGGAACGTTATTTTAAAAAAGTAATTAGTTATAGTTACTTATTACTTTGTCAAAAAAGTAACTCAGTTACTAACTGAGTTACAAGATCATAAAAGTAACTAATTACCAACAAAAGTAACTACTTAGTTACTTTTTCATTAAAGCATGCAAGAATTACTACAATAGTAAAATATAAATGACTAATGACTGAACATAATAAAATGTATGTCCAAATGTTTTATATAAACCTGAATAATTTAAACAAATAAGCACTTAACAGGAGGAACTACTAATAGGAACATTAAACTAATCTAGACTATTAAAAGGTCACTGTGTGATATTTAACAAAAACCCAATCAGCTAAAATTTAAAATTGCAAATAGAAAAACCTGTAAAGGTTCCCGAGCCTTTAAATGGTCTCTCAGTCTAGTTAAATTACAGAAATAAATGTAATTTTGCACAGCATTCTAATTTTTACAGCTTCACATAATTGTGTCTTTTTAGTAGCATTTCTGTTGCAACTAATCTAGTAACGGTTAAATAAATAAATAAATATCCTTTAAAATGACACTAGAAGAGGCACAGATCTGATGGAGGACTTACATTTACTAACTTGGGTCAGACCCAAACACAGAAGAGCTGAAGCTGGGTGGTAAACACACACAGGTAGTTCTAATAACACCTGAGCTCCATGACGTTTGAGACTGATGCATCAGTGTTACAGCGGGACTAAAGACATGATCAGAAACAGGTTACAGCTGGATGATCTAGGAAGGCAGAAGATCAGGACGTCTGAGCGGTGAACAGGTGAGCGGACCTTCGGGACGTCCCGCTGTCACGCTAAGGGCACGGCTGCAGACCCGCAGATTCGCTGCTGCAGCAACAAATCTGCGGGTCTGCAGCCGTAGATATACATCACGTCTTCCTCGTTCTTCGCGGGCCGTGATGCTCTTAAACATCTACCTCTTTAGCTCCTGATCAGCTGATGACAGCTTCAACACACCGCACTGCTTAACGCACGCATTTCCTTACCAGTAACAGGAACAACGTTTTGATAAAAGAAGACGTAATTAATTAGTTTGCTTGTTACAGAAAGAAATATTTTTTATTAACGCGGTTATTTTAAACGGAGTTATTCCCGTTGTGTCTACAGAATGCAGTGAGACCGTGAGGGTCTCCGCCCACCAGGCCAATCATTATCGTGTTTGTAAGTGCGTTACCAACACCTCTCTCTCCCTGGCTGCAGCTGAAGTGTGGCGGTCGGAAAGCCTCACACTGTTGCTCAACGTTCGACAAGCACATAGTAACGCACAGCGTTCCGTCCCCAGTAACGGTAACGGCGTTGCAACGGCGGGAAAAGTAATTAATTAGATTATTCCGTTACCTATAAAAGAACGCCGTTAGAAATGCCGTTATACTTAAACGGCGTTACTCCCAACACTGCTAAGGACCTGGCTTACACACATTTTGGACATGGAGAGCACCTGCAGTGCTGCTGCTGAGAAGGATAAAATTATGAAATCCTGCAGCATTATCACTTGTACTTCTTCATTTTCACACAGAACAAGACCCCCCACACGCGCACGCACACACACAGCCTGAAGCGCGGAATACGGACATGGGGACAGATTGAGACAGAATGTCGTGCGTCTGTGACAGTGTGTGTCCTGTCACTGTGACCCAATTGATGATGCGCCCTGGCTACTTGTACAGGGGAGATCTCCGTTTGGCTGACTGGTTAGCGCGCGTGCCTTTCACCCGGGAGTCTGGGGATCCAATCCCAGTTGGATCTTTTTTTTATATACACGCCACAGATCTCTCTGAAGAATTCAAAACATTGATGGCTTCAGCAACGCTGTGCCACTCCGTGGATTTTCTCTTATTGGTTTTACAAAAGCACTTCCTTTCATTTCTCCACCTCACCCACAAGTACCTCAATTTCTGCTTGTGTGAAATTGCACTTCCTTGATCTGCCTTGATCTACGGTCGCCATGTCATTGGTGGAGCGCTGCAACAGCCGGTTAATGTATATGCATGAGGTCCACAAGGCACTTTGCATTGACTATTTATGGCAGTAAGTGGGAGTGGTGAGGACGGGATGTGACTAAAAAGCAGCTGAGAACCTTTCTAGATAGTTTCTGATTTATGAAGCGGAGATTGCATGCAGCTGTGCGTACTTCATGTTTAATAGAGCACAAACCTACTTGGCATGAGTACATTTTTTTTTTTTTGCTGAGCTTCAGTACGGTTTTAGTAAGGATTCCACGCAATGTTTGATAAATGAGACCCCAGGGCTGTTTCTCGGTGAGCAGCTCCTAGGAGTACAAATCCTCGCACAAAATGCATTTCTATCTTAAACTTTGTCCTTATATCTGTTTTCTCTTCTTGTAAAGCACTTTCTGCTTGCCACAGTTTGGAGTCTGAAAGCATGACATTACAATTCTGCTCCATTTATTCACTAAATATATAATTATTAAACAGATTGAGCTCGTGAACTTTTTCAGAACTTTAACGTTAACTGTCTGGACTCTACACCTCTTACAGAAATTGATAATCCATGTTATAACCTCCAGGTTTGACAGTTTATCAATATTTGTTTTGTTATATGGATTAGAAATACACTGGCTTTCACTGTCCTTGAGTGACCCCTTAAATGCCTGGTAGGCTTTAGTTCAGGTGACTGGAAGCAGAAACAGCTTGTCTCTGAAGGATTAAGTGCTGCCTCTTTAATCACGGTACAATCGATTCAATGCAAAGTGAAAAAGAACCCAGACTAGAGAATATGCACCACCCCATTTCACTACTTCTTTGATAGTCTGAATGAGGTGATTCATTTGTAAATGTAACTCACTTATTATTTCACCCCCTACTTAAGCAGTAAACTATTTCCTATAATAATAGGCCTAGCACTTTTATATCTAAACTATATATATATATATAAAATCAAAGTTTTATCTCACTTGTTGTGCTTGTGTAACTCAGTAAAAATGTAGTGTCTTGCAGTCTAGGTATATGTCCGATCTAATCACGTTAGTCAGTTGATCAGAATTGAGAGGAAAATATAGGATTCAGCCTTACAAAACAACACATTGTAGTTTCTAAAATCATCCTCAGATAGCAATTTTCAAACAGAGTAACATTGGCTCAATATTAATTTCAATAAGTTCCTCTACATCGATATTTTATGTTTCTTGAACGAAAACAACGCCGGAAAGTCACACAAGTTCAGACACCACATTGTCCAGCTGTTAGCAGTTAAAAATGATTATTGTCGTACTTCATCACCGTACTTTAGCCGTGAAAAGTCGAGTGTTTTTGTCAATATTTTTTCAGTGAATATCAGAATTAACCATATAGACAATAAGTCACCTTTAACTGTGAATTGTGTTTAAAATAGAGTTGTTCTTCTCCTCAGGTGCAGATGGACTGATGGGTATTTACCTTTTCATGATTGGTGCATATGACCTGAAATTTCGTGGCGAGTACAACCGTCACGCTCAGGCCTGGATGGACAGCAGTCAGTGTCAGGTCATTGGCTCTTTGGCCATGCTTTCCACCGAAGTCTCTGTCCTACTTCTCACCTATCTCACTCTGGAGAAATACATCTGCATTGTGTATCCCTTCCACTACCTAACTCCTGGCTGGCGACGAACCGTCTCCATCCTGACTGGGATTTGGGTGTTCGGCTTTATAGTTGCCTTTCTGCCACTGGCCTGCAAGGGATTGTTTCGCAACTTCTATGGAACAAACGGAGTCTGCTTCCCTTTGCACTCTGAGCAGCCTGAGACGCCTTGGGCTCATGTTTACTCCATTGTTATTTTCCTTGGTGAGGATTTTTTTCAAAGAATACTCTATTTTACTTTTGTGTTTCTCAGTCCTTTAATCTAAATACACTCTCAATTATGCCATAAACAGCAGAGATTTATTTACACATGTGCACATAAGATCTGAAATATATTCAACTAAAATAGTTTGTAAACTAACTAAAAATCTTTTCATAGGACTCAACTTGGTGGCGTTCCTCATCATTGTCTTCTCCTATGCAAGCATGTTCTATAACATCCAAAGAACAGGAACTCAGACCACAATGTACAGCAACCACATCAAGAAAGAGGTCACCATCGCCAAGCGGTTCTTCTCCATCGTCATCACGGATTCCCTCTGCTGGATTCCCATTTTCATCCTCAAGATCCTGTCACTGCTGCAGGTGGAGATTCCTGGTAAAGTAAATCAAATGAAAATATTACATACTACAGAGTATTGGCACCTATTTTAACATCAAATTAGCAATAAGTATTACGTTTGAGACAGCCATGATCATCAAAAAGAAAACTTTTATGTCTGTACCTAACATAACATCCATCTTAAGTTATGGGTTTTGTATGTAGAATATTCTGTTTTTGGAGTTTAATTTAGATTTGGTGATTTTATTAAGGGGCGTCACTAAAGAAATATGCTAGATCCTGACGGCTTTGACAAGGCGGTGCTATTTACTGACGTAGTTGGTGCTGTCACCACAACTAACTACTGGGAATGTATTCTAATATGCTGCTTTTCAGAGCAGAACACCTAAGTTTGACAAGAGGTTATGAGTCGCATCATTTACTGCATTGAGAACTGAACTTTTCATGCTTTTATCTTCAACAATAACTTTGCTTGTGTTACAGTGTTAAATTTTTGACTTTGTAGATGAACTTTAGTTTTGCCGTTGGATATTTTTTATCTTTGGTCTGCTGATATTTTTCTGATTAGAATTTTTTTAACTGTATTCTAAGCTTTTTAGTTTACTCTCTGGACCATCTATCGTTGTTTTCCCTCAATTCCTCAATCACTTGGTACCTTCTTTACCTGGTGCCTCATTTATAAAGCTTGCTTACGCACAAAACAGAGTCTGAAGCATAAGTGACTTTCCACGCACAACTTGTGATTTATAAAGAGAAACTTGACAGAAAAATATAAACTGTGCTTAGAATCCTTATTAAAATCCTAGGTGTGGTTCACTCTTTTAATCAGTACATTTGCCATGGTCTCTAGTAGGAATGAATGCCTTGTAAGTTGTACTCGGGCATATAAAAGTTCAGATACTCATTCTAGGATATACAAGTCAGATGGAGGAGAAAGTAGCTTCAGACAACAGGATCTGGGGCCTTATTTAGTGATATTTAAGCATCTTACCTCTGCTTGGCTAACAGCAACACAACTCTACCACTGATTCTATTTGCATTGCAATGTTGATGTTTTATCTCCACAAGTAACATAATCAAACAAAGATCAGCTTACCTTTTGGTTCATTGCTGCAGGAACAGCATAGCAGGTGCGCTCGGCTCTGGCTTGCTGCAGTGCAGTTATGGGCTCGACACACGGGAGGCGACATCGCCTCTCCTCCATTCATTTTCAATGAGACATGCGCGACAAAGCGATAATTGCGGGTCTCCCTCCTACCAAGCGAAACGCGAAAAACGTGCGTGTGAAATTTTGCACTCGTGCACGTGTCGTGCACAGGTGACCCAGCGACGCAATCCCAGAAAGTTGAAACATTTTCAACTTTTCATCGCTGTCGCTCGGGCGAGGACCAATCAACGGAGGTTTCATTCACTGACCAATGAGCGGACAGGATGCGCCGTACATCTCCGAGCAAACATGGAGGAGAAGTTGATTATTATTGTTTTATTTAGTAAAATCAGAAGTAAGATTTCACATAACTGTAGCAGCACCTTGTGAAACATCATATCTACCGCTTTATTAACTCTGAACCGCTTAAATAACCTTAATTCCCTCCAACCTGACACATCCAAACAAAACAACGGAAGTTTCGATTTCGCCATGGAACAGAACGCGTAGACGGCTTTGCCGCTGGCCGCTGCCGCGGATCGCCTCCCGTGTGTCAGGTAATAAAAGCGACAGCGACAAATTTCGCTGATCGCGGTCGTTTGTCGCCTCCCGTGTGTGGAGCCCATTACAGTTTATCATATGACTAACCCAGGACACACTGTCACAAATTACACAAATAATGCACCAATAAGTAATTTTAATTCTTATTTATATGAATGTACTATTTTAATTACAGATATAATTTTGATTCTCAGTTCAGAGATGGGAAGAGCTGATTATTTGTATTGTGTGTGCGTGCGTGCGTGCGTGCTTGTGTGTGTGTGTGTGTGTGTGTGTGTGTGTGTGTGTGTGTGTGTGTGTGTGTGTGTGTGTGTGTGTGTGTGTGCACGCACGAGTGTCTACACCAGGGCCATTCAATTCCTGGCCTGGAGGGCCGGTCTCCAGCATGTTTTGGTTTCACCCTGCTTCAACACACCTGATTTCAATCAGCAGATGATTAACAGCAGGGTCCGAAATTAACACTCACCAAATGCGAGCAAATTGCTCGCATTTGGCGAGTAAATTTTTGAGCTCTATCTGCCACATAGCGAGTAAATGTTTGCACCAAATTAGTTATGTTTATCAGTCATCTTCCATGGGTTTCTGATACTCTTCCCGCCTGCACGCAACGTACGCGAAACGTGAGCGCCGCATCCAACGTCATTTCCACCTATCCCATTCAATCAGTTTATCAAGTTAGCAGTTAGCTTCGTGTTAAAACTAGCGGTGAAATGTGGCGGTTTTTAACTGGAGTCAGCCAGCCTTCCAAAGGAAAACTCGTCGAACTGGAAGGAAAACTACCAGGTCCAGTGGCAACCAGAAGATTTAGTGAAAAGTGGCGAACTGGAGATGGCGGAGTCGTGAGACAATGGCTACATTATGATGGCCACGTAGCGTTGCTGCCTTTCACAGACACTTTTTCTGCTCGTGCTGCAAACAGGATAGCCGTCTTCTATCAACTGTCCCTCGGCATTGTTCAGATATCCAAAAAATGCCCATACTTCCTTCTTTGAGGGATAATAAATGTCCCGAGTGCTAAAGTGCGCATGTGCCGCCGGCAACTTCAGCAGATGATACAGTGGCTGGTAAGGGTCACCGCGCCTACACCGCAGCCACGGTAACCCACCGAGATATTTTTTTTAAACAAGACGGTTATTATTATTTTCAACTTTTTTACCGGGGTTTACTGCTACACCGGTTACCGTGACAACCCTAGCCCTGACATACTTTCAGATATTCTCATGGTGCAGCTGTGTTCTCCAGAGATCAAGGACTATGACCCAAATGAGGCTGTAATGCTTTGGCACAAAGACGGTGTCAGAAGCAGGAGGCCAGACTTCATGGACAGAGAAAACAAGGAGTCTGACTAGATTTCAATGAAAGAGTTCATAAAAACATCTCTAAAAATAACTAAAATAGTAAAAATGACAGAAGAGTTGTTTTTCTTATTAATTGATGTTTTAATTATTTTGTCACTCTGTTTGGAATCAACATAATATAGAATTACATGCTTTAGGTAGATCTAAATCATTTAGAATTTTGGCCGGTAAAAAATATGCTTGGCCAGTAGATTTTCATCATCTACCGGCCAACTTGGCCGGTGAGTAAAAAATTTAATTTCGGACCCTGATTAACAGGCGTCTGCAGATGAGCTGCTGCACAGGTGATTCAACCACTGAATTAAGTGTGTTGGAGCAGAGAAACCACTAAAACATACTGGATACTTTGCTTGTGTTACATTGTTACATTTTTGACTTTGTAGATGAACTTTAGTTTTGCCGTTGGATATTTTTTACCTTTGGTCCACTGATATTTTTCAGATTTGAATTTTTTAACTGTATTCTCAGCTTTTTCATTTACTCTCTGGACCGTCTGTCGTTTTTTCCTCAATTCCTCAATCCCTTGGTACCTTCTTTACCTGGTGCCTCATTTATAAAGCTTGCTTACGCGCAAAACAGAGTCTGAAGCATAAGTGGCTTTCCACGAACAACTTGTGATTTATAAAGAAAAACTTGACAGAAAAATATAAACAACTTACCTGTCAGGGAGGAATTTTTGTGTAAGACTGGGGGACTGTTCGTCTGATACTGCTGATTTGCAATGTGGAGTGCCTCAGGGATCAGTCCTGGCACCTCTCCTGTTTTCCCTCTATCTGCTGCCGCTGGGTGACTTGTTTCGTCGGCACGTCAAGTTTCACCTGCATGCGGATGACTGTCAAATCTATTTACCAGTATCATGTAATAACTCAAGTTCTTTCAAACCACTCTTGAACTGCTTGGAGGAGGTCAAATTATGGGTGGCTCAGAATGTATTGTTCTTCAACTAGAATAAAACTGAGACTATCCTGTTCGGCCCGAAAAACAAACATGGATGTGCCCAAGGGATTGACTCTCCTTCATTAGCACCTTTGGAGAAGGCTGTGGTCACCAACCTGGGGGTGAAGTTGGATGTAGAGCTCACACTGGACAGCCAGGTCAATGGAACAATCAGATCCTGCTATTTCCATCTCAGGAGAATAGCTAGGATTGAGCCGTTTCTTTCACGTAAACATCTGGAAACTGTCATCCACACCTTCATTACCACCAAACTGGACTACTGTAACTCGCTTTATGCAGGCATCAAGCAGGCCTCCATAGCGAAGCTGCAGAAGGTCCAAAATGTGGCAGCTAGGTTACTGACTGGTACCAGGAGATCTGAACACAGTACGCCCATCTTGGCATCCCTACACTGGCTTCCAGTCTCTTTTAGAATTTTTTTTAAAGTTCTGGTGTTTGTTTTTAAATGTTTACATGAGCTGGCTCCACGATATCTCTCAGATCTGATCCATCCTTATGTTCCCGCAAGGAACCTTCGGTCAGCACAGCAAGGACTGTTGGTTGTTCCTCAACACAGACTACAATCTCGAGGGGATCGTGCTTTCTCGGTGCTGGGGCCGAGGCTCTGGAATGAGCTACCTGCATGTGTTAAACAGGCCACCACACTCGGCAAGTTTAAGAGCCAGCTGAAAACACACTTTTATTTTTTAGCTTTTAACCAAGAAGAATCTCGTTAACGGATGGTTTAGCACCTTTTTGCTGCCCCACTTAGATTTTATCTACATGTTTTTGTTGGCTACATGGTTTTATTTTTTGTTTATTTCTGCTGTGCAGCGCTTTGTTTGGTCCTTGGGCCATGTGAAGGCACTATATAAATAAAGTTTAGTAGTAGTAGTAGTGGATACCAGCCCTCCAGGACAGGAATTGAATAGCCCTGGTCTACATGTCTGAAAATGTGTTCTAAATGAAAGATTTCACCATCTTCCTGGCTGCGCTCCCAGGTTTCCCGTCTCCAAAATATGCTTTGGCCAGGCCCAAATTTTGCCTAAATTTGTGCACATCAAGCTTTTCTTTATAAGTCAAAAAGTTTGCGTGGGAAAGCATTTATACATAGTTTTCAGACACTGTTTCATGTGTTAGCAAGGTTTTTAAATGAGGCCCCAGTTCTGTCTACATCACACTTTTTGAATTTCTCCACCTCTAATCTGTTTGCTACTGAGTTTTTGGTTTACTTGGATTATTATTTTTGCTGCATTATTAGCTTCTGTTTTTCTTCATTAAAGTTTTCAGCATTGCTTAGTGTTTGTACTTTTTACCCATAAAATTACTGTTAAACAGAAGGTAAATGATCAACTCAGCATGATTTGAAACTAGTACAATTTATTATTGAAATTTCACTTGTCACTGTAAAAAAATTGTAAAAATATTTTCATTATTTTCTATCATGTAGTTTTTCACTTATTTTGCCTTTCTCTGATCATCTGTCTCTACTTTCTTCTCTGGCAGGTACCATCAGTTCCTGGGTCGTCATTTTCATTCTCCCCATCAACAGCGCCCTGAACCCGATCCTCTACACTCTAACTACACGACCTTTCAAAGAAACTATTCTGCAGGTGTGGGCTAACTACAGGCAGAAAAGGCCTCTTCTCAGTGGCCATCCGCCACATCATCCATCCCTCACGTGGCAAGAAATGTGGCCCCTGCAGGAAAACAGTCACGCCATCTCCCCGGGACTTCCAGTGGATGCGACAGACACAGCGGCCAAGCTCACCCCTGTGGAGACTACAGAAGATGGACATAATGACATTACCACGTGTACAAAACAACAGCTAAAACAGCACACTGTGTTGTCGGTTTGCTCACATAATAAAGTAGTCCCACACACTCTCACACATATTCATACATTGACTCAAACTAACGATCTACTCTAAGTGTCTACGAGCACAGCTACATGTTTTGGTTGTAACTTCTGTGCACATCATTTCCACCAGGTAAATGTTCCATGCTCATTCAGTATTGTGATTTATATTTGTCCTTTAAAGGTGTGGGAGACACGGTTATTCAGTACATTTGCAGTTGTGAAATGAATGCCTTATAGGTCGTACTTAGGGCATCAAAAAGCTCAGAATTGCTTTTTTCAGCATAGACAAGTGTTGAAGTCTTATTTCCTGTATTTGGACATCTTGCCTTGGATTGGATGACAGCAACGTGACTACCACTGACTTGCTACGTGGATGTTTTATCTCCGCAAATATCACAAGCCTGGAGGAGTTTTTCTGTGTGGTGAACTTGCTAATGCTAACGTTAGCTTGTACTAGTGAGGACATTGTCTGCTGGTTTCTGGACGTTAAAACAACTGCCGTGAGATCGGTGAGTCCATGAATGCTAATTAACATAGATCTGTCAGGCTTTTCAAATCCTTGAGTTTCACTGTCTGTTTTCTCTCAAAATTTAATGCAGCAGATAGGTGTAGGAGACGATTTCCATATTCAGTCTGCATGAAAAACTCAAGAGTGACAAATTATAATCAGAAGTAGTCATAAAGAAAAGGTTTTTCACTGAACTACACCTTTAAAAAAACAAGGATTTTTGCAGTTAACTTGTGCCCAGATTTCATTGCTTTTTTATGTATGCTCAAAAGTCCAACCCATCATGTTGTTTAGTCCTTTAGAAGTCAAATTCTTTGCATCATTTGTCCAGGCAGCAACCACAACCTAGATTAGGCCTCTGTAGAAAATGCTGATGCAGCGTGTTTTCTTTGTGTTCAGGTTTTGCAAAAATATGTCAAGTAAATCAAAGCTGCTACAAGAGTATTAACAGCAGTGAAAGTATGGATCAATAGAAGTATTATGGTAAACACACTGGAATGCTAGTCACTTGGGTTTTGAAATATGTTTAAAGGAGTTTTATGTAAAAATTTAGTAAAAACGACATACTCTGGCCAAATTTGGTTAGTGCAGCTCTTTTTCCAAACAAGAGTAAGTATCTCACACCCATTCTACTACTTCCATGGCTGTTGCCAGCTACAATAAGCACCAGAAGATTCTAGATGACACACATACACAATAAGTGGATGTGTATAAGGACATTTCGCTGTAATATGGAGTTGTTGGTAATTGAAAAAGTTACTTGATTATTTTAGAGCTGATTATTTTTTTCTAATTAACCGTTAGCAACTTTACCCTCAAGCCTCCTTCAAGATATAGAGTAAAGCAAATAGATGCAGTGGCTTCTTAAGGTAACAAAAATGTCTGGATCACTACTGTCACTGGCTTAGGTTATTTACAAAATACTTTACAAATGCTGGTGCTTCAGTGTTAGCTCCCACAGACTCGACAACCTCACAGGCTCACAGATAGTAAACAAAGAATACATCCCTCTTTAGCTTTTTGAAGGGAGAAAAACTGACAACCCCCAGTTGGCTGAGAAGGAAATGTGTTTCAATGTAAACTTCCTTCCTACACTGGTGAGACAATTGACTGTTTTGTGATTACTTCACTGTAAAATCCTTAGTTATTGTACCTTTAAATCTGAAAATATTTCCAATATCTAAGGGTGATCTGATACTATTCTAAATTGGCAATATTGGAGGAGTCGATTTATTAAACAATTCTAACTTAATTTAGTAATGTTTTATCATTCCCTAAATTCTAATGTTTTTTAAAATGCATTGAGATAAAACACTGAGCTCATTAGAACATTTTAGTAAGGTTTATTTCCATATTTAAAACGTGATTTAGGTTTAGTGGGTTGAAGGCTTCACAGAAATGCTTCTGCTCTTGTTCACTTTTTTTATATTTTTTCCTAAACAGAGCAGCGAGTAAGGAGTTTCCAGCTGTAGCTTCTGTTTCTGGTGATGTAGCTTTTGTTGACAACAGCTGCAGCACTGAGATGTGAGATTACTGAGCGTGTAGACATTTGCACTTCTCTATTTGATCTTGGGAGTTGTCAATCTCCACCGAGCAGGTAACATTACAATTATGATGTGCTGAATTGGGGGGGGGGCTGGTGCCTATCTCCAGCTGTTAATGGGCAATCAGGCGGGGTACACCCTGGACAGAGAGCCAGTCCATCGCAGGGCAACACAGAGACACACAGGACAAGCAATTATGCACACACCACCACCACAAACCACTTCCATCTTTCTTGTTGTCCTAGATTTTCTTTTCTTTATTTTGTCATAATTTTGTTAAGCGGCTGCATCAACACTATAACTTACCAAATGTCAACAACAAACTTCCTGTTTATGACATATTATCAACTCTAAAACTGGCCTTCCCACCACTTCACTCGTGTCCACCAGTCAATACATCCCTCTCTAGTCAGCCAGTAGTCTCTTAAGGTAACCTATCAAATCTATTGCTGTGGAATCTGAAGTTGAATGATTGATCCTTGCTGAAGATAGCTCCATATAAGCAATGTCCATATAAATATTCAAAGTCAGTGCACAAAAGACAAGTTGTTTAGCAAGTTCCAACTTTGAGCGCTGATTGTCTTCATTGCAGTCAATCCTGCAAACCAGACTCAAAGGGTTTTCTGTGTGTGAGATAGCTGTGAGTCATCATTTAGTAAATAAGCAATGGTATCCAAGGGGAGAGGGACACAATTCAAAGTGGTAATATAACAAAGTATTTTAACCCAGAGGACATTCCCATTAAACATCAGTAAATGAGCCCGGCATCCCAGGGGAATACAGTGAGCTAAAGGAATCTGGCAGTCATAATTGGTGTCAAATTAGCTCTATGGCAAATTTTTAATGTATATATTAATGATTGGGGGTTTTATAGGCCCTCTCAACACATTTTGGGTTAACAGGTATTTATAATTATATGAAACTGTCATTTTAGGCATATTTTATAATCGTCCTAGATTTTCTTAGAACAAGGCACTGTATTTTGCTTTTTGAGATCTGTTGGTCTAAATTCTCTTGTACAGCTCTGACTGCTGTCAGGTGTGGGTGTGACAATCGGAATAATTTCAGCCATCAAAAAATGTGGTTGCAGTTATGGTTCATCAAAGTGACTGTGTGTAGTTTTTACCATTAATCTCAGGAAATATTCATTGAAATGTTGTTGTAAATTAATTAAAAGATAACCAGTTGTTGAAAAATGTTGGCAGTTTAATAACATATAACCATAATAAATGGGGTCTAAAATACATGGGAGGGGGTCTAAGTCTGTGGGCGACGCCATATTGGATTCCATGTTTTCTTTTACGGAAGCCCGTGAGGACAGAATGCGTTAACTGATTTGTAACAAACTGTTACAAAACTTTCGGCATTAATAAATATTGTTCTTTTACACATTTACCTCTTCACTCATTGCAAGCGGTGAAAGGAAATCTGATGGTCTTGTTATTTTGCTGGAGGTTGCACTGCCAGGGATTTTTGACCCTAATGGTCATCCGTTGGTAAGATCTTACTTGAACACAAAAATACTGCTTGCTTGCAATGATTTAGGCATCTACTGCTCCCTATCGGCAGTGAAAATACACACTGTCATTTTAAATTAAGAAATATTTCTCCACAAAGGTCAGGCTGATTAGGATATTTTGTCTTTTTTTCCTCATTGTTGAAAAATATTGTTGGCCTTTTAACATATAATCATAAAAGTCGGATCTAAAGTACATAAGTGTCTGGGCAACGCCATATTAGATGTGATGTTTCCTTCTATGTGAGCTTGTGAGGACAAAATGCTTTTACTGATTTGTAACAAGCAGTTACAAATCTTTCACCATTCATTAATGTTATCGTTTTACACATTTACCTGTTTACTCCTTGCCAGTGATGAAAGGGAGTCTGATGTGTTTCTCATTTTGCTGGAGGCTGAACAATCTGACAGAGTACTCGTTCAGAAATTGTGCTCCCATGGATTTTTTACCCTAATGGCCATCTGTTGTTGGTAAGATCTCATTCAAACTCTAAAATACCTCTTGCTGGCAATGATTTTGGTATGTGCTGCCCCCAATCGCCAGGAAAAATACACACGTCACTTTAAATGAAATCATGTTAAAACTACATTTTACGTTTTATCAGATTACTTTTGTCTGATATTGATATTTGTTTGTAGGCTAGAACTGGTGTACCTTTACAGCAGTGAAGTTGGTGTAGGTCTGCATGCAGGCTGGTATCACTGCAGGTTTCAATGTATTCTCATACACTTTCATTTTGTTTATATTGCCTCTGAGTGCATTCAGTCTTAGGCTTTACTGCTATGTGCAGGGATGGGAAATTGCTTCAATTTGGTGAGAATTCCTTTGCTACAATATGTCTTGCTTCCCGTACTCAACTTAAAGGTCAACAGCAGACGAATGATGGAACTTGGGTTTTCAGTCAATTTTCGCAAATCCCTGCAGAGCTGCAGTCATAGCAGCTCCATTTCAGTCACTGTCAAGTAAAGACTATCATGCCCTGCATGCAATAAATATCACACTGAATTTTGTGTTTTATATATATATATATATATATATATATATATATATATTTTTTTTTTTTTTTTTGTAGCCACACTATATCTCAGATGATGGCAGAAAAGGTCCATGCCACACAATTAGTGTTGAGATCTTACTGAGAATGAGGAGGGCTGATGTCAGAGATACTTTGAGTGATTTAATGTTGTAACCTCATAAAATCTGCCTGATGGGAATATTTTATTTAAACAAAGAACGTCCCACCCAGATGTATGTCTTGGCTATGCTGAGTATGTTTTTGAGATTGCACTTTACATTTTAAAACAGAAAAATATAAGGGCTGGATTCAGCTGATTTTTCAAAAACAACATAAGGGTTCCCGTTCCCCTCATGGTGAGAAGTAGCCCAAATAAATCAGTTTTATTACTCTGCTTATAGAAGCACATTAATGCTGTAGTTGCAAAATGTCAACACACAACATTTAAATCATTTACCACCATAAGAGTTAAGTAGTTTGACATAAAATTTTAATGAAGCTGATTTGAATTCAAATTCACTTGTAGAGTTGCACATCTTTAACAGCTCTCGTGAATTTTAACTTCATCTTCACATTATGCATGTGGCACATATAGAACCAAATAAATCTGACGAATCATACCTCCAACACACACACACGCACACGCACACACACACACACACACACAGGTTGCTACGTGTTGTTGCTCATCTATCCAGAAGCAATTTGACCAGAGTATGTTGGTAATGCCTTGCAAAACAATCAACCAAATGGTACCAACAACATACCTCTGCCAAGGTGAGAATAAAATGACATGTAACCTTCTGTGCCAGCAAGTGGTCCAAGTATATGAATGCAACAGTAGTTGATGGGGTTTGGGGTTCCAAGAGGCAACAACAGCTTGTCTTTAAATGCAGCTATTTATTGTCACACATATCTGTAAGAGGCAGGCATGCAGAAGCTGCTCTGAATATCACTGAGCAGCCGCTTGATGGCATGTATTCTAAAAATGTTATTTCTGGCCTTTAAAAAAGAAACAGAAAATCTCTTTATGTAATTTTAATCCAACAGCTGCTTTTTTCCAGGTTGTTTTATAAGAGATCTGCTTGCACCTGTGTTCCGTTGAAGCTGTTTCGTGTTCATGAGACTTCATTTAAAATGAGTGTGTTGCAGCTATTTCTGGTCTGTCAATTGTTGTGACATTTTTGTCACATTTTTATATTTAACCCTCTGGAGGCAGGTTTGCAATGTTAAAACCTACCTGCCTGGTTACTCCACATACGTGTTTCATGAGCATTGTTTAACTCAGAAGTACTCCTGAAGGACTTTGTTGTTTGTCCTTTTATCAAAATATATTTTGAGCCTGAGAGGGTTAAAACATTTTGTACTGTTCATAGCCACATTGTTTGTGTGTGTGTGTGTGTTTTGTTTTACTGTGGAGTCTTTCTTGTGTGTGATCTGAGTGAGGTATTCTGCCACACAGAAGCATTTTGAATATGCAGCTGTATGCTTTTAGCCATCAGATATCTGGCAATTGTTTATTCTGTAAAAGAAACTGATTATGAATTTGGCAATTAAATGTATGTTGCATTATTGTGCAATCAGCCACGAAGAAGCACTTTTGAAAAACTGAAGTGCGTAAATCAGCTCTGTTCTTTGCCCCCTTTTAGGAACACCATATTTGTGAATACATTTGTTCTACTTGCAGGAATATGAACTACTTTTATGTCAACGTTACATTTTGAGGTTCATTCTGTTGAGGGTGATACAATGCAACCAGTTTTGTTCTCTGTTGTTTGTTCGTCTATGAAAAGCGATGTTCTCTGCTGCCTGCAGTCACAGGAAGCTCTACGTTGAATGTAAAATATTTGAAAGACTTGGTGTGTTTTGTACTGTTTTTACTTTGGACAGGTGTGAACTCTTGACTTTCCCAGTCAGTTGTAGAAACAGGCAGCAATTTTAAAGTCTTTTGTAACATTTCCCAGCTGGTCTGGGGGTGGATGAACTGAGTCAGATTCATTTTACCAACCCTGACATCACAATACGTTATTTTACACTGTGATGTACATTAAAAACCTTTGTACAGTCAGCAGAACTATACAATAAAATACAATCATGAACTCATCTTTTCAGTCCTTATTCAAAAATGGCCTGCATGTGACATAGAGCCTTCTAGGGTTCCAACCACCCCCCCCCCCACCCCCCCAGCCAATCAGTCATTCACCCATGCACACACACAATCACACCCTGGTGGTAATACACTACAACGTAGCCACAGCTGCCCTGGGACACACTGACAGAAGCGAGGTTTTCAAACGCAGGCGTCATCGGTCCCTCCGACCACCGGCAGGCAAGGAGGGTTAGGTGTCTACCCAGGGACACGACTGCTACAGCAGGACTCAGTCCTACAACCCTCCGATTATGAGACAGGCACTTTACTCCTCTGCCACTGTTGCCCCAAATGTATCTGTTTCTATTTTAAATGAACAATAAAATTCTATTTAAAACATGCGTGTGTCAGATTGGCTGCCTCACATTCTGTTTTGAAAGTTTACCTGATAAATTAGATTCTGAACCTGAAACAGCAGTTCATAGATGTCAGAAGGAAGGAGATACTGTATAATGGAGAACTGAACTAGTCAAACAAAAATCTAATTAATTGGGTATGAAATGGCTTAATGAACTGACCTGTATTGGAATGTTTATTATGTGAAGTGCCTTGAGACGACTCTTGTCGTGATTTGAAACTATATAAATAAACTTGAATTAAAATTGAAATTGAAATGAAATGGCACCTCCATGTAAAGATTACATTGAGAAGATAAATGTTTATTTTCAGGTAACATGTCAACTTTAATATTAGGTGTTTTTAAAAGTTACAAGCACTGCTTTACTTTTCCTCAGCTGAGGCACCTTTTCCTATGGGAAAGGCCTTCAGGCTTTTGAGTAGATCATGTTTTACGACACATTGCTTAGTGGATTTGTTTGAAACACCCCAAAAGTCAATTTTCAGCTCTAACTACATATATTTTGGACAGATGGCCCCAGTTTATCTTCCAACTCTATATTATGTGTCTGAATTAAAAATAATCGGCTAACATCACTCTGAAAGAACCAAAGCAACCCCTTTGCCAGTTTGGGATGAATTTGTTTTTGCAAGTCTTTAGAAAAGAAAAATATGTTTTTGAATTCTGATTAGTTCTGACGGAATAAACAATCTACAGGAAGGCCATGACTAACAGGTTACTGCTGACATAAACAACTCCAATCTCAACAATGTTATATCGATTTACTGTATGTTAACACTATTCTATAAACATTAAAACTATTGTATTTATTATTCACAGCAGAAATTAGCAGTGGGAATCATCTGTAGATGACCCAGTTCAGCATCTCATATTATTATTGCTTGATTCAGTGGTAAGAGTTTTAATCATATGCTCATAAAGTAAAGAAATAAACAAAGTGTTTCTGAAATAATGTTAAAATATCAACCAAAGAAGCCAAAATCAGTTAATTATTTTATTTGCAAAATATACCTAAATAGTAAAGAAATCGATCCCATAACTAAAGATTTGGCTATGGTGGTGCATTATTTCCTCTCAGTGAGAAGGCTGCAGGTTCAAATCCTGTCTGCAGCATTTCTGCTCAGAGTTGTGCATTCCATGTATGTGTGGGCTTTTCTCCAGATACTCAAGTTTCCTCTCGCAGACCAAAAACATGCATTTACGGTTAAATGAGGACTCTAAATTTCCCCTAGGTATGAGTGAGAGGGTGACCGATTCTTTATTTGGCCTGTGATGGACCAGAGACCTGTCCAGGGTGTCCCCCAACTCTCGCCCGATGACTGCTGTAGTTAGATACACACCAGATCCCCGTGACCCTACTGAGGAAAATGACTAAAATAATGAGTTATTGGGTGAATTTATGATTCCATCTGCACCTACTAATTTATATAAATATGCCCAAATTATTTTGTAACATTATTTCCTGTTTCAAATACATTATGTAAGGTTTACATTGGGAAAAGTTTTTATTAGAACACAGATGTTGCCAGGCCTCGTGGGGCATGTGCCCCAGTACTGAGCTGCTACGTCCCAGAAAAATGCCTAAATCAGCCCCAGTGTTTTGAATTACTGTTGATTGAAAAGAAAACTTTTGAAATTCGTGAAACAATGAAAACAGTCTGACAGTTCATGTTTGAAGAGCATGCAACAGCCACAAAAACAAAACAAGCCTATAGGAAGTGAGTATCGGTCAACTGTAAATCATTCCAACATGCTGCAAGAAGAAAATGTAAAAAAAATAAAATAAAATAAATTTTTGAACAACATCTTACTAAAGGTAAGAAACTTTTCACTATTGGCCCTAAAAGTGTATTACTGGGGAGGTAGGAAACAATAGAAGAGATAATATTAATTAAACTCAGTTTTTCAACAGATACATTTCCAAAAATTGGAGCATACTTTTTCTTAATTAACTTTTTTTTCTTCCTGAAACATCAGTTCTGCCAGCGAAATGCAAAAACAACTATGTAGAAGAAGGCCATATAATTCAATTCAAATTCAAAAATACTTTATTAATCCCAGAGGGAAACTGATTGCTGTAGTAGCAAGTGTATATTACAATGGCTGTTGGCAGGAAGGATCTCCAGTAGCGGTCAGTGTTGCAGCGAAACTGAAGACGCCTCTGACTGAAGACACTCTTCTCTTGTCGGGCAGTCTTGTGAAGAGAATTTTCAGGGTTGTCCATCATTTTCTTGATTCTCTGGAGAATCCTTCTTTGCATTATCTCCTCCGGTGGTTCCACAGTCGTCCCCAGAACAGAACCAGCCTTTTTTATCAGGCTGTTGAGCCTTTTCAGGTCCCTGCTTCTGATGATACGATATATAACCATTTTCAAAGAGGTTTTATTTTTAAATTCCACATCAGATTTGTATGAAACTTTGTTTCTATGAAGGGGAGGTGGTCTAATACTCATCCATCCACACCAGATGCTGGCATAACAGGGAAGTTTTTTTAAACATTTTTTCAAAGTAGAGGAATGAACGATATATAACCATTTTCAAAGAGGTTTTATTTTGACATTCCACATCAGATTTGGACGTAACTTTGGTTTTATAAACTACAGGTGTTCTAGTACACAGCTGTCCACACTAGATACAGGCATAACAGGGAAGTTTTTTAAACAAATTTTCAATGTAGAGGAATGAACGATATATAACCATATTCAAAGAGCTTTAATTTTGAAATTCCATATCAGATTTGGACGAAACTTTTTTTATAAGAACTAGAGGTGTTCTAGGGCTCATCTGTCCACACCAGAAGCTGGCGTAACAGGGGGATTTAAAAAAATTATTCAAAGTAGAGGAATGAATGATTTATACCATTTTTCTAAGAAGTACTTTTTTAATTCCACATTAGTTGTTGATGAAACTTCCCGTGGTGGAACTGGTGGTGTTTGATTCTTCACTGTTTAACACCAGAAGATTCTGGAAACAGATTTTTTTCTATGTAATATGTATAAGTTTTTGGAAGCATAATATATAAATAAAAATAAGCTTTTCTATGAAGTTTCACAGGAAAAACGAGAGGTCATCGAATTGTAATAGTATCAAATCACTATGGACTTATAGAGAAACATGTTTAAAAAGGATTGTCACAAGTCGTTTTATAGGCATTTCCACCATTTGTAATATATTTTTGAAATATCTGTTAAAATGGCGATATAAGTATAATTTGGTAACTTTTGAATAACATTTTTCAAGTTTTTTTAATTAATCAGTCAGAAAATGTTTCTGAGATGGGCTTTTATTTTCAAAAACAGTGGTCAAAATGGCGAAATACATATAATTCGGTAACTTGAATTCCGTTTTGTAAATTTTTTTCATATAAGCATTCAGAAAATACATTTTTGAGATGGGCCTCTATTTTGAAAAGCAGTGGCCCGAGCTTTTACCGTAAAGCAGTGAATGCGTGCGTCTAGCAAAATCAAGCGAGGGCTACGTTACCGTGAATCGGCGAGTGGAGGCTGGCTTTACCCCAGTGTAGTAAACAGTTGTCTCGTTACCTTACTTGTGTCTTGTGGGTAGAGTCTCGCAACCTTTGAACAGGCAGCGGTGTCAGTGCACAACAGCTCTGCTTTGCCTCACTTTAATAAAGAGCTGACCTCTGGTGAGTCTACACACAGAGGATGTTTCCTGCCAGCAGATACTCCTGTAAAGGTGAGCCAGCTAACTCGTTAGCTAACACGTCAGAAGCGTCCGTTACTACACGATAGATGTGGCGATTTGTTCATTAAATCCAATAGTTTTGTTTACTGGGCTTGCTTTTGTGTTTACAGAAAGCGTAAAGTGTAACTTTATATTCTCTTTATTTAATTGTATCTTAGAGTTGTTAGCTCCTTTCGCTAGCTCTTGAGAGTCTAGCACGCTCACTTGCATTAGTGGAAAGCCAATGTAGGTGAAAGTTCAATCACTCATGTAGGGTCTCGGGAAGCGTGTGATTGTTATGGGTCAAAGATCCAGTTCAGAGTTTTCGGATTTGCTCTTTTCTCTTTTGGTTTTTCCCTCTAGAGCTAAACGTCTATATCATAACAGAGGTTGTAAGTTGAAAACTTAGTGCTAGCTAATGTTTTCTACAGCTGTTTCCTTTTTATGTTTTATGTTTATTGAAGGTCCCCATTCCCATTTTTGTGAAGTCTTATAAAGAAATGACCCTTTATGTATGTACTTTTTTTGTCCCAACTAAACCAGTTAGAATTGGTCAAACCTACCATGAAAAGACTGGTCTTAACTGGGAGCTGTTTTCTCTCTTGCAGCACACAGGTGTATCAGGACATTGACAACACTACAGACAGATCATGTTGTCCCTCAGCTATACACACATGTACACAGGAGGGCATGCTCCTCGCTGTCAACACCCCGCATCACCACACACTACACTATCCATCCTCGAGATAAAGATCCAAGATGGCAAGGTATAGCATAGTTATTTGTTGTAGTTATTGTAAAGTATTTTTATGATCAGCATCTGTAATGTTGTGTGTGATCCTGTACCTTGCTCAGTTGTATTATGGGATCATCACGTCCTCTGTAAATGGTAAACCTTCTTATCACCGCCTTTGGTAGTTTAATTTTGTTGTAAGCAAAGCTTGGATGAATCTGTTCAAGTAGATTCAGAAATTAGAATGTGTCATGAAAGAATAATTATATCATTTCAAACATTCGGCACTTTTAAAATGATGAACTTGTTTCAGTCATGTTTAATTTTTTTTCATTTGAGCTAATAATTTATTTTCTTTTAAGTTATGTGAGTGGACTTTAATGTAAAATTGTTTTAAAATGTTTTCGAAAAAATAAAAATCACATGACTGTCCGCGATTATTCAGTCTGAGTTTATAGATGTTTCAGGGCTGCATCTGAATGGTAGTGGAAATGGTTTCCCTTCCTTTGTCATGTACTTAAATTTACTTCTTGAATATTTTCATAGATATTGAAATGGAAAGGTTTGCTGATGAGGCAGACGTGGTGATCGTGGGTGGGGGCCCTGCTGGACTTTCAGCTGCCATTCGCCTTAAGCAGCTAGCCAACCAACATCAGAAGGAGCTGCGAGTGTGTCTGGTAGAGAAGGCATCTCAGCTTGGAGCACACACTCTCTCTGGAGCCTGTTTGGAGCCCAGTGCCCTCACCGAACTCTTCCCTGATTGGAAGGAACGAGGGGCAAGTGTCTTAGCTTTTTTCATAACCAGGGTTAGCTGTCAGTGGAAAGTTAAGTGTGGGTTGTTGTCATGATTGCTTTTATGACATGATGCATGTTTTTACTTATTTATCAGCCTTTGCCTTTACCACAGCTACATAAACTAAATAATATACTCAAGGTTGAATTCTTGTAAGATTTGTTTTAAAACTTTATTTTTCTTCCCCTAGGCGCCTCTGAACACTCCAGTGACAGACGATGTGTTCAGTATTTTCACTGAGAAACACAGAATTCCTGTTCCCATTTTGCCAGGTAAATGGCGGAATGCTCCTTGTATCACTTTCATGCTCTGACAGAAAATGGGATTCATTGAGTCTTTTTGTTATTCTTAGTGTATTTTTTTTATTGTATGATATAAAGATGCTTCAAGTTGGTAGAAAAATGAGTCATTTAAACACTACCTAAAGGTTGTGGGCCTCTTTAAAGAAACACAGATGTTTTTCTAATATAAGATTCAAAATATGTTTAGCCCCCCGTGTTCTGTCTGGCTGTAAAGCAATCAGAATGGATGTCTGAGTGCAGAGGATATGCCAACATCACAGGTGGAGCAGTATAGCTTCAGCTACAATGCCTCACCTACTACCAAAACTTTATTAGAAATACTTTTGGTTGTTTTAAATCCCAACCGACATGGAGACAGAAATGAAAGAGAAAAGGGGGAGAGCAAAGGAAGAGGTGGGGGGTGAAAAAAAAGTTCACAAAAATAAACAAACAATGTACAACAATCCCCTTAGACCTGCAGATAAAGAGAAAAAAAGGGAGACAAACAAAAATACAACTGAACCAAAATATCACTGTACCAACTGCATGAGGATATATAACAGACCTGCCTCCAAAGACCCACGGAACCCAGGGTGATTGTCGCCAGAAAAGCCCCAAACCCCCTCCCAAGAGGTGCGGAGGATCACCCCCGGGGCGGGCAACCAGAAGCCACGCCAGACACCTAGGAGATAATAACAGGCCCGCCCGCAGCCACCCACTCCTGGGCAGGTTGAGCTCAGAACTCAGCGGCCCGGGACCCAAGGGCGCCCAACTCCAGTGGAGACCCAACAGAGCCCAGGGATCCAGATCCCACCAGGCATCTACAAGGAGCTAGCAGACAGATGCCAAAAACGTCCAGTCCCAAGCACAGGAGCTATGAATACGAAGGCAGACTGAGGCACCACCCGTCAGCAGGAAATGTGGCGGGGGGGAGTAGGAGAGGATGTTGGAGCACCACAAGATGTCCCAAGAGACGGGAGGAGTCCAAGACCCTATCTGACAGATACAGTCACACACTCCCACTATCATGCTTACACATAAACACTTACAACCTAAAGACAAACAAGAATGGATGTCATAGACTCACTCACACTCCCCATACACACCCTACTCACTCTGATCCTGGTACTGCCGTGCAGACGGCACAACCATTCCTGGACACCAGGGGTCTCATTAATCAAACATGTAGAATCCTTACTAAAACCGTACTTAAACTCAGCAAAAAAAAAAAAAGTACTTAAGCCAAGTAGGTTTGTGATCTATCAAACATGGAGTACGCACAGCTGCACGCAATCTCCGCTTCATAAATCAGAAACTATTTAGAAATGTTCTCAGCGTCATTTTAGTCACATCCCGCCCCCCACCACGCCCACGTACTGCCATAAATAGTCAGTGCAAAGTGCCTTGTGGATCTCATGCATATACATAAGCCGGCTGTTGCAGCGCTCCACCAATGACCGTAGATCAAGGAAGCGCAATTTCACAGAAGCAGAAATTGAGGTACCTGTGGGTGAGGTGGAGAAATGAAAGGAAGTGCTTTTGTAAAACAAATAAGAGAAAATCCACGGAGTGGCACAGCGTTGCTGAAGCCGTCAATGTTTCAGAGATCTGTGGCAGATATTAAAAAAATATGGTCCAATTGGGACTCGATCCCCAGACTCCCAGGTGAAAGTCACACACGCTAACCAGTCACCCAAATGGAGATCTCTGTTGTTCAAGTAGCCAGGGCGCATGATCAATCAGGTCACAGTGACAGGACACACACACTGTCACAGATGCACGACATTCTGTCTCAATCTGTCCCCTTGCTGATATTCTGCATTCCGTATTCTGCGCTTCAGGCTGTGTGTGTGTGTGTGTGTGTGGTGGGGGGGGGGGGGGGGGGTCTTGTTCTGTGTGAAAACAAAGCGGTACAAGTGATAATGCTGCAGGATTTCATTATTTTATCCTTCTCAGCAGCAGCACTGCAGGTGCTCTCCATGTCCAAAATGTGCGTAAGCCAGGTCCTTAGTCAACTTAAAGTTGCACACATTTTTCTAGGGCTGCAACAAACGATTATTTGGATAATCGATTAATCGGATGGGGTCTCGACACGATTAATCGATTAATCGGATTAATGGGGAAATTTTTAAAAACTGCTAGGGAAACGTTATTTCTCTCCTTCCTTCACTTTATTTAACACAACATTATTAGAAAACAGTTAAATAGCAGAAAAACAACATGCCATCACCTAAATTGTCTTATAAGGTGTATAGACAGAGACCCTAAGCTACATCTATCTGCGACCTAAAATGCTTGGTCCAAGTTAAACAGCTTAAGGGCAATTCTCATCTATTTTGTTTGATCTCATCTGTTGACATTTATTTTAAATGTAATTAAACATAGGCTGTGAATTAATCAAAATTGATCACTATTTCCAAAAATGACTGAAAAAATACCAAATAAAACAAAAGTAAATGAATGCCATCCTCCTTGCGATGATGCCCTGGGCAACTGCCATAAAGTCACATCAAGAAATGCTGCTGATCATTCCAATGATCCCAAATAGACTCACATGAGGCCACATGAAAGCAACTGAACCCAAAAATATATTAACTAGTATATAACTGCACTCTCACACAACAAGCCTGCAGCAACAGTTAGGACTCCTCCCTCCCTTTTAAAAGCGTTTTTGCTTCTGAGGACATTGTGATTGTAAAGCCACATGCTAGTAGTCTGGCCCCGGTGTGATCAACCAGTTTCTGCGGGAATGTGACGGCGGAACCAGGGCCAGATTAACACTTTGTTGTACCCTGGGCAACAATATTCAAGGGCTCCATCATCACGACCCAAGGATCACCATAATGTGGTCACATACAGAATATTTTACTGTAATATGCAGTAAATATACTCAATACTTGAATGCCTGACAACACGTAACCCGCCCAGAGTAACCTTTGACCCACCTCGTGTGGACTGACCAATGAGGAGAGGGTCTTAACTTGAGGCCCTCTCTTCATTGGTCAGTCTGCATGAGACTGACTCTCAACTGACGTTCAAAGTCATAGGCAGCGAAGCGTCTCTGTGCAGTGCAAAAGCCCGGGTGGACAGTTTGTTTAATGTAGGGTGATCATATTTCCATTTCCAAACAAGAGGACAGGGGATCTGTGCCTTTGACGTCACACTATGGCAACGCCACACAAACCATGTTGGGACCCATTTTTTGTAAGAACTAAATTAATATCAGATTCTGCAATAAAAGGGCTCTAAAACAATTCATATGTAAATATTTTGCATATTTAATGCAAAATCTCATTTTTCTGCTTTAGTGCTGCAACAAGGTTTTATTAATAATAAATTATTATACCTTTTGTTTTACTACAGCATCGGTAAGCTTCCTGTGCACAGATTATTAAGGATGCTTGTTTCAGCTGTGAGATTAGACGATAGGATCAATGAAAAAATAAGTTGTCACACACTCCATGGAAACTTTCAGAGAATTCACAAATAGTGGCTTTCAAATGGTTTTGTTACTTTTTGCAAGTTTAGAAAAGAAGCAGATGAGACAGCATGTCTGATAATTTAGTTTTTCATCTGATAATATTAGAACATGTCAGTAATGTCTGAGGGGCTTTTATAAACACTGTATAACTAGTACTCCTGGAGAGGGTATGAATTACACAGAGGCTTCTGGGGAGCCCAGTTATGGGGGGGTGGGGGGTGGGGGGGGGCATTTTGCCTTGGCCCCCAAAATGTCTTGAAACGGCCCTGGGTGTGTGACTGAGTTTTGAAGGTGATCTGAACTGTATCAGATGTATAAATATGACATGTGTATAACTTATTGTTTTTTATAGGTAAAAACGTGTAGTGGAGATAAATCTGCCTACATTTTACTTTTCAACACTTTGTTTAGTTTTCTTGTTTTTATTGAACTATTTTCCTGTCCTGTCTGTCTCTCATCTTCCTGCATCTCCTCATAATCCTCCAGAAAATCTGTTGCCTGGATTCTTACTTTTTCACCTCATCAGTTACTTTTGAGCAGATCAAAGGGATCTCCTGACCGCAAAGCGCAGAGCGCGTTTTCGATGCTGCGTGAGGTGACATCACCACAGCACAGGTGATGAGCTCCGTAGTAGCGCGCTTCAGGCACAAATAAGACAGAAAATAGAGAACATGTGCGGACATGAACGATCGTGTGCTAATTATAGTTTTTTGGTTGCGCCACTTTGAGAATGGACCGAGCGCTGGAAGCAGCTGCCTGGATCGCTGCGCAACAATGCGGAACCGGTTCGCAGCAGCGCAAGTCTGCAGGCTCTCCCTCGCGCTGATCTGCCGGTACCGGCTCTCCCTCGCGCTGATCTGCCGGTACCGGCTCTCCCTCGCTGCTGATCTGCGGCTCTCCCTCGCGCTGATCTGCCGGCTCTCCCTCGCGCTGATTTGACTTGCTCTGGTCTGCGCGCAAAGGGGGGGGGGGGGGGGCGCTTTTGGAAGAGTTGTGCGACACAACGAATCGATGACGCAATTCGTTGCCAACGCTTTTAGTAATCGATTTTCATCGAATTTATCGATTCGTTGTTGCAGCCCTACATTTTTCCACTAAGTTTTCTTTCATAAATCCCAAAGTTTGCGTGGAAAGTTGCTTACACAGTTTTCCGACCCCGTTTTGTGCGTAAGCAAGCTTGATAAACGAGGCCCCAGACCTGGTTTGTTCTTACTGAGGTAAAAATGAGTAGGCATCCAACCACCCCAGACCCAACTAGACAGCTAGCTCCTTCTCCTAGCTTCCAGCCCAGGGAAGCAAACCGAGAGCAGAGGTGTGAGAGACCCTTATGTTTAGTCTTTTTTATTCATTTTTGCAATATTTAATTGTAAATGTGCACAACAATAGGTGTTATTGTAAAGGTTTATGGCTTTATTTGATCCAAGTATCTAGACAAAATGTAGTTTTTCTTCTCTGTGCTATGGTTGCATTTGGCATTCAGTCTCAAGAATCAAAGCAGTTGGGTAAAACTCAGTGGTTTGTTTTTTAAATCCTCGGTCTGTAGGTCTGCCCATGCGGAACCACGGTAACTACATTGTGAGGCTGGGTAACCTTGTCCGTTGGCTAGGGGAACAGGCCGAGGAGCTCGGAGTGGAGCTGTACCCTGGATATGCTGCCTCAGAGGTCAGAGCTACTTAGACTGGTTTTCATAAGACACTGACATTTTTATGTAATTAAACATTTTAATATTATTCCTTTTTAGAGAGACTTATTTTTGTGTTTGATTCTGTGCTAGAATAAAACCAAACAACCAAATCTGTAAACAGTTCTTGCACTGCTCCGTTTTTTATGATTCAGAGGGGAATTATGGAAGTTGCTCTTTAAACTTTTCATCCCATCTTTCTTTATAAACTCAGATCCTAACAAGAGCAGAGCTGCATGAATTTTGTTCAAATGTGCATCAGTGATGTGTTTCTTTGCATACACACATCACAATTTCACATTTTCTACATTCAAAAGCTGTGTGCTGTTTATCCAAGATGTTGAACATAATTAATATTTTAAATGTGGAAAGTCTCTTTCATCGCTTAAATTGGAAATTACATAAACCATTAAATATAACTGTAATGCAGTCTGTAAGAAAAACTAATGAAATACAAAGAGATAAGAAACCATTTCTTGGCCTCTGAAATAACCACTGGGGTTAAAGTCCCTTAGCCAGGAACAGCAGATTATCAGCAGGGTGGAGAAATGAGGGATGACTGAATAATTTTATAAAGTTCCCTTCTGAGGTAAATCTGTAATTGTAAAACACGTTACTTAAACAGATGGCATGAACAATTTTGTTATGTTAAGACACAAACAATTCGGAGAGAGAGAGAGAGAGAGAGAGAGAGAGAGAGAGAGAGAGAGAGAGAGAGAGAGAGAGAGAGAGAGAGAGAGAGAGAGAGAGAGAGAGAGAGAGAGAGAGAGAGAGAGAGAGAGAGAGAGAGAGAGAGAGAGAGAGAGAGAGAGAGAGAGAGAGAGAGAGAGAGAGAGAGAGAGAGAGAGAGAGAGAGATGAGAGAGAGAGAGAGAGAGAGAGAGAGAGAGAGAGAGAGAGAGAGAGAGAGAGAGAGAGAGAGAGAGAGAGAGAGAGAAGAGAGAGAGAGAGAGAGAGAGAGAGAGAGAGAGAGAGAGAGAGCGCACCTCTCAGGATAAATATCACAAGGCCCTTCACATAAACAAAAAATAATAATTTAGGTATAAAAAATGATTATAAATATATATTTTTAAAAAGGGAAAAAATATATAATTGTGATCAAAAAAATGTCAGGAAACGGAGAGAAAATGAATAGGAAAGAGGGAAATTGGTAGATCGCGGGGGAAAGGCAGAATAAGGAGAGGGTGGTGATGAAAGTCATGCAAAAGCCAGCAAGTGAGTTTTCAGCTGCTTTTTAAAGGAGTCCTTTGATCTCTAATAGTGCTATCTAATAAATCTGATCTGATAAAAATGTCTCCCAACCGTATTTCCTGCATTAGCCTGTGAAAGAAAATAGATGAGGAGACGCTTGGGTCAGAAAAAGCCACACAGATCTACGTCACACTGCAAATGTTGCATTAATGGCCTTGCCCACCTTGGCTTGCAACCACTGAAAGCTGTGTTGTTTTGCGTCCAGGAGAGAGCAAAGTGCGTCTTAGCTAGCAAAAGCTAACTATTAGCATTAGCAACATGGATTAACATGTTCAGGTAATCCACCATTACATCATGAAAGAACTACACAAACACAAAATCTTCATTTTTCTAAATAAACACGCTGTGAGCCACTAGGCTGGCTGGGGCTGCGAGGTTCCACTGGAGCGTTGTTAAACCATAAATTCTTGCCTCGACAAATGACGGTCTAAATTCTAGGCTAAAAGACCACAGCAGCTTTACTGTGATAACAAGTGAATGAGATCATTAATAAGCTTCAGTCAAAATGTTTGAGTGAATTGTTGGCAAAAGGATTTAAAACAGCTTTAAAATGGCACACTGGTTCTGGTGCTGCATAGTTTGTACTGATAAAAGCAAGATCAACTTTTACCAGCATGACAGAAACTTAAAAGTATGTAAAAGTGTTGAAACAGCCTAAAGCACAAAACTTCATGTTGGAGGCAGTGAGATGGCATCAGTCAGGACAGGATCCAGATGGTGCTCAGTCACTAGTTATTTGATCATTTGACAGAAGCAGCCAGCTGGATTCTGAAGGGGGTTTGCTGTCAAAATCAGCCAAATATAGGAAAGTTGATTGGACGGCACTTCAGTGCTCAGATGGACAGCAAGTCAAAGCAAACTGTGAAAGTAACCCAGGAGATTTTAAAGTCAAAAGAGGTGGGATCCTGTGCACTGACAGCTTCAGGTTTTTGATCACAATCTGTTGAAGGGCCATTGTCTTTGATAAAGAAACAAAAAACTAAAGGTAGAGGAAGACCCACAGATAAATGACTGAAGACAGCTTGTTGCACATGCAGGTCTGGAAAAGCCTCTGACTGAGACCAGCCACTCTACTGTACTTAAAATCTTAAAAATTGCTTCTGACTTGCAGATATCTCAGTTTAAAGCCATGTTTAGGTTTAAGCTCTCTTTCATCTCTGAACTGGAAATAAAATTAAAACCACGTCTGCATTGTTTTCATCCATCGTGGTGGGACAATATTGTCTGACAATGCTTTCCTTTCCCCGAAGACATGTGGATTGTTAATTAAAAAGTTCTGTCACCTTCATACTTGATCATACTTAATTAATGCCTGCATTCTCTCCAGGTCCTATTCCACGAGGACAGAAGTGTAAAAGGTATTGCCACTAATGATGTAGGCATCGCTAAAGACGGCTCACCAAAGGTAACGTACTGAGAAAAGTTTAGTTTGTTATATTGTCCTGTTTTATATAACATTTTGGGTTTTCAGGTTTAAAAGGAACGTTTATAAGCTTTAAAACTGCATGTTTACTTGAAAATTTGAATTTTAGAGTGAAATTATGACAAAAGAGTCAGATGTCAAAATTATGTTGGGAAGCAATTTACATTAAAACAGATTTCCCTGTCAGCCAGCAGGAGGGTGGTCAGTTTTTCTCCTATCTGATTGGTCAAAGATGGATGTAGACACCATTTACAGTCAGTCCAGCCCCACACTTCCTGGTTCCAGGGCCAATCATGTGTGAGACCGCAAAGTCGCCAAGTCTTAAATGCAAACATGTGCCAACATTTGTACTTTGACACAATCTGGCAAAGAGCAGCATGGTTGTGAACAGAATATAAGCCAGTAACAGGAGTGACCCAGAAGTTATTTCTTGTACCCCTAAGAAGCCACACATGTTTTTATTTTACTCTAACAGCCGGTGGAGCAGGATGGAGGCTAACGTTGCTAACAATGGTAACGATGAATTAGAAAAAATAGTATGCTTTAAAAATATCTCAAGCTGGTGTATTTTTTTTCTTCCCCAGTTACCAGCAACTCTGACAGTGTAATGTATTTATCTACTTATCAGCTTATGACACGTCTTTGCTGGTTATCTAGCATTTTCTTTCAGCGATGCATAAATGGGAACAGTTGCTCGGAGCTGACGCATTTGTTTTAACACACGGACTGCAGTACCCACATTTGTCCACAAGATGTCATTCTTACTTCATTTAAGTTCAGAGTGAAAAGAAAAGCGACCGAAGGACAAACCTTATTTAGAGGCATGCGTAATTGGCTCGACACACGGGAGGCGACATCGCCTCTCCTCCATTCGTTTTCAATGAGACATGCGCAACAAAGCGATAATCGCGGGTCTCTCTCCTACTGAGCGAAACGCGATAAACGTGCGTGTGAAATTTTGCGCTCGTGCACGTGTCGTGCACAGGCGACCCAGCGACGCGATCCCAGAAAGTTGAAATATTTTCAACTTTTCATCGCTGTCGCTCAGACGAGGACCAATCAACGGAGGTTTCATTCACTGACCAATGAGTGGACAGGATGCTCCGTACATCTCCGAGCAAACATGAAGGAGAAGTTGATTATTATTGTTTTATTTAGTAAAATCAGAAGTAAGATTTCACATAACTCTAGCAGCAACTTGTGAAACATCATATCTACCGCTTTATTAACTCTGAACCGCTTAAATAACCTTAATTCCCTCCAACCTGGCACAGCCAAACAAAACAACGGAAGTTTCGATTTCGCCATGGAACAGAATGCGTAGACGGCTTTGCCGCTGACCGCTGCCGCGGGTCGCCTCCCGTGTGACAGGTAATAAAAGCGACAGCGACAAATTTCGCTGATCGAGGTCGTTTGTCGCCTCCCATGTGTCGAGCCCCCCCTAAATGTGTAAACATGTAAATATAAATGCCTTAAATATGAATTACTCTGTTCCAACAACATGGTACATTAGGTAATATCTTGAACCACACATTTTTTCTTTTAATTTGACCCTTGATGAACCTCTGGTAATTCAAGTAAAATGAATAACAGTTCTTCAGGCTTCCATTCAAAGTATGAACCAGTGTTGTGTTTATCTCTCAAATAAAGCTGCATGGGCAAAGAACCAATTTTACATTGTACTCCTGTCACTCACAGCCTCTGACCAAGACCTAACTTATTTCAGATTTCTTAGGTTGCATCTAACAAATGTCAAAGACCAGCCTCACTCTTTGATAGGTATGAAATTCTGATTTTGTGAGAAAGTGGATTTCTAAAAGCTTAATAGACTGTAAATAACTCTGCTGAGTGGTGATGTGTCTCTCAGGTCTGAGCTGGGCTGTTGTTTTCCAATTATTATTTTTAAGTAAACTACTTTTAAATACTTTTTATCCACTTTTACTTTGAGTTTTTAGGGCCTGGTGTTTTTTTTCTTTGTCCTTCTCCTCAATTTTCCCAGATTTCTATTAATTCCTCTGCTTTATTTAGAAGAATGTTGTTACTTCTAAGAACATTTGCATCTCCCGCTTTTATATTGTAAAAAGTCAGGTACAAGGACGGGACTCAAAATGAGTGAAAAGAAGTTAAAACACAAAGAAAAGCTTTTAAAGACAGAAACACCCAGAGACGTGTTGATCAAGGTCATTTCAGAAAAGAACATAAAAAACAAACTTGTGCACATGCGAACAAAATCATTAAAAAAAGAGGACTTTCAGGATGCTTCACTATTCTGTATGTCTCAGTTATGAGTTTATTTTTTCATTTGTTTGATATTTGTTGCAGGATGTTTTTGAGCGAGGCATGGAGCTTCACGCTAAAGTCACATTGTTTGGGGAAGGCTGCCATGGCCACTTAGCCAAGCAGCTTTACAAGCAGTTCAACCTTCGTGAGAACTGCGAACCCCAGACTTACGCTATCGGCCTTAAAGAGGTAATTAACTCGTCCTGCTGTAAAACCAACTCGCTCTGTTGGGAGTCCGAAGTTAACGTCTGTTTTTCTCTTTTGTTTGTGGAATGAACTTTGATCAGATCTGTCAGTACATAAGAAGCATTTAAAACAAAATGTGTCAAGTAAATGCATCTGACTGAACATAATGTGAAACCTTGATCTTGTTTGTGGACATTATTTTACTCCTGAGTGACTTTAATGAGCTGCAGGAGCAAAGATAGCAGCTCCCATGATCCAGAGAAATTCGTAAAAAACACCTGTAGCTCAAAAACAAGGGAGTACTAAGATGCTATGTTGTGGTTTTGTCTTTAGTTGTGGGTGATTGATGAGAAAAAATGGAGGCCTGGCAGAGCGGAGCACTCTGTGGGCTGGCCCCTGGACAGGCACACATATGGAGGATCCTTCCTGTATCACCTCAATGAAGGAGAGCCTATGGTCGCCCTAGGCTTTGTGGTGAGTGACTTTACCCTGCCCATAAATACTGATCTATATGTTTAGAATCTAAAAGCTACCTCAAGGTAATTATAATAATGGCAAATATCTTGCATTATGCTGTGAGAAAATACTTTTTGGGCTGTAAGGCTGGGAATATACTGTTTTTTAACTTTGCGGTGACGCAGGCAGCAGAGTGTCTTTGTTCACATACTTGCTGCTGCACTGCATGTAGTTTTGGAGTCCAAAGGTTCAAATGTAGGCAATAGGCAACTGGACTTATTTGGTTTCTTGAAGATGTTTTGCTTCTCATCTGAAGAGCTTTGTCAATTCTGGCTGGAATATGGTAGGGTCAAGCTTCTAAACTGTAGCCGTCTATTGTTGCTTAATGAGCAACAACTCCCTTTGAAAAGTCCAGATCTCCAACCTGGTGCCCCAGAGCTAAATGAACCCCAAGATGCTGTTTAACACCATCAGCAGTATCGTCTCTCCTGCCTCTCCTACAGCCTCCATCCACTCTGTTACAGACTGTGAGAACTTTCTGTCTTTCTTTGTGGACAAAGTCAATAAGGTTAGATCTAGCATCTCTCCTTCAGCCTTATCGCTGCCTCTCCCGACTCCAACCAGGCCCATCATCCTAGATAGCTTTGCTACTGTTTCTTTGCCTGAGTTAACCAAACTAGTTAACTCTATGAAGACCTCTGCATGCCCCCTCGACATCTTACCCTCATCTTTGTTTAACCACTTAAATTTCCAGGTTTAATGAATGCAGTGGGTTTTTGTCCAATAGGCGGGACGCTAGAATGCTTTTAAATGATAAATGACCCGCACCTGTATAGCACCTTTCAGAGTCTGAGAACTCCAAAGCGCTTTACACTACAGTGTATCATTCATCCATTCACACACTGATGGTGATGAGCTACAATGAAGCCACAGCAGCCCCGGGGGTACAGTGACAAAGGCCAGTCCATTGGTCCCAGTGTGTTCTCTATAATGAATGCTTCTCTGGTTTCTGGTCAGGTCCCTGCTTACTTAAAGAACGCTGTAATCAGTGCTTAATTTGAGCCGGATCTTGCTGGAACGAGATCCGGGAACTATCTTATTTTGAAAGTACCGTTCTGGCAACTGTCTGCTAGGATCCGGCAACTCACACGACAAACTTGTGCTATACGCAGGATTCGAATTACAGGTGAACAAGGGAGCTCAGGGCCTGAAATTCACTTCTAAAAACAGGGGGGAATTCCCCCTTTGCATATGTCTGTACAGGGGGAATTTATATATATGGGGGGGGGGGGGGGGGGGTGATTACCAAATGTGCAGTCTTATGTTGTACTAATCATACCTTACATCACGTTTATAAGCAGCTTTCATTGGACTCCTGCAGCATTCTCATCTTCGTTGCTCTTGTCCCTTTCTTTGTTTCATCTCCTCTGCCTGATTTCTTTCCTCACACAGAAGTTAAAAAAATAAATATAAACTTTCCAGGAACTACTTGTGGGATTAACAACAGGCCTTAACATTGTTGTATTCTTACCTCAGATTGATGCATTTATTAACTTTTTTTAATCTAAGTGGTCCTCATAGCTGCATCTGTGGCCTTCTTTTCTTTTGTCCGAATGTTGTCTTTTTCTTGGCCTCTAACACTGCATCTTTCTCCATTGTAATAACTTTGAAGTATAAAAATCAAATAAAAATGCTCCTTTTTGCTGCACTGGTATTAGAAATTATCTTAACAATTTTCATTGCTGAAGTTTGTTGTCCAACTCTCTGGGCTGCATCTTTGCTCTTGGTTGTGCTTCTTTATCTGTTGTCTCCATCTTCGCTTCTTACTCTGATTTCTTTCTCTGAATTCCTCTATCTCAAACTGATGAATTTTCATTAACTTAACTTTTAACACAAACAGTTTCGTTGATGTGGCATCAAACACGATTGCAACTATGTACATTAATGTATCTGTTAGCTCACAGTACTAATTAGTTTTGGAGCGGGGTTCTCCCATGCTCCGCTTGGTCCTCTGTCCTCTCTGTCTTCTGTCTCCTCTGCTTCATCTCTTTCCATTTGATGAAAGCTCTGTTGAAATCAAACTGCTCTTGCGGAGGGCCAAGCTCTGAAATCAGCATCAGATTGGTGAGGTTTGCGTTATTCAGAGAATTTCTGAATCTTGTTTTTATCCTGTTTTGTGTGCTGAATCCGCGTTCACATGACACACTGGCAATTGGGATGACTAAAGCGATCTTAATGAGCTTCTCCATTTCAGTGAACACACCCCGATGGTCACTCAAAACAGCCTCTGCAAACTGCTGGAAGGTCAATGAGGCGTACGAGTCACTGGAAACCATAGTTTGCTTCAGCAAGGCAAACTCCGAGCGTCCATCCACTGCACTTACATAGTTTGAGAAGTGTGCAAGAAGGTTGTCGAGTTTTTCAAGGCCATAATGAGAAAAGTTATCGGACTTTTTTGCCATAATGGCTTTTTTTGGCTCCAAAATCGTAAACCATGACAGAACATCCAGTGTCTCACAGGGGAATCTTCTCTCAATCTCTGTTATTAAAGATCCCACGTACCTGCTCTTCATGTCATCAAAGGCTGGTTTTTGGGTGTGGCAGTCAAAAATTTTGTCTCCTTTAAACTTGTTTCCATCAAGAGAGCTGAAGAATTCAGTTTCTGCAGGGCCAGGGTGGACGATTATTTCCTTCAGGGCTTCTTTGGTACTTTCAACCATTGGCTGTGCTGTGGAGAAGTCCAGATCTTCTCTTTGAAAATGTTTTGAGAGAAGGACTACATGCATCAGTACGTCCTTCATCATGTGACAAAGAGCCACAAAGTTAAACTGTCTCACAGCTAGTAGCAGACCTTTAGCTTTGTCAGCATCTTGTGCATTAGAGGAAGCCATGTGCTCCAGGACATCTCTCAGGGATTTCAGTGATCTACACACTACCGACACTGCATTGTGAATTGACAGCCACCTTACTGCATGCGGCTGGGTGAACTTCAGTTGGGGTTCATCCAGCTGTTTCTGCAATTCATGCAGCTTGTTGCTTCTGACAGCAGAATTACTGAAAAAAATAAAAATTGATCTCAAATCCTGCTGAAACCGTTTCACCTGTGGCACAGAGTTGGCTGCATCACTGGCAGCAAGTGCGAGACGATGAGCCGTACAGTGGATTCCTACCAGGTCTGGGTTGTATAGCTCTCTGAGCTTTTTAATAACTCCTTGTCTGCATCCTGTCATTACAGCAGCTCCATCAGTGCAAACTGCAGCAAGTTTTTTTCCATCCAGTTTTTTTTCTGTCAATAGCTGTTTTACATCTTCAACAATAGTGTCTGCTCTTCCATCAGCAATTTCAGAATTCCTTATCAGTTTTGTTTTGACGTTGTTGTCATCTATGAACCTGACATAGATAATCAGTCGTTTGGTGTTACTAATGTCAGTAGATTCATCCAATATTAATGAAAACACGGGACTTCTTTCAACAGCTTTGTCAATATCTTCCACAAGTGTGCTTGCAATAGCTTGCTGCATTTCTGACAGTCCTTTTTCATTGATGTAGCTACCATAGCTTGATGTTTCTGTAAGTTTTTTGAAAGCAGGACACTCCATTTCTTTCAGGAATTTAACCACATGGCAAAATTTAGCTTTTGCCATTTCATTTTTTGCAATAAAATATGCAGTTTTCAGGAGCCCCTTCATTTCTGCAGCAGACTGTAAATGTGCATCTTCGATAGCTTTGGTCATTACACTTTTAGCTGAATTCGCCTCACGTTTTCTTTTTATTGCTGCAGTGTGAGACACACCATCAGCGTGACGACGTAAAGTTGATGTTTTGTAGCATCGACTTGCAAAAGGCACAGCGCCGTACATCTTACAAATGGAGCAGTTCATTTCACCATTGTTATTTTCAAGCCAGGGATACAGTCTGAGCCAGTTAGCCTGAAACTTATCTTTAGGCTGCTTGCTAACGTTACGTTCAGTGGCACTACCTTTTTGAAAGTCCGGAGGATCCGTCTCATTCACAGCATCGCTGGAATCGGCGCTGCCACCCGCCCTGCCTCCAGCGCCTCCTCCCTCGCTGCCTTCCGTGCTGGGGATTTCTTGTACAGTTTTTTTGGGAGCAGGTTCCCCTTCGTTGTTAGATTTCCGTTTTAACCAGCGGTCCATGTCTGCATGCAGGCGTTAAATCCGACAACCGAAGCACTGCTTTGCTGCTAGCAAGGGACTGAGCTCGTATTTTGATAAGTGGAGAGAAAAAAAAAATCCAGCGCGCCGCCAATCACCAAGATGAAGAACGGGTTCGATGTTGTGGGATTTTAATGGCTCCGATACAAACGTCCACATTCGCTGCAGGCTGTGCGGGACTTTCCCGCATTATAAAACTGGATTTGCGAGAAGCAACTATATAACGCGCAATACCCGCAATCCCGCAGTGAATTTCAGGCCCTGGAGCTCCTGGAACCCCTCAACACACCCAGGGGGAGCCCAAAAATGATCCTGGTTCTACTTATATTACATTATCTATGTGGACTCTCTGGGGATTATTTAGAGCTGAGAGGCACAGAGCTCTGATTGTTGATGCTCTCCAGACAGATGCGTCCTGAGCACGGCCACAATAACATTCTCAAAGTGTCGCCACCTCAAAAACAAATTTAACATGCGACCGTTTATGTCAGCTCATATCCTTTTGTGCTTTTTGTCTTTTATTTGTGCCTGATGTGTTCTGCTGCTGCGGTGCAGTGCATCACCTGTTTTGTCCGGGGAATTCACCTCACCGGTGCGGTCAGCGCGCACTCCACTATATTTGCGGTCGGTAGATCTTTTTGAACTGCAGTTCAAAGGTAATTCATAAGGTGAAAAAATATGAAGGCAGGTAGCAGTTTTTCTTTAGGATTGAGAGGAGATGCAGGAAGATAATAAACAGAAAGGACAGAAAAATAGTCACATAAAGAACAAGCTCCTTTTTGTACCTGGTGGTTGCAACAAACAGACACCATTGAAGGTAATCAGAAGTGAAGAACAGAAAATGAAATAATTCTTTCAATGTTTAGAGCAGCAGGAACTCTTGAGAGGCTGCAGGCGCATCAGTGAGTTTGTGGCCGCATGCGCAGAGGGAGAGGGGGCAGGGGCGAACTGGGACGTTAATTCCAGCCGGGAATTTTGAAACCATCCCAGGCCACCGCCCAATTCACGCTAAACACTAAAAGTGGGTCAGGTTGGGCGCCTTCGGATGTAAAAGTATAAAACAACTACATTAAAACTTCACATGTGCCCTGATTCTTTCCTCTAAAATATAAATATTTGTGTTCTGCTGCTATAATCTGTGCTCATGTTGCATAAACTGAAATTCTATTTTATTCTGTTAAATGTGCCTCCTGCACATGAGATGAAATAGGCCAGACGCCATCATCGACCTGAATTTAAGACTAACAGGTACCAGACTACATGTCTGGGTCAAGAGAATCACACCACTAGCAGAGACATAAAAAAGTGTGTGTGTGTGTGTGTGTGTGTGCGCGCGTGCGTGCGTTTGTGTGTGTGCGTGTGCGTGTGTGTGTGTGTGTGTGTGCGTGTGTTTGAGAGTGAGATCGTGACTTCTATTTTAGTCTTGTTGTTTTTTGGGCTCATATTTTACTACTACGTGAGCTGCCTTTAGTGAGCGCACAGTCAGTTTCATTGTACACCTGTGCAATTACAATAAATGATCGTGAATCTCCTTCTGAGCCTGAGATCAGTAGTCTCCTTTTAAAAGCAGCTGGAAACTCACCTGTTAAGGCTGGCTCTTGCGTGACCTTCATCACTATGCTCTCCTTAGCCTGCTCTTTCTACCAATTCTGTCTTTCCCAGGATCCACGGATTACCTCTTTTTTGTTCCGTTTCTCATGTATTTTTCCATCACATTTTTTTATTTTTTTATTTTTCTCATTTTTATATTTTTAAATAATTTTTAAAAAATCGTTTTATTTTTGAAATGTTTGTTCTTGTTAAACGCCTCATGATTTTTATCTTGAGAGGTGTTATGTAGAAGATAAATTTCTTTCTTTATTTTTTTTTTCTTGTCTTCATTTGAACCATTTAGATTTCCATGACCTGGATGAATGAGAACCTTCAACAGCGTAGTACTGGAGTGTTCCACTAGGGGACACGGTAGAGAACTAAGACCGGATAGAGTCCTGGGGCCTCATTTGTCAACCGTACTTATGCATAGATCTGTGTGTATTTCATGTGTAGGTACTAACATACACATTGTGTGGTATTCTTCATTTTGTATGTGTGTGTGAAAATGTTCCTAAATATAAACAGCCCTCGCATACAAAGAGCATTTAGTGGTAGAATGGTGGAACCATAATACTGAAGGTCTCAGTCGTCCACACATGTTCTCCATCCACAAATTACTTTACCCAATAAATAATTATTTCAGTGGAAAAACAGCTGTGTCACATAACTGGTGCTAAAACCTATAAGACACCTGTGATCAACAGACATTGTAATATGACTGATCTTGTGTTACTGGGAGGCTTTGGCAGAGACTCCAGAGTCTGAAGGGGACCCGTCCTCCATGAGTGCACTGATCTGATTCCTGGAGGAGATGCTTCTGGAGTTATGCTGTGATTTAGGATCCTTTGTGGAGCGACAGACAAACCGCACAAATCTGATTCCAGTTCATATTTTATTTCACAACCACAAGACCCCTCCTGAACCTCCTCTGCTCCCCAGTCACACACGCGTTGCCAAGGTAACCAGACTGAACGACAGTTCAGAAGAGGCTGCACTCTCAGACAACATTTCCAAATAAAACTAATTAAAAACAGAACAACTCCTTAAATGTAAATGACAACCCGTTACTCTTAAGATTTATCACATAATTTTTTAAATTTGTTTCTGACGGGCACTTCTCTGTCCCGACCGCGTTTATAACCTCTGCAACTTTTTGGGTTTTTTTTTACACTTCGGCAGCCAGTGTCTTGATCTCGCTGCCAATAAAGTTATTTATTCATTTTCTTTTTCGGAAAAAAAAATGAGCTGAAGACTTAGTGTGACCAAATATGGTTAATTAAGGGTGTTTCTGTATGTAAATGACTGTGAAAGGACTCGAGCACCCGGGTACACACAGGTGGGATTTATCATTGGACGACTGTGGAGGAATGTGTACGAGAGGCTACCGCATGTTTCATAAATCAGGATTTTGACCGTTCGTACGAGCATTCTTTCGTTCATAGGAAGGAATGCAATCATATTTCTATGAAAGTTTGGTAAATGAGGTTTGTAGGGTACAACCAAAACAAACATGGCATCAATAGAAGAGATCAGTAACTGATTAATTTTGAGATCTTGACAGAAAAAAACATCAGAATTTTTTTTTTATCAGATATCCTAAATAGCATGAAAGGCCTTTAAACCAGAGACAGAGTTACACTGGTGAGTTTTGCTTGCTTGTGAACAAATGCACACAAACAATGCTTCAAACACACTTTAGGTAGCCATGATAAGCACATGTACGCATAATTAAAAGCAAGTATATTTCGGCCCTAAGCTGAACTTTTGATTTAGTTGACAAATGACTGCAAAACCTCACTTTTCCCATCCTCCTTCAAGGTTGGTCTGGACTACTCCAACCCCTACTTGAGTCCTTTCAAGGAGTTTCAGCGCTGGAAGCATCACCCCTTCGTAGAGTCCACGCTGGAGGGAGGCCAGAGGATCGCTTACGGAGCCAGAGCCTTAAATGAGGGAGGATTCCAGGTGTGTTTTTACCCAAAACTTGAAGATTCTTTTTTTAAGTTCAAACCCACAACTCTTGTATTAGTAAGATACTTTTTGTCTCATACCATTTAAATATCATATTTTAGTCTTGTCTGTTAAAAGTTTTGATTTATTCATCTGTGCTTTGAATGCTTTAGGAACCAGACATATTGACATCATTAAAGTAAAAAATTTTTCCTTTTGGGGCTTGTTAATTCTGTTTTCTGTTGTTGTTTTTTTTACTTAAATACATCAACTGAATGATAAGTTTAGGTAAACTTACTGAGCAAGCTAATGATGTGTCTTTCTGCATAATAACTAAAACAGACTGAAAGGAATTTGTTTGTTAGTGTTTTTTTTTAATTCATTTAAAGTGTTGTTTAAATGACTTAAAGCTGTTATGGTGAGCTTAAAGAACAAGCTAGGTTCTGAACACAAACACGGTCACTGAACACTCACCCCTCCCCTCGGTTATCTTCCTTGAGACGCTTCTTCTGGAAATGAGATGGTGCTAAACACCAGTCACCGTTTTCTAAGTCCAAATGTCTTGTTGGCTGTGACTTCTAATGGTGTTTTTCTTTTTGGGACTCTGGTAGTTTGTCATGAAGTTGAAGTGGTAGCAGCCAGCTGTTTCTCCTTCTTTGATATTATTGGTGGAGAACCTCTCTCACCAGTGGTGTTGTGTTGTTAAATACGCGAGAGTGTTATGAATGGAGGACCCAGGGAAGTGCTGCAGTTTGGTGAGGCAGACAACAGGATGGTTCGATAGTTGCTTTTAGAGCCCTGCACTGAAGCCCTAGGCCCTCGGGTCGGGCTTCGGGCCAACGACTGTGCAATTACCTCGGACACGGGCCGGGCCGGGCGCCTTTATTTTTAATCGAAATCATTAAAAAAATTAAAACACTTAAACGCAGCAGTAGAGCCCTGCGCGGGACTGTTTTCTTCATCCCGCTCCTGCCCGCTCCCGCTGAATTTCTGACCATTACCGCCTGCAACTGCAACGTGTGTGTTACACTCCCGCCCGCACCTGCAGCGTGCATGTCTACTCCCGCCCGCAACCGCAAAACTCGGAGAAATTATTACCTCACAATAAAAGAGATGTATTGAGTTTGAGTCCTCAACATGTCATTTTATAGGTTATCCGCTTTCACCGCAGCGCGGCGCTCCATTTCAATCAGGCTGTACAGCAGGATTTCCCCTCGTAGCGATATTTTCTCTAACTCTGACTGCTTCATGCTATAGATCGTTGCAAAGCTGCTTTTATGTACTTTTAGGAACCGTTGGAATTATTTGAATCTGATCAGCCATTCAAAAGTTATAAAACGGAGCATTTTGGATGACAAACTCGCACGTCTCTGAATCTGTGTTGTGATTCGTTGCGCTCCAGACAGGGGATCCCGGTGGCTACCGTAATGTATTGTATATGCACGGAAAGCCCCATTTTTAATCTTTTCAGCACTTTTGGAATTTTAATGATATCTTGAACTAGAGCAGGGATCTGCAACCCGCGGCTCTTCCATCCATCTGATGCGGCTCTCTGTGCTTGTAAAATAATGAATGGATATTTAAATAAAATGCTTTATATTTTACTGAATTAATTTGATATCTGTAAGTCAATTCTATGTGAAGATTGTCTGCGTAAACCTGAACAGTTCCAACCCAGTCTTACTGTGAGACCGTGTTGGGTCACGCTTGTGCGTAATCATATGCGCTTATGAGCTGAAGAGGATGTGAGATTCTGGGCTTCTCCTCAGACGGCTCCTGGATGTGTCGCACATTGGAGACAGGAACAAGCACTATTCAGCCAAAGTTTCATAATCAGGGAACATTTTCTAAGTGACAAGTCTCTCTGAGAGACAGGGTTTGGAAAACACTCGCTTCAGTGGGAGGAAGCTTCCCGCATGCGCTTCTGCGACGCTCGGATCCTGCACGTCTTTTAACACATTGGTCAGGATTGACGCACTTTGTTTTCATTTAGTTGGTTAAAAAAAAAGTCGGGCTTGGGCTCGGGCCGGGCCAGAGAATCCTGAAAACCTTTTCAGGCCGGGTCGGGCTGGGGCTCCACCCCCTCGGGCCGGGCCGGACACGCGCTCAGATTTTAGGCCCGTGCAGAGCTCTAGTTGCTTTCCGTCTGAAATGTGGTATTGGCAGAGGTTTTTAGACAAATGCAATAGAACCACTTTATTATTATTTTTGGGGTTTGTGTGTGTGTTTTTAATCTCACGAATATATTTGTACTATGTTAGAACATTGTTAAGAGGCATGAAAAAGTGTTCTAAGCTTATTTATTTTCCAAATTTGTCATTGCAGCTTTAATTACTTAGATGGTGCGTTTTCACTCAGTTGCACTTCCTTACATTTTATATACAAGCGAAAAGTCTTAACCCATGGTTGGATGTTATCAGACATGATTACAACAGTATTCATAGTGTAATAAACAGTTTGTCTAATTGTAATTATTGAAGTAGTAGTATTACATAGATCAGTGTGTTCAGACCCAGCAACTCTTCCAGCCTGACTTCCAGCCAACAGTAGTGCAACAAAAAGTCATACTATGTCGCTTCATTATTTTTTATTGATTGTGTAAATTGTGAAGTTAAATATTTGCTGTTCACTCAACAATCGTTTGACTGTGTGAAACTTAAAAGAATAGAAAAAAATGAAAATATAGATTGGGGTTGGTAAATTAAGATAAACCTCTCATAGTTTGGTAACATCCAGATATAGTTAAATATTAATCATTTTACCACATCTTTTTCAAATGTCACTAAAAAGCTTGTTAAATTCCTCAGATTTGGCTAAAACGTGCTTTAAAATGAGTTCTTTTGTTGTCTGTTTCTTTTTCAGTCCATCCCAAAGCTGACTTTCCCAGGAGGACTCCTCATTGGTTGCAGCCCAGGCTTCATGAATGTTCCAAAGATCAAAGGGACCCATACTGCTATGAAGAGTGGCATATTGGCTGCTGAGGCCCTTTTCCCTAAAGTCACAGCAGAAAACCTGGATTCAGAAACAGCAGGTACAGAGTATAGACACTTTAGAAATGAGGACAGGAGTGCCTGTAGTTTACTTCTTTTCTCTGCCATGAGGTTAAACTGGATGTGGTGTCCCTGCAGTTAGGTTCAAAATCAAGTGAGCTATGAAAAAAGAATGTCAAAGCTGCAGTAGGTACCATATAAAGTTCCAGAAGAAGTCACAACTCTGTGTCAAATAGCCCCAGATACTGAATTCAGATCAGATTTTCTTTTTAAATACAGTGGAGGACATATTTTCTTTTGAGTAAGTGTTACTGCACAGATAATATCCAAAAATACAGCAGCACGAAAAATACCCCAGAATTGCCCTCTACAATTATCTGTGCATTCTTGGCTTTTGGGGGAGTTGAAAGCACTGATGGAAAAATGGTATTATCGTGGTATTTTTTAAAACGTGTTAAATTTTCAGACAACTAAATAAACCCCGTATATCAGGAAAATATTGTCCTCAGTTTGTGTCTAAATTTAGCCTAAAAATTGTTATTGTTATTATGTTGTTTATTTGTTTACATTTTTTCCCTTTAGTCTTTAAAATACCAATATTTGCCCATAACTTCTTATTTTTTGTCTGTTTGATGTCATCATTTTAAAAATATTAGACCAGATGATACTCAGTACTCAAGTAGCCTTTTAATCAGATACTTTTTTACCCTTACTTGAGTAATAATCCCTATATCAGGAAAATATTGTCCTCGGTTTGTTTCCTTCCAGTGAGCTTTGCAGATTTGGGAAAATGTCATCAGGCAGTAATCATTGTTAAATTCATAATGATTCTCGGAGAGAGACCAACTCTTATCTGCCCCTGGGAGCCCCGTAATGCATAGCGTCATTTCAACATGGGGGTGTCCGCGACACGGTTTATATGCAGGTAGCGGCGCTGCGGCTGCTTTATATAGCGACTCGTTGCATTTTCCCTCAACCCAAATCCTCGGATCACGCATTTGAGCTAAAACGCTAACGTTAGCTTGCCTTGCGTTGACTGTAGAGTTGTGGGTGATGGTCACGCGGATGTGTCATGAGATTTGAAGCATTGCTGCCTTTCACAGACACTTTTTCTGCAAGTGCTGCAAACAGGATAGCCGTCTTCTATCAACTGTCCCTCGGCATTCTTCAAATATCAAAAAGATGCCCTTACTTCCGACTTTGTCTTTTTTGAGGAATAATAAATGTCCTGAGCGCTGCCGTCTCCTCCTTTGGCCGTTATTTCAGCTTTAGCTTCAAGAAAGTTTTGGTTGTAAACAACAAAGTGCGCATGTGCTGCCGGCAACTTCAGCAGAAGTGGCTGGTAAGGGTCACCGCGCCTACACCGCAGCCACGGTAATCCACCGAGATAATATATATTTTTTAAAACAAGACAGTTATTATTATTGTCAACTTTTTTACCGGGGTTTACGCTACACCTGTTACCGTGACAACTCTAATCCCTAAATCAATTAACTCATACTTTAAAAAAAAAATTTAAATATCGGAATACAACAACTTCTGAACACAACATCACAATACAACAACTCAAAAGTATCAACATCAATTACAACGACGGTAATATATATTATCACTACAGTACATATACAAATCCGTGATCCTCTTGTCTATATCTGGAAAAAATTATTTCTTTATATAATTTCTTAAATTGCACTATATTGAAACTTTCTTTGATTCTTTTCTCAAGACTATTCCATAAAATAACTCCACTAATTCAAATACACATACTTTTCAATTTTGTTCGAGCATAATGCTGCTTCAAATTTAATTCCCTTCTCAACTTATATCCACCTTGTCTTTCTGCAGTTTTTGAATATTTTCAGACAGTATTTTTTTTATCTACTTTGTACATAAATAATGCAATCCTAAATTCTATCAAATCTTCGAACTTTAAGGTTTGGAATTTCATAAACAAGCTATTTGTGTGTTCATTATATACCACATGATTGACCAACCTTATGGCTCGTTTTTGTTACGTACAAAGGGAATATAGGGTGGTTTCATAGATGTTTCCCCACACTTCAACACAGTAAGCTAAGTATGGTACTATCCATAGCCACGTTTACATGCGCATATTTAATTGGATTGAATGCCCATTCAGATCGAAAATTCTGCATGTAAAGATGTCAATCGTAATATTCTGGTCTGATTCAGCCCGATCGGATTGGGTTTATTCCATTCTTCATTCTGATTGACGTGCATGTACACAGCCATTCGGATTGTTGGGGTAAAATATGCCCACTGCGCATGTGTGCAACAGCGAGCGGGCCTCTCCGCTGTCATTTGGACTGCCCAACTTCAAAAATGACAGCGTAATTAACGAGCGGCAGCTTTTAAATCCGACGACAACCGTCCCCGTTTCAGTAATATTTAATTAAGATCTTGCATTTTGTGGAAGTAAAATAAAAATCTGATTATTGCACAAATCATTCGACAAACATGTTCAAATCTGTACTGGAAATACGCAGGTTTATTGCAGGGGTTGCAGCACACGGATCCCCGTTTCTGTCAGCTTTGAACGCAGCAGCTTCTGCAGCAGGTGATGGAGACACGCTTGTAAAGAACACAGGATAATCTGGGTTTTACAGACCTGATTGGAGGCTGATGTTGGGTAGGAAAACGTCCTCGGTTAAATACTCTGGACGACAGTAAAGTCCGTGTTAAAAGCACGTAAACGCAGATGACCTGAGATGCGGTTTGTTAATGATGAACACAGGCTTCTAAACTTTCTGAACATCTTCTGTTATTTTGTTTGAAAAGATTTTTCTCAACAATTTCAGCTGATTGTCACGTTATTAATAATAAGCCACAACAGAGCTCAGTAATAAAACATGAGTCTATCCCCCCAACCCCGCTCTGTGCCGCTGCGCAACAGCACAGCTGTCACTTCAGACCCGCGGACCAGCTGATCAAGAGGCAGAGACATAACCCTCCCTTTTTTTAATCAACAATAAAATGCAGCAAAGCATATATCTGCAGTTATTCACTGAAGAAAACGTAACTTCTATGAGCTAAATAAAAATCTTAAATTGAAGAAATGGATCAGGAAAGCAGGAAGAATAGTTATTTCTGTTTTTACATTTTTCATTTTGTTTCATGGCGTTTGTTTACAATTTTTCTTTCGGGAAAGGCAACTCTGCGCATGCTCAACCTATTTAATCGGATTAAATGCTTGGTGCATATGTACGTACGGCATCATCGGATCATTTCAGTTCGTGTCCATGTGAACAGAGATTCGGAAATTCCGATCAACCAAGATTTCAATCGGATTGAGGAAATTTGGCTCATGTAAACGCAGCTAGTGTGCAGTACAGTATATACAATGCCTTTTCATTCACAAAATGTCTTACTTTTCCCAACACTCCAGTACTCTGTGCTACCTTTCCTTTAACATATTTTATGTGAGGTTTCCAGTAGTTTGTGATCAAGGATTACACCCAGAAATGTATTTTCATACACTCTTTCTATAATATAATTTATAGTTATTGCTATATGTTTGTTTATTTTACATTTTCCAAACAACATAAATTTAGTTTTGTTTAAGTTTAATGGTAATCTATTCAAATCAAACCATAGTCTCAGTTTAGCCATTTCTGTTGTTACCAACTTACAAAGATCTTGCAAATTCTCTCCCGAAGCAAAAAAATTTGTATCATTTATCTACAAATAAAACACATTTTAATGCTCTGGAAACCTCACACAAGTCATTAATATATATAATAAATAGCTTTGGACCCAAAACTGACCCCTGTGGCACCCCACAATTGATACTAAGCAATTCTGATGTATACCGTATTTTCCGGAGTATAAATTGCACCAGCCATGAAATGTATAATGAAGAAGAAAAAAATATATATAAGTCACAGTGGACTATAAGTCACATTTTGGGGGGGAATTTTATTATTTTTCTTACAAAATCTGAGACCAAGCATTTCACATTGCAAGAAAAGTACCGGTAACAATAACAGAATAAACAACCAGGGCACAGCAGCGCACCACTGTCTCCAGCAGAGGATGGCAGTGTTTCAAACCCTCCCAGCGGGTGGGAAGAGCTCATTCCTGGGCCGGAGCCGGCCCGCAGCACCCCACCATAGGCTGCAGCAGGTGATGGTGGTGTTTGAAACCCTCCCAGCAGAACAGGGGAGCTCATTCCTGGGTCGGAGCCGCCCGGCCCGCAGCAGCTCGCCACAGGCTCCAGCAGGAGATGGCGGGGCAGAGGAGCTTATTTCTGGTCCGGAGCCGGTCCGCAGCAGCGCGGTATACATAATTTGGTATATAAGTTGCAGGACCAGCCAGGCTATGAAAAAAAGTGACTTATAGTCCAGAAAATACAGTAATTATTTATTTGCACAAATTGATTTCTATTGGTTAAATAACTTCTTACCCAACTGAGATCAACTCCCCTAATACCATATTTTTGAAGTTTATTTATTCATACTGTATGATCAATTGTATCAAGGGCTTTTTTTAATCTACAAATACTCCAACTGCATATTCCCTTTTGTCTATAGAGCTAGTGATTTCTTCAACAATTTCCATTAATGCCATTGATGGAAGATCTATTTGTTCTGAACCCATACTGACTATTTGATAACAGATTATGATTTTCAGTTAACTTATCCAGTCTACTGACAAATAACTTTACTAAAATGTTCGAAAATTGTGATAATTTCGAAGCTGGTCTTTAACTGGTGAACTGCTTATTGTCTCCCTCTTTGTATAATGGAATAACCTTAGCCGTTTTCATTTTACATGGAAATAAACCAGCTGTGAAGGACACATTACAAATATTAGTTTAGTTTATTTCAAACAAAGAAAACATACATAATTTCAAAAAAAAATACCACAAACAGAAAAAATACATATCATCCCTTCTTCTGTGTTTGAAAAGGAGTAGGCTGAAGTGGAAACTTATATATCCCTACCCCTTTTAAATATAAGTCAGTGGCTGCACAATAACCCCTATAATCTTCTTTATTAAAGGCATGTCTATATCATTCCAATCTGTAGATGTTTTGCTTTGACAACCACAAACTATTTCAATAACTTCCCTCTCTGTTTCTGGTGTCAAAAATATTGAAGCTGGGTTGATTTTTATTAAGTCCTCAGCTCCTCCCCCTCCCTCCTCTAACTGAGGAGTACACTTTTTTTCAGCCAGTTTTGGTCCCAAATTTACAAAGTAATTATTAAACTCCTGTGCCACATCATTCATGTCGTGCATAATTACCTCATTTTCCATAAAATGTAGTGGGTAATTTTAACTTTTGGACCTATTCCTGATAATTTTATTTAAAACATTCCATATCCTTATAATATTATTTTTTTATTTTCTAATTGATTTTCATAATAATCTTTCTTACAGTTTCTCATAATATTAACTAATTTATTTTTACATACTTTATATTTATTTTCAGCTTCCTTTGTTCTATGTTTTATAAAATCCCTATATAATGTATTATTTTTCTTACATGCATTTTGCAGACTTCCTGTCATCCATGCTTTCACTCTTCATTTATGTTGTTCTTTATATTGTATAATTGGACAATATTTATTATACACTGATTTAAAGATGAGCAGAAATGCTTCTTATGCTATTAGTATCCATTTCATTAAACACTTCTTTAAAATTTTGAGTTGTTAATTCTGCTTTCACTCTTTCTATAGCTTCATTTAGTCTCACTCTCATTTCTAATTTTTGAATCCTTAGTTTGTTTGTTTATTTATTTGGCAGACGCTTTTATCCAAAGCAACTTAGTTTATAACCTATAGGGCATGTTGTGATCTGTGGGGGAAACCGGAGTACCCGGAGGAAACCCACGCATGCATGGGGAGAACACGCAACTCCTCGCAGAAAGGCTGCAGCCGAGTTTTGAACCTGCAACCTTCGTGCTGCGAGGTAACAGTGCTAACAACTGCGCCACCATGCAGCCCAGTGTTACTGTAAACTTACAAAATTATAAAATTGGCTACAACATTTAAAACTGCAAATAGAAACACCTGTAAAGGTTCCCGAGCCTTCAAATGGTCTCTCAGTCTAGTTTAATTACAGAAATAAATGTAATTTTGTATTGTGTTTTATTTTTTTTCCAGCTTCACATAATTGTGTGTTTTTAGCATTTCTGTGGCTGGTAATCTAGCAAAGGTTAAATAAACAAATAAAATCCTTTAAAATGAGGGTAGAACAGGCACAAACCTGATGGAGGACTTAAATGTACGAACGTGGGTCAGACCCACACACAGAAGAGCTGAAGCTGGGTGGTAAACACACACAGGTAGTTCTAATAACACCTGAGCACCATGACGTCTGAGACTGATGCATCAGTGTTACAGCGGGACTAAAGACATGATCAGAAACAGGTTACAGCTGGATGATCTAGGAAGGTAGAAGATCGTGACGTCTGCGCGAGAACAGGTGAGCGGACCTTCGGGATGTCACGCTAAGAAGGGCGTAGACTATTCATCACGTCTTCCTCGTTCTTCACGGGCCGTGATGTGCTTGGATGAAAACATCTGCCTCTTTAGCTCCTGATCAGCTGATGACAGCTTCAACACACCGCGCTGCTTAACGCACGCATTTCCTTATCAGTAACCGAAACAATATCTGATTTAATTCCCCTAGGGCTCCATGTACCTGAGTACAGTGACAACCTGAAAACTTCCTCTGTGTGGAAGGAGCTGCGTTCGGTGAGGAACATTAGGCCATCCTTCCACAATCCCCTTGGCCTGTATGGTGGCATGGTTTATACTGGAATTTTCTACTGGATCTTACGTGGAAAAGAGCCCTGGACACTCAAACACTGTGGTGAGCATTAAAGAGCTGAATTATTGTACAACCGTGAGTTTCAAACTGTTGCTTGGATTTTTATGAGCTTACTCTGTCTCTCAGTAGCAGCAAAGTGCTAACTGTATTTGTCACGTATGAAGAGAATAACTCTTCATGAGCACAAGCATGGTGTTTGTCTCATTGTCAGAGAGAAAGGGGAGTGTAATTAGACAAAAATAAAAGTGTATTGTTTGTTTTCAAAGCAGCAAAGCTTCCATGGCATTAGGTGAACATGGAGTTGATCACTAAGCTTGTCTTGACTCAGACCAGTAGTATCCAGAAAATGCCAGCCGTTTATCTTTAGGGGAGCTTGGGGTCATTGTGCATTGTAGCAGAGAAAATCAACATCTGGTGACTTGCTGTGCTCTATGTGTGGCAGGCATCGATGCAAACCAGCTGAAACCAGCTAAAGATTGCACACCCATCGAGTATCCTAAGCCTGATGGGAAAATTAGCTTTGACCTTCTCTCCTCTGTGGCCCTGAGTGGCACCAACCACGAGGGGGACCAGCCTCCACATCTGACCTTAAAGGATGACAGCGTCCCAGTCGCCAGGAACCTGGCCATTTACGACGGACCTGAGCAGCGCTTCTGCCCTGCAGGTAACGCCGCCACCATGCTGTCCTCTCTAAATCTGGTCAGGTGCAGATAAGAGTTCCTCTTTTCCTGGTGTGACTGTAAAAATGGAACGTCGTCAACAGTGTTGCAAATGAGATTGGGCTTTTAATATATTTTCACTGGTTGCTCATTTGGACAAAAAAACGTAATAACATAATAATTGGTTAGTTTTAAATATAATAACTTCTGAATTACAGTTTTACATTCATTTCTTTTTCTTCATCTTTGTGACTTGGGCAAAAAATAAATTATTGCCTTGTATTGTTTACAAGCTACAAGACTACTTTAACCAAATATATTAAAATAGTTATAATTATTGTGGCAGAAGAATTCATATCTATTCAAATCCCTTTTAATTAGCTGTCTAGTGTGAAAAGAATCGGCAGCTCCTCTACTTGTGACGGTAAACAAGGAAGGTGCTTATTTCCTATTGTTTCTCATCTGACTAGTACACAAGGCCCACATTAGATTGAAATAAAATGATTGGACATTATCAGAAACGTTACCATATATAAATGTTTTGTTACAGACTTGAATTATTAACTGTTTATTGTAAAAGCTGCCAAGGTCATTTTCTCATAGTAAATTAGTAAAACGACTTGCAGGGCTGTCATTCCTACTAGAGACCACTGCAAGCATATTGGTTGAACGAGTGATCCACGTCTTTTGAGCATAGGAAGTCTCTGTGTCCTTTTAGGTGGACAACCTCCCTTTTCATTTAGCAATCAGAGGCTCATTGTGTGTAGCGTCATACAAAAGCACTCAAGAAGTCAGAGATCTGCTATTAGCAGTGAGTGCTAACTGAAGGTCAGGATTAAAAAAGCCGTCACATCCACATTGACTTGCAGCTAAAGCTTTATGTTAAACTACGTAGTCTCTCAAGCCTTACTGAAGTTGCTTCCTATTTTTACAAATGTAAGACAGGACTTCTTTGTTTAAACTCTTAGAAAAGTGAAATGAAGGTAAGTTATAGTCGGACTGATTTCCTTTCTTTCACATATGTGCTCCCAGGTGTGTACGAGTACGTTCCCGTGGAAACCGGAGATGGGATGAGGCTGCAGATCAATGCTCAGAACTGTGTCCACTGTAAGACCTGTGACATCAAAGACCCGAGTCAGAACATCAACTGGGTGGTGCCTGAAGGAGGCGGAGGACCTGCTTACAATGGAATGTGAACTTCATTTGTTTGTTTTTCCTGTTTGTCTTGAAGGATTTTACAGTATTTTCACATTCAGGGTCACAGGAAGGTCCAGAGTACGTGCCTCATTATGATTATTGTACTTCGCTGCTGTCTGGGTGTACAAGAGTTAAGTTATGTGTCGTTTTATCAGGCTTGAGAATTGAAAACAGGACCATGTGGAAGTCCAGCTGTTTCTGCATTACCTTTGTGGGGCATTTAATTCATCAGACTGGCTCTTGTTTTTAAGAGGAATATTTGACCAACAGCAATAGTTAAGTTTATTTCTATGTTGCAAAATTAAAGGAGCTGTACAAATAATGTTTAAGCATCACTGGTGGCATTTCTTAAGAAACAAAACTATTGCATGGTGTCACTAATAATAAAGAACACTTGACGGTTGTCTAATGCTTTTATTGACCTGTTGATGACCACGTTGATGTATCACACAAAGCCGAAGGTATCAAAACACCCAACGAGGAAATGGATCAGACAGTTTAAGACCGCAGAATAAAGGCCAGAGGTCCTGCTGTTTGTCAGCAGCAGAGAGGACAATGCATCAGATTAAAGCTTTAATATCCACAATGAAAACACTTCAGTTACAGCTGGACCCAGACGGTTGCACTCACTCATGGGGGGGGTCGGGAACCATCGAATGGTAATACAGGTCACCAGAAACATTAGCAACCTGCTGCATAAATACTCAAGCAAACATTTTGGCATAGATCTTCTTTTCTTTCTCCTTCTCTTCTTGGATCTTCTGATGAACTTTCTTCATTTCGTTAATGATGGCTGTCAAAAGAAGAGTTTAAGAAAAAGGTTTGAATTTATTTTTCAGGAATAAACATGGACTTTAAACTTGTGTAAATGCAGCTTTCCTCTGAAAGCAAATGGAGCGAGTAAAGCTCACGTTTCTACTAGCTGCTTCAGAGTACAACCCCATCACAATCGTCTTACTCAAATTCAGAAAATCTCATCTAATAATTAATATATTGTGGTTTTCTTATTAATTTACGACTTTAAGGGGGTAAAACAGCAGTTTCCTGGATCAGGCTGCATAATAAATATTAATCTGTAAGAAATACCATCCCTGCTAACCCCTTATCTTTTGTTTTCCATTTTCTGTCTGGATGCAGCTAGCACCTGACTTAGACTGATGAGCGCACCTTCAGGCAAAAACTTGTTTTTCTTTGTCTTGTGTGTTGTGATTGGTTTCTATATAAGCTTAATACATTTATTATCTTAGAAAATCAACACAAAATATTTAACATCAAATAGATTTAGTTTATACAGTACTTGTTTTGTAGGATGGTTATTACCTTTATCCTCTGGAGCAATTTCCTGAGCTTTCTTTAGATCAACCTATGCATGAAGAGAAAAGCAAAGTAAATAATTTAATGAATCAAACTAGTAGAATCATTCATTCTAAGTACAAAAGACATGAAAACAGTTCACATTTACAATTCTATTATTTTTACAGTTTTGCTATTAATCTGTATATTTTAGTTTCTACTACTCCTCATCTTTGATGACTATTAAGAAATGCTTTGAGTAACGTACCATGGCTTTATTAAGTTCCTTCAACCCTTGCCAGGCCTGGGCCCTCCGGAAAAGTGCCTTAGCGTTTGACTGGTTCAGCTCAAGAGCCTGCAACAAAATACAAACATCTTCAGGGATTAACAAATGTCTAAGGTGGCAACTGGCTAGTAAACTATTCTAACTGAAGAGGCAAAACAAATGCAGCCCATTATTTGTGTACATGTATTTGCACATACATTGCATCACTTGTAAGCTGTAATCCTCTTTGAAGGGAGAAACCATAAAATAGTGTGTATTGGCAAGAATCTGGCGATACAATTTAAACCACCACACATGAGAGATAATGAGATGTTAAAAGCCAGAAGATATTTGAAATTTTTAAGGCTGAATTTAATTAGAAAATTTAGGCCAGATGCTTCCAAGACACCTCCAGTGATATCATGAGATCATGTTGTTCCGTCAGAATAAAGGAGGTAAATGCTACTGCCACCTGGCAGTTGAAGTTTCAATCGCACCCCCAAAACAAATACAGTAAATTATTTCATGTAAATTATTTCAAGTATGTATGAAGAAAAAAATGTTTTGGTTAATGTGAGTTATAGAGTTGACTGAACTAGGACTGGACTAGATAAGCTTTTGCTTCTTCCAGTCCCCTCTCAAACGGTTTTATGTTACTGCATGTTTTTTTGTTGTTTATTTTTTATTTATTTTTTCATTCCTTCTCAATTTATATAATTTATTTTTTCCATTATGTCTTATTTTATGTATTAGGAATATGGAAGAGTACATATAAAATGTTATGTTACCTCTTTTAATTGTTTGAGATGTGTGTGATATATATATATATATATATATATATATATATATATATATATCTGTATATATATATATATATATACACACACACACACAATGTATGGATTCAGTATCAACATGAAATAGAGCAATATTTTAGTGTATTGATTTTTTATTGTCCTACCGTACAATATAACAAATGGAACAGTTTAAATTACTGCACTTTATTTTTATCTTGTCCTAAATCCCCTTCAGATATTTCAGAATGTAACAATCCTGCATAAACATTTGCGATACAGCCTTTAAACTGGTTCTAGGTGATATTTTAAACAACTTTTTGCCTCAGTCAACTGGCCAGGATGCACCAACTAGGTTTTGGTAACCATTTGAAATTATGAATTTATTTATGCAAATCTACTGGTGTTTATCTGTGGGAGTGTAGAAGCTAGAATTCATATTGCAGGGTCTTAACTACGGTAAAGATTTGCTTTCCCTGGCTCATGTCACCTCAGTGCAGCTATCCAGAGCTTCCTGCCACAGCTGCATCTTCAGCTTACAAGCAGCCGTATTGAGGAGGCAGCTGAGAGCCGTGGGCTCCAGCTTGTGTTGGGCCTCCTCCTCCAGTTGTTCCCCACTCGTCTCCAGATACCTGAATAAATACAAAGTCAACAGAAGGCTTACTGCCGCTGATGCAACACAGGAAGTGTTTTAAAAGAACAATTCTTGCTTGAAATTCTGAGTTGATATTTTTAAAATTATGCAAATGATCTGAAATCATTCATTTCACAGCTGCTCCCTAAGAAATTCTCCCTACTCTCTGAGGACGACTGTGACTGAAAGTGAACCACAAACTCTGTGACATCTTGCCTTACCTGAGGGCTTTGCTATATTTGTTGACTGCAGCTTTCCAGTCTTGGTTCTTAAAAAGGACGTTTCCAATATTCTTCACATCTTCAGCAACAGACAGAACTTTGTCAACCTGAAAGATGAACATGAAGCGAGTTACCCGCTCTCCCTCTGGTCTCACACTGATTCCTGTTTTCTCCTCAGATGGAACTCGTCCCACGTGATTAGAGAAACCAATAACTCATGAAGCAGTAGTTATGGTTTTGTAGCTTTTTAAATGAGGTTTAGTAGATATTGGTAAACGCTGGAGTAAACCCTACAGACATTCAGTCAGAGCTGAGGATTGTTGATAAATGTATTTAATCTGCTGTAGCTACCTGGTTCTACTGATAACTGCTTGGAAACATTAAATACATTTTTTCTTCTTTTTTTTAAAACAAAGTCTTTCAATTTAGAGGACACAAGATCACATTTTGACATATTTTCATTAAAACAACTAAGAGACTGTTGAGATAAAACAAACCCCCACCAGACCAAGTCATTTTATTCCAAAGTTATTTTTCTAAGGACATCCGTTCAAATCTAGCAAGTCTTCCTACTGCTTCCAGTGTTTTCTAGTCTAAACACGTCCTGGAACCTGATAATAAAACTTGTATCTGTCCTTTCAGCTGACTCTGCATAAGACACCCCACAGACATGTTTCTGAGAATGACACGGTGGTCCTCAAGGAGCCGTCTGATGCTGCCTGCCAGAGTTAACCCTCGCACTTGAAGATCAAAAACCTCCCTGAGACTCACATCTTTAAAGTCGATGTCGGAGTCTTCGGGGAAGTCTGGGTGGGCATCTCCCGTTCCATCGCTCAGTGCACTGCCCCAGCTGTCCCCGTCCTTATGCTCACCGCAGTCAGCTATGATGCAGGCCTGAAAATGCCAAAAATGTCACAGGGAGAATTTTATTTGGGGCTGAAAATTTTGGCAAAAACATACGTGGTGATTTTTTGATGATGTAATGCATTCCTAAAGCTGGAGCTTATACATTTACACAGTTTTTCCAGGTCATTCTTTTATTTTGTCTTATTGTGGCATAAAACCTTTAAAAGATTTAAGAAAAAACACCGTCCCACTTTCTGATCTCAGCGTGGATAGGTGCTAAAGGTCTGATTACAAACAAAAGCTATTTGGGTAAAAAATGTAATTACCTTTAAAGGAGTATCATCTGTTGTTTCAGTGGACTCCAGCATTTTTACAACTCCCATCCCTTTCAACACCTGCCCAAAGACAACATGTTTCCCATCCAAGTGTGGCGTAGGGACAGTGGTGATGAAGAACTGAGAGCCGTTGGTGTTTGGCCCGGCATTGGCCATGCTTAGTAGACCCACTTTGTCGTGCTAGAATGAAAAACAATATATTCAGAAGAAAAAACTGCTTTAAGACTAAAATGAACGTTATCACTTTAAAGACTAACGTTAACTACTTTAAGGATGTCTTTACGGTTGTTATGGAAAAACTTATGTTAATTAATTCTTGATCATGGACTCAATCAGCTGAATGTAAATGTATTGCTCTATACCTCTCTGCATGCTCACTCATTCAGACACACACACACACACACCCACACACACACACAATCTCTCCCTCTATAAATAAACTCTGTGACCAGATGTGCATCTGTCACAGTTATAACTGTTTGACTTGTTGTTCATTGTCCTCCTTTTCTCTCCGACTATAGGAAATGGGTTATTGATAAACATATTGATGAAATCCATGACATTATTTGGTCCTTCGAAAGCCGGGGTCCCATCACCTCGCGGTGCCAAGAACGGACGCCGGAGGACTGTCGACAACCTAAATCTAATCCAGCGATAATCCAGCGTTTGCTGGGGGGTCGGTGAGGTCTTGATGTCGTTAGGAGGAATGTGGATCCACGAACTCAAGCCCTGAGTGGAGAGATTTGGTGAGGCAAGTTGTTTTTTCAATCAATCAAAACTTCATTAATCCCAGAGGGAAATTAGAGTTTCAGTACACACAATTCAGAGATCAGACATACATGGGCAAGACACATGACAAGAATTGGTGACTGTGGTCCTTCGCAACACGAGTCGCGCTACCTTAATAGATGAGGATAAATTGGGGGAGGGAAAAAAGGCATACCAGAGTTACTCCCGGCAGGGCGTAGCTTTACTATGCAAAAAAAAAAAAAACACTTCAAACATATAAGTACGAACATCACAGTTCACAACATGAGACTCCGATAGGGAGTGGGGGGGGGGGGCTGGGATCCTGTTTCCCCAGCGGGAGCAGCCCTGTATGGCGCTCAGCCAACTGTAGCCACAGGTGTGAGGGAGATCTTGGGAGGAGCACAGAGCACATTGATTCCTGCAGGCTGATGACCTTGCTAGGCAGAAGTCCACAATCTGAAGGCGGGGGGGTCGGGTTTTCACAGCATCTGTCTGCATTCCTTCCTTCGTGGGGGTTGTTGTTAGCTGCAGCTGAAGGCTGGCGTCAGATTTGGATAACAAGACTTTGTTTGGGTCAGGCAGAGATAATTTTCCTCTCTGCCTTCAGTCTGTAACCGATCATTCAAGTCCTCCAGTGAAGCCAATTTAGGTTTTAAACATCTCCACACCATCCGGTGACCCTCTGTTCTCTGAGTCTAAGCCATCAAGATCAATTGCGGCCTGATGGTTATAACTAGGAAATAAAGATGAAAAATATAATTTGAACAGGTTCTCAAAATTGTGATTTACTTATTTGTTTTTGCTATTAAGCACAGCTGTTGAGTACTTTATTGCATTTGAGACCCTCCGTGTGGCCTTCAGTAAGTCCAGTCAACATATTCCATGTTCAGAATGCACGCTGTCCACAGAGGTGGACATGTAGTAAAATAATTTGTAAATTATTAAATGTTACAAACAATATTTGTTGAAATTTGTTTCATTCACACCTAAAGATAAATGAAAAACATTGTTAAATAATCATGGTTGAAGATTTTATAATTCATGCATCAAAAGGTTAAGCACTAACCAAATATTTCATTTCTGGTATCTGGTGATTAAAATGATTTGAACTATGAACTGTGTCACTTTTAGTGGCTGAAGGGAAAGGGGTTTAGTGGAACCCCTCAATTTGAGACACCAACTATCAGTACTTGGTAGTAAAATGAGTGCCCAAATAAAAAAGCTAAGAGTGTATATTTTGGCCAAACAGTAATCAATTCAATTCAATTCAAAAATACTTTATTAATCCCAGAGGGAAATTGATTAAATCCCAGACCAACTAAAACTAACAATTATTGTCAAATTGCATTTTATCTCCTTATTTTTGTTTTTTAAATCTTTGTCTCTGACATGTTAAAATAAGACAAGGGAGTTCAGCGGATGACAATCGCACTCGGGTGAATATAATCTGGTATGCAGTACCTGTTGAATTCAAAACTGCATTTCGAACACTCTAAAAATATCGGCTGTTGTTATCTGAATCTCCTGGCGTCTGTCAAATGTAGGAACTGATCTCCGATTAGCGGGCTTTGTGATCAAAACATGGGGAGAAACAGTCTGGAAGTAAAATTAAATGAGACATCAGATTAAAGCTGCTGTAGGGAATTTACATTTAAAAAGTTTAAATTGGGTTCATTCTTCATGTATTCACAGCCTGGGAACTTTTAAATGCTTTGCAGAGGTGCTGAAAAAAATCAATTCAAGTCTGAATCGGGATTCTTATTTATAAAGATTCAGAATCGATTCACAAAGGTTCCGAATCGATTCCAAGAACTCAAATATTTGGCATGTTACAGGTTTGAGATGCACTTTTTTGATCTTTGTTAGGAGAGTCAGTACTCCGTTTACTTTTGTGGTCCCATAAATTGAGATGATTTATGTTTGAATCTGCTGATAAGAGGGCACTTTAATGTAATTTTTTCCATACTCAGAAATTTGAGATATTCTCATATTTATTTTCTAAGTTGATAAATGAGTGCTCAGGATTACTCATTTAACTTGTTTCTACACATACTTGAAAATTATTTGACCGTATTGCTTTCAAAGCTACTGTTAGATAACTACAGATTTGTTATATTTTACAAGGTAAGTAAAAATAAATGTTGCCTTTTGGTCAAAAGATTGCTTCTGTTTACAGTTTTAGAATCACTTTATTTTACATTGTAAATTTGCATTTTTGGAGCATGACCAGTTTAAAGTCAAATAAAAATGTCCCATAGCTTTGAAGGGACTATAAGGAAGTTTGACAGTCAAAACATGTATAGAAATAATACATTTCTTCTTCATACATTCTCCTGCAATGCCCTGGTCCTGTAGAATGAGCCCTGGCATTTTTACTGTGATTGCCTGTTTTTCTGTAAAATCACAGAAAAAGAGAGATGCTCGGGTCGAGCAGGCTGCTTCATGCGCATTCACGCTCATGCATAGCCCGTAGCATTTGCTATCCGTAGCTTTAGCAGCATATAGAGAGGCAGTGCCAACTCAGCGACTTTGTCGCTGTTCCTAACGCCTAGTGATGAACCTAGCTACATTTCTGAGGACCCTTAGCTACTTTCTTCTAGATATTTCCTGCAAATTAGCAGGAAATTAGCAAATTAGCAAGCCACTCACTCACTCACACACACACACACACACACACACGCACACACATTCTCGACTTCCCACACACACACACACACACACACACACAATCTCTCCCTCTCTATAAATAAACTCTGTGACCGGATGTTCGGTGCATTTTGCCTCGTGCATCTGCCACAGTTATAACTGTTTGACTTGTTGTTCATTGTCTCCCTTTTCTCTCCGACTATAGGAAATGGGTTATTGATAAACATATTGATGAAATCCACGACAATGGTCCTAAGACTTTTTTCATTTGATTTCTTTACAGAGGGGTGGATCGACTGGGGTGACAAAGGATGGCAGCTGCCACCCTGAAAGAAAGCCTTGCTATCTCTCTGGGCTGCAGCAGTAAAATATTAGTGGTAAATCAGATATTACTGCTTATTACAGATGAGATTATATTACAGATGTGAATGCCACATTTCTGGTTACACCAATTATAACTTAAGCTGATAAAATGGTGACCCAAAACCAATGTATGGATAGATAAATAATGGTGAACTAACAGGGGAAAAAATAGTGGTAATTTATTTTATTTTTTTGTGTGATAAGATAGTGATTTATGCCATATTTTGCAACCCTTTAAAGATTTTAGCCCATCTTCTACCACTCTATACAGATTTCCTAGGTCAGAAGAGAAACTCCCTCAGCAGAGTCCATATTGTTTTAGTGATAAATAACTTACCTTGTAGTGGAAGTTTTCATCCTCAAACTTTTCCCCATAGATGCTCTCGCCCCCCGTGCCGTTGTGGTTAGAGAAGTCCCCTCCTTGGATCATGAACTTCTTGATGACTGCCAGAAGAATTCAAAGCCAACTTATTTTTCCACAATAAATCATTAGGGGTGATAAAGATGAACGATATATGTTTAAGGTCAAAATGGTGGATAATTTAGTACAATTTAAACATTTAATCATTTAACAATTACAAGCGCAGTTTTCTAAATTACTTCATTGTTGCTGAACTTGTTGGCTCTTCATCTGCCATGGACCTTTATTTCTAACTTCAAGGTTTCCTGCCAACTCAACTAAATATAAATATAACAAAGTGAAAGGTTCAAGGCTGTTTACTTCTGTGAAAAGGGCATCCTTTGAAGTGCAGAGGCTTCCCTGTCGATTTTCCAATGCCTTTCTCTCCCGTGCACAGCGCTCTGAAGTTTTCAGCAGTCTTGGGGGTGACATCAGCAAACAACTCCAGAACAATCCGGCCAGCTGGAGATGGAGAAATCGGTCAAGACCACCTTCAGTTTCAAGATATCACAAAGTCTGTTAATGTGTACTTAGAATGTAGAGAAAATAACTGCTGCTGATTTCTTCCTTTAATTCAGATAAAACTAAGATATTTTAGGCCTTTTTTTTACATTTCTGTAAGCTACATTTAAATAATTATTTTCACTATGCCTCCAAGTTATACCTAAATAGCTTTTTATTATAAGATCTGAAACCCTTCTAGACAAGTTAGACTTGCTTTCTAAATTTAAGTTCATGCACTTTAACATTTAACTGAGAGGCCTGCCCCTATATGTTGGCCCCTGTGAGCATTGAACACACATCAGGTAAACCTGTCAGGGCATCCACTGGTTAGAAGATCAAACGACGTTTTTAATGATTTCACTTTTTTTTATATATTTCTCACATAGGAAAAAATATTTATTCAATATAAATTTTAACATCAACATGGAAGCATCACACAAAAGCAAATAGCTGTTTTGCGAATACAATATTTAAATGCTTAGTAAATGACAAATATATTGTGATTAGTGTACTGTTGCATCATAACAGCTGAGTAGCTGGCTTATGCACTATTTCTATCACGGTCAATCAGCTACACGTGGTGTATGTGTTCACAACACAAGCAACGACAAGACAATACACTCAGCTCACATTAACATGTCAATAACTTGGTTTATTGGCATTACGTGAAGATCGAGCATGAACAAACAGATGGGACTAAATAAGTCACTGGAAATAACCAAAATGGCACTGTGCTAACGTGGCTAGCAGCTGAAGTAGCCGAAAACTGTCATTTGATTTTTATTTAAAATGTCCTAACCTCTTTCTCCATCAATGTCAACATCGAAGAAGACGCGAGGGTTGTCGGGTTTGGAGGGTTTTTCGAGCGGTGTCGGGTGAGACATTTTTAAACAGAAAGCTTCACCTGCTCTTGCTAATCGGCCGGTGCAGGGGAACAGGCTCAACCTTATGAATGGAAAGCAGTTACAACTTCCGATCTAAGAACTTCAAAATAAAACCCAACTCATGACCGCTCCCATCAGATGGCGTCTACCGGAAATTACGTAACCGGAAAAACAAGACTTTTTTTCTCAAAACTCCGGAAAACAGTTGTTCTGCTGGAGGACAGTCTGCACTTTTTTTTTATTTAGTAAATTTACAAACAAATATGGCACTTTGACAATGTTAAGTCCAAAACTCAAATTCAAAAGGAGCAGTTAACTTGCTATAACATTTGTAAATATCCATTAAAAGACAACAACAAGAAACAAAAGAGCATAAAGAACAAGTTGAGTACAGCTTTCAATGAGGGTACAGCATTTATCATAGAATTAGGAACTCACTTTGGAAGTTCAGCTAACATGTTATATAGATTTTCGCTATATTTGTTGAAGTGTTTCAGGGGTTTTAAATATATTTGAAATTCTATTAAAAAACATTGAAGACAGGGGATGATTGTAAAATTCGTTGTTTATGGATGGAAAGTTTGGCTAAACAGAGGATGATATTATAGCAGAGTTCTTTATCTTTATTATTGAATATAATTCCAAATATTATCATATCGTTAGTGATGTGAACTAGGATGGGTATTTTAGTTTTGATCCACACCTCTAGCTTTTTCCAGAACAAATGTGTTTTCTGACATTCGTAAAATATATGATCTACAGTTTCTATGTGATTTTCGCAAAAAGAGCAGTTGTTGCTATCAATATTAAAACGAGCTCTTAACACTTCTTTTGAAGGATAGATTGCATTCATTATTTTAAAGTGGGTTTCTTTAGCTTTCGGTGGTATAGGTAATTTTAGGTAGATAGTTCTTATTTTCTCAACAGACGTTTTATCAAATTTGTAAATTATGTTATTTTCGTTTGTTTTTCCAGGAAATAGAGATTCATTTAAGGCTGATCTTATTGTAAGATTGTTGCATTTTCTGTCAGTTAACAGAAGACCTTTAATAGATAAGATAGGAAGGGTTGGAATAGAACATTGATGTTTTAGATATTCTCGGGCTTGGATGATAAATTGTTTTGGAAGTGCATTATGTAACCTGTTAAAGTCAAGTTCAGAAGCTTTAAAATTGTATCTTCTGCAGAGATTGTCATAATTCAAGAGCTGACCATCTTCATCCATTAAGTGTATAATAGACCATATATTGTTATCTAACTAATCTTTATAGAATAGTGATTTGTTTTGGAGCAATATCAATTGATTGTTCCAAATGATTATAGAGTATGGTGAGTAGTTATGTACATATATCATTTTCCAATACAATAAAATTTGTTTATGGAACTCTGAAAGTTTGATGGGGAGTTTGTTTATTTTGTAGTCAGTTAGGAGAAGAATGTTTTAGCCAGAAAAACAAGACATCGGGTCATTACCTTTGCAGGAAGTAGTTTGGATTTGACGAGAAAAACCGTACATGTCGTTTTTCACTTAGATATGTATACATATCTGTTATGTATACATATCTAAGAGAAAAATGATACGGTGGGTCATTACCTTAACCAGAAGTCATTACTTTCACAGGAAGTAGTTTTTTTAAACAGAACTTACCGGAAAAAGCTTTTTTTTATTTCAGTTTTTTTTTCTCTTCAAATTTGGACTGGCAAACTTTTAAATAACTTCATTACCTACGTTGAAAATTGAATAGTAAATCCCTTTGTCCTTCACACAGGGAATTTTTATGACAGTAGCACATATATATGATAATTACAATAAAAGGCTGTAAAGTAATAAAAAACATGTATGGAAAAAAAATGAGAACACATTAAACTAAGAATTTTCTAGATGTGCAAACAAAATAGTTCTTGCTAAATATTCAGTTTTATTGCTAAGCCCAAGATGAACTTTTGACCTACACCAATCGCTACAGGACTCTCAGAAGCAGTGAAAAACATTTCAGCAACACTCCTCTTTCACCAGCAACAAAAATTTGTTACAAAATATCCATAACACTGTCCTATTGTGTATCACAGCAGCTCATTGCAACAGAATTTAACTACTACAGCTGATAACTATTTGGCTAGTTAGTATTATTTTGAGTGAAAGACAGTAAAACAATAGGAACAATTTCACAACCATTTTATTTTGGGTAGAAATGAATTCGCTGAAGCATGGCTTTCTCAGCTGTTGCATATCGATTCATCCCCTCCCATTTTTCCAACACTTTGTCACCTGAAAAAAATGCACACAAGGATTAATTAATACACTGTCAAATGTTTTTGAAAGCCGTACATATTCAAAAAGCCATACAAGGTTGTAATACATGTTGAGTTTCATTTCTGCTATATCAGAATGTTTGTTCATGTACAGTTACATTTTCCATTTATACATTTCTGAAGCAAAATCAATTTTTTTTTGTTATTACATACCTTTTTTCAATCATTTAAACACAATAACTTAAAAATATTTAGAGATATTGAAAGCTAAGCTTGTCAAGAAAAAAACTACATTTTTGGGTGCACATGACCAGTTCCAGTGTGGACCAGATACTTAAAAAATGCATAAAACTGTCTTTTTTGAAGTTTCACAAATCAGAAAAAGGTTTAACAAATCACAAACTTTATGCATTCTGCCACGAGCCTAGAATAATCTAAAACAGATTTGAAGAGTGCATGTGTTGTAGTTTATGAGCTAGAGTAGATTAAACATGGTCAGAGTGGAGAAAAATTGGGTGTATTAGCCCTTTAGCCATTTCCCAAATCGGAACCTGGAATCGGAAGCTAACTTCAGCCTCATATGAAAACTAGTGAATGAAACCACTTACAAATTTCTGAAAATCCAAGGCTTTTTAATAAAAAATAAGGATATTAATAACGTTTCAGTCAAGTCAGTATTAGAAATCGTGGTCTTTATATCATATCTCAATTATATATAAAGTTAATATTATTACTTTAACTGTTTTAACAAACAGGGAGATCAGAAAAATCAAATAGCTATGTTAAAGCTAAGCTACAATTGCTGACTGCTTTATTGATGTAGCTTTTGTGTTAGCTTGTGAACTCCCTGCATTAGTTTTAAGACTGCGTGTTAATATTGATACAATAAGCTATGAAACACGGTGACTTTGCAGCAATTCTCTGGTAAAGCTTTAAATGCTATAGTGTCTACATTTAAGAACTAAGAACGGTTACAAACATTAGTTAATTTCATCCTTACCTTTCCTCTTTGAAACCCACAGAGTATGTTTTTTTTTATAGAACACTTTTTATACAACAAACAGGGCAAACATTCTATCAGTATCTAAACGTGTTGAATCAGCTTTTACCACAGAATTACAATAACAAACCCAAAGAAAAGGTAACTAACATAAAAACATGAAAGTGTGAGGGCCTTATTCTTGAAGTTTGAAAATATCCAACAAAGAAGATAGTCTCTGGGCATCTCTCTTCTCCATATAAAATAAACATTTCTTAAACAGTTCCAAGTCCTTTTTCCATCCGCTTAAATGAGGCTTAACCTTGATGAATTTACATCTGTGAATACCGTAAAATGTTTTCCCAGCAAAATCAAAACATTTACCAAGAATTCTTGATTTTTGTCCTTCAAAAACAACCCCACTTTTATAGTAGACCAGTTAAATGGACTTACTGTTACATGCTTAGACAACAACCAAGTGTGAACAGAACACCAAAAATCTTTGACACACTCACATTCAAAAAAAATATATTCAACATTTTCAGTATTACTTTCACAAAAACCACATGAATTATTCATCCAGTTAAATCTAACATGTAGAAAGTTATTGGATGGATAAATATTTAAAATTTTGAATGTTACCTCCTTCGCTTTATGTGGGATTGGATAGGACAAATATCTCTTCCTTATTTTCCTTCTCTCAGATTCATTAAAGTCATGTCAAATATATTTCCTTTTTAGCTGGTAAGGGTAATGTTGGGTTGTAAAAATCTTACAGGCAAATTTGTTAGAAAATTCCTTACTATTTAAACTAATTCCTTCTACACAGAGATCTCATCTCTGACCCCTTTGTATCCATCCTTGTTTGATGAGTCATCATTTTGACAGGAACTGGAATGGCTTTAACGACATTCTTGAATTCACTTGGTGAGCCTATCAGACCAAACTTATTACACAAATCTTCATATTTGAAAAGATTGCCTTGCTCATCCAATAAATCAGATATCACCCAAATTCCTTTATCCAACCAACTTTCAATAAATAACGATTTGATAGAATATATCTATTGTTCCACAAGGGTGAATTGTGTGGGGTGAAATTATGCTTGATTAGGTTCCAGTAAAGGATAACTTGTTTATGATAGTCAGATAGTTTTATAGGTAATTTTCCTATATCGTAGTCACAACGCAACACAAATTCTATCCCTCCAACTTTCTGAAATATTGCACTGGGAATGCTGAACCAATGACATGGTTTGGGGAATGCGTTTAACCCAAGACATGCAGAATCACACACTCACAGATCTTATGGTAAAAAAAAAGAATCTTTATTTTAAAACGGGAACTGAAGGTGCACTGGAAAAGCCCAGGGGAGATCGAGAACAGGAGCACAGCATCTGAGGAGGGGAGAGCAGATACACACAGTAAATTTCGCAGTGTTAAAAATGCTGTGTCAAATATCATTAACACTTTCAGAGTTTTTATGACAACATATGTTGACCGCCCCCTAGTGTTGGTGAAAATATCCGGAGTTATAATGGGAAGCGTTAATGTGACTCCAGAAAGCTCCGCCCACCTGTCCTGACTCTAACCGTCCAAGATTTCAGCAGCGCCACTGGACATTTTTCTCCATTTCGGGTTCAATCCTACTGAGGGAAGGACAGCAGTAAGTTATTTTTACCACTTATTAACGCAATTTGTACTGGTATTTGAGTGGATATTGTGTTTAATAACAACTTTATATTATTAGTGGCTGTATTTGAGTAGGCTTTGTACCTAATTCAAAACTGCTAACAAGATTGCCTAGCTGAAAATGCATTGTGTCTAACTTTAGCATGTTGGAAAAAGGTTAAAAGTTCAGCAGTAAGACCCGGAGGGATACTTTTAGATATAACACGTTTTGGTTAAAACTGTCGTGGATTGAAGGAAAGTACTTTAGTTGAACTGTGCTCAAAACCGTGTGCTTTTTTAAAAACTGGCCAACAAAAAATGTCCAACAGCTAAATTCCTTACTTTTATTCACATTGTCTGATGTTCGGTTTTGGAGTTGGCTGACCTAAGTTCATCTTCTTGTCCGTAACTAGTACAAACTGGACACCATCTTGTGCTGAGAAAAACTGCGTCATGGCCACGGTATTAACATTAACTTTAGTCATTATGTGATGTTATGTTCGGTTTTAGGAAGGCAGTTTGCACGTGTTTGTGCACGTGTTTGTGCAATTGGCCGCTTTCTTCCACTCTAACCTGTACTTCTATGTAATTCAGTTTAGGAAGCTCATTTTTAGCCTGATATAACTTAGTGGGAATAGCGGCTATCATTTTCTGATCGAAAGTTGAAACGTCAAACCACGTGATCATGTGACCTTTTTGCGGCACTCCCGACTGATCCAGGATCTATTGCGTCGACTATTTTTCACATCAGTGTTACCGCGGCAGAAGCAAGCAAGGAGGCAGAGGTGGGTGGGTTCCTGATGGTTATGCTGAGCTGCGCGTTTGTTCGTTTTTTTCCCCTTTGTGGCGCTACCACGGCCAATATGGCAGCGGTTAGCTGTCTCTGTCGCTTAGCAATTAGTTTCTGTCCCTCAGGCCTCAGCACCTTGTATGTGTGAGTGTGGGCGGGGGGTCCCAATTCGCCCTTTTCCTTCTACAGGTAACGGGTTTACCGTAATAATACCATGCAGACATGATAATGCAACTTTTCTATTTTTTAAAAATCTAGATTTGCTTCCCTGATGGCACAAACCAGAAAAAAACATCCAATAAAATAAGGCTGGGAAAATTGCATTCATGTTTCTTCAACTAAATAGCCTACATTTGAAATTTATTTTTACTCTTAGTTTCTTCGTCGCATTATTAGAGTAATAGCTTTCAATCTTTTGTCATTTTCTGTAACACTTGTAAATGTTACTGTACATTTTAAGAGTATTGTGCTGAAGTTTGATTTGAAGAAGCGTTTGAATCAAATTGAAATCGGAGTTTGTCAGAAAAACTGCTATTCAATCTTTTCCTAAAGCAGTTCAGCCCTACATGGGGCCAGATATTTCTGGAGTAATTTTTGTAGGTAAAATTAATAGCACAAACTCATGTTATAGTTCTTGTTTTTGTTTTGATACTATAAGCACATGCAATTGTTAAAATGAGGAATTATATGTTGCAGGAACCATGTTGATTAAGGCCAAACTTGGTGATGTTCAGAGATTTATCAGAATAACCGAGCCGAATCTGAAAGAGTTTTTGACTGCAGGTAAGACATTGATATCAAGCTTTCACTGTGAGCACTTTTAAGTGCAAATGTTAACATACTGTACCCAAAGCATATTATACCAAAATGAGTAAATAACTTGCGTTTTAGTTTGCATTAATGTACTGATGTTTGTTTACAGGAAATGTTCCAGATTCAATGGATATTTTTGAGTTTTAAACTAGAGTATATTCATATGGTTTACTAACACATTTCTTTTTCTGTAGCATTCTCAAAGTTTGGTGTGCCAGCTGTGACGGAAGGTGTCAAGGTTTTTGATAGTTCAGGAACCGAGTTGGATGAAGATGAATTTGAGGATGTAGTTAAGGATCCATCAGCTGGAGTGCTAACCATCAGATATGATTCAGGTTTGTTAGTTATTTTTTATTACAGCATCTCATTAACATGCCATTTCCCTAGTTGGTAAATGTTTTTCTTTCCACCTGCTTCTTCTATCTTGTCAGAATCCATCTCAGTGACACCATCTCCTGAGCAGTCTCAACTACTTTAAAATGAGTTGTCTGGCTCCCAAGAAACGATCATCCTCACAGAGAGTCCTTCTCGTAAAAGGCTGAGGCTCGACACAGAAGCCAAACATGTAAGAACTTGGGCTGTACATAGTTAACCGGTTAATTGTCGTTAAATGTTGTAACTGGGTAAAATAGTTTTCCCCGGTTAACTGTTAATTTTTCTGCTGAGTTTGGGTGTAATATACTTTGTGTCACTAGATGGCGGAAGAGCGCCGCTATCAAAATGTTTACCAGGTACCCGCAAAAAAAGAAATTCGCTTGTCACAAACAAATGTGCTGAAACACGGAGCGGCTAGCACAGCCTGAGAGCAGTTTATTCTTAGTTATTCCATTCTTGTAACAAAATGGTTCCGGTTAACCGGCTATTTACCGTTAAGGGGCATCAATAGCCGCTTAAAGAAATTTTGGAAAACATGCATCCCTAGTAAGAACTAACACGGAACATCAGAGCAGAGCACAACTTATTTGTGTGTGTGTGTGTGTGTGTGTGTGTGCAGTGTTATAATCGGTGGCATTTAAATTCATTTTTATATCCCTACTTATTATTGGATGTGTTCTCAAAATACTGAATTATTTTTCCTCTTTGATTGAAGTTGGTGAATTCCATTCTTGCCAAGAAACCTGGTGGGGAACACATCATAAATGAATATAATCGATTCAAGTCCCTGTCAGATGACACCAAAAGGAAAATGGTGAACATACTGGTAGCTGACATGACAGAGAAATTTGGGTAATTTGTCGATTGTCTAAAGCCACACTGGAAAATCTGCCAAACAAGTTCGCTCAAAAAATTTTTTTTTCATGCTTCTTAACATTCTATTATAGTATGGTTATAAATATTTTTGGGAGACAAAAAAGAAATAATGAAGTGCTTCTGTTGAATTTGTCTAAAATCCTCAACCAACAACATGGCTTAGTCCACAACCAGTGATTGGACCATCTGCTCTTCTGTCTCACCGAACCACAACCCTTTCCTGAATCGTACATTAATTACACACTTGTGCATTTTTGCAGCAGAACACCAATGGTGTGAGAGGTTCTCCGCTCTAATATCAGAGAAGGACAAACAGCCAGCTGCTACCACCAACTTAAGGACAAACTACCAAAATGAAAAACACATTTGGATGTAGAAAACGGCGACTGATGTTTAGCGCCCTCAGTAGGGATGGGTACCTTTGACATTTGAATTGATATGGTACCAATTCCGGTACCTACAAATCGATACCGGTACTTAACGGTACCGATTTTCGAGTGTTTAATAATTATTTAATTCTCTTTCACAATTAAATATATATATTTTTCTCTATATATAACCATATTTGATAAATATCACGATAAATAACATACAACTGTCTGTATTTTATCGTCGTCCTTGTAGTTTTATAAACTGTTAATTAAACTGAAGCAAACATCTTTACTGTGAACTAAATTTACTGTGTGTCTTCATTCCTTTTGCCGTCTTCTTCATTTGATTTTTCCTATTCAAAAGTTGGAATTTCAGAGGAGAAAGCGAACGTACCATTAGCTGATAGAAATGTTAACTAGAGCTGAAACAACTAATCGATTTAATCGATTATAATCGATTATTAAAATAGTTAACAACTTTTTTAGTCATCAATTAGTTGTTTAATAATCATATTTTACCGCATAAAGTCTATTTTTACCACAATCTGACATCGGTTACAATCTGTTAAATTTGCCGTCAGTGTGTGGCAGTAATGAGCCACTGATCTACCAGTGGAGCCGTAGAAGAAGAAACGAGCCAATAAGTGCCCTCGGTTTTCATGACGTATCACGTTACTGACGCGCATCTTGCTGTGAGAGATGGCGAAACAAGAAGAAATACGGAAGAAAAATAGAAGCGACAAAACTGAAGAGAGACCCCGGACAAAAACCTCACGAGTATGGGAGCACTTCACTAGATGTCATGAAAAGACGGGTGACCTGCAAAATATGCAAAAACCATCTAGCATGGCACAGAAGCACGACGTCCCTAAGTGAACATTTGAGACGAAAGCATGTGGGGGCTGATGCAGCAGAGGAAGAGCACCGCGGTCAAGTGAGCCGTCATTTGGAAGAGCCAGCCCGGTAAGTAATAGAAAATAAACAAGCTGGACGTAGTGTTTTAGCTGAGTTCGTTATACTGGATGTTAAACATGTTTTTTTTTTTTTTTTTTTTTTTTTTTTGCTGCGTCAGTCTACGGTGTTCTACTTCTGATTGACTAGATGCAATCGTGAATCTCCTCCGTGTTGTGTATCATGCGCTTGCCAAATTCAGCACGTCTGTTTATAAGAATGTTCTCGTTAAGAGAAAAACGGCACAAACCCATAACTATGTTCCTCATTCAAAAAAGGACAACTCCGCGGTGAAAAATATACAGACGAGCTGTGTCCAGGTGAATATAACGCGGCATAGTTGTACGCTTTCAATTTTTAAATACAGGAGAAATTCAGAAAGTCATTTTTTTACTATTAAAAGGCTGTTTTACTATCTAACACTGTAAAACGCCTCACAACACATTTTTATCATGTTTCTTAAACAGTATTACACAAAATAAACATTTTTCACATTTCTCTAGCTAATTCATACACTGCCCGCTCAAAGTAAAAACCTCATGAGCTTCTTACTTAGAGCTTTTTAATAGTAAAAAAAATTGGACTTTTATTCTGAATATCTCCTGTTGCGGGCTATTTTGTAGAACGTAACCCTCAAAATAAGTGATCACTGTATATTGTTAATTAATTCAAATAATATAATATTGATTTAGTGTTGTAGTGTGTGTGCTGCTTTATTTTATATGTGTACTTATTTCAGTCTATTTGTGTTTCTTATGCAGAAAAAAAACAAGCAACGATGGACAACTACATGGGGAACAAGACACTCACCCCTCAGCAATTCATACCACTTACAAACTATTCTAAACATGCTGGTAAAAGACATGAGGCCACTGTCCATGGTGGAAGGAGCAGGCTTCCAGCTAATGCTAAAAAATTATTCTGGACTGATATTTTGCACTGTTTAGCTCATTTTACACCGCTGACTGTGTTCATGTGCAATAAAATAGATTGCAGTCAACTGCACAATTCTCTTATGTTTTTTTTCTTAACTGAAATGCATTCATCACTTGTATAGGTTAAATAGCTAAACAATAACAAACCGATTAATCGAAAAAATAATCGGCAGATTAATCGATTATGAAAATAATCGTTAGTTGCAGCCCTAATGTTAACGCAAGCTAATTTATCAAGCTAAAGTTATCTTAAACAGTTAACCTGCTGGAGCAGATTACGACGATGATGCCTCACACTTAGATCGTTGTCGCTGGTTTCATCATCACCCAGTTACACATCGCATTTAGTGAAGTAGACCCAAACTTTAGTGCGCGTTGTTTCTAACATGCTGCTCTGTTTACTCCTCGCCTGCGACTAACGACATAATGCTGCCTAGGCAAGTTCTCGTTATGAAGGCCGGGTACCGAAACAAGGCACCGTTTCATATGACGTGAATTGGTACTCAGTCGGTACTATGGAATTCTGTCGGTACCTTAAAAAGTACAGAATTCGGTACCCATCCTTGGCTCTCTGTTGTTTACTGTGGCAATGCACATTCAGGGATCAGGCAGATGTGGTCTAGGGATGATACCTGATGGGAGAGTGAGAGTTTTGTGACCATGTTTGGGTTTAAGAGCTAGCTCGTTTTGCAGATTTGCTGTTACAGCTTTAATGTAGCTTTTAGACGACATTCAAATCTTTATTTCTATTTAATATAAATGAGATATATAACAATTTTATTAGTTGTAAATAAAGATTTTATTATTAAAGTTGATTTTTTTTTTTCATTTTTTTTTTATATTGCAGTACATCACCACACAGGGAGGTGAAAGAGATTTATGCCAGAGGAATTGTGAGCCTATTCCCCAACCTTGGTGATCCATTCTCCAGGACTGGTTATGTAAGTTATACAATATAATTCAGTTCATTTTATGTATATAACGCTAAACCATATAACGAGTCATCTCAAGCCACTTTGCAAAGGAAACTTTCCTACTGAACTTGGTTTGGAAGCAGATGGACTTCAAAGAAATCTGAGTTTGTTTTTGTGATATTTCCACCCTAGGAGCATTATTATGACGGTGACAGTGGGACTGGGTACTTGGTCTGGAGGATTAAAACTATTCAGAGATTCGCAGCTAGAGACAGAAGATCATCATATGGAGGTAACACTATTGTACTACGGAAATATCTGAAATATATTTGTTTATTTCAGGACAATGGTGAAAGATGAGTTAAGTGCCTGTCTTGTACCTGAAGGGTTGTGGGATCGAGTCTCACTCAGTCTGCCACAGTAGTTGTGTCCTTGGACAAGACACTTAACCTATCTTGCCTGCTGGTGGTGGTCAGAGGGACCAGTGGCACATGTTCTTGGCAGCCTCACTACTGTCAGTGTGTCCCAGGGCAGCTGTGGCTACATTGTAGCTTACGTAAATGTTTGAAAGACTGAATGTGTTGTGAAGCACCTTTGGGGGTTGTAGAACTCTAGAAGGCAAGATACAAATAGAAGCCATTTGCCATTTATTTATATTTCACCTTTCAGTTTGGTGTTGAAAATGTTGCTCTTTTTTTTTTTATGTCATATTGTGTAGCATCATCTGAACGAGTACCTTGTGAAAATGGGCTTGGACCAGCTGCCAAACAAGATCCTCAGTTTGTTCCAGAGACTGTCCTGAATGAAGATGAGTGCAAAAAAGCCGTCACACTGATGAAACATTCAGCTGATGAGGACACAGTCAAGAAGAAGATGAAGCTGACATTTGACTTCCACCGCAACATTGTCCTCGATCCAGACCAGTCAAGCAACATACTGTCTGTCTTTCCACGTTTCAGGGATGTCAAAGGCTTGGTAATGTTATATTACTTAAAAAGAAAATTAACATTTACATAATTTTGTTTTTAAGAAGGCTATGTACAGAATAACACTTAATAACACTGTTTGTGAAATATTAAAGTTTGCTGTTCTTGTTGTCCTAGGTGGAACAGGATTTTGTTCTGATGTTTGGAGAGGATGTCTCTAGCAAGTTTCTTGAGAAATGGACATCCACTTTCAAGACAAAGATCATCCAACAATGCAGACGTCTTCCATCCAACAATGACCTTGAAAATCTCCTCCTAGCAGCTGATCCTTTTGAGGATGACACTGAAGTGGACTATGACGTTGGTATGATTTTTTTTCTCCATATACCATTGATTGTACCTGTTACGTGTGTTTCACTATAAACCATGTTAGTGTTCAGTTCTTTCGTTGAAACGAGTATCCGGTAAGGTTAAAAGCATTTTTGACGAGCACGAAACGAGTAAAACTCATAAATATCTGTAATCGTGTTGAAGGAAAATCCTCATTGGCTGTCTGACTGTCTTCATGCTCTGTGATTGGCCGGTCACATTGAGCGCCCGCCCCTCCCTACACACAAAACTGCAGCCGAGAGGCAGCTCTGTCAGTGTCCGGTCGATCCACGCACACACACAGACAGTAACGGATCTCTCTGTGCTTAATTAACTGTTGTTCACGTTTCTAAAGTGCTCCCTAGGTCTTCTTCAGTTCGATTTTTTTTACAGTTACTTTAAAGTTATTTAAAGTTACTTTTTTCATAATGTACGTGGTGCATTTGACAAGACAGAGCTGAAAACGGCTCGTGCTGCGTCAGACACTGCCTCCGCTCCGGTCGGGTGTTTTTTTTCCCCTCCCTCTCTCTCTCCTCTTCCTCAGGATCCACTCCCTCTTTCCTATTCACTCTCTCTTTCCTTACATTTTTTAATCACAATTGTCTATTATTTGCTCTGAAAAACAAAAATATTTGTGTAAATATAGTTGTTATTTCAGAACATAAACTTAATGACCTAGTGTGCATTTAACAAAGTAACCTGACATTTTTTTTCTCACTAAAGTCTGTTTAGTAGGCAGGGTGTCCGCGGGGTTTTAAAAAGTATTAAAAAGTGATAAATAAAAATAGTCAAATTTAAGGCCATTAAAAGTGTTAAATTTGGTCTCAGAGGTATTATTTTTTCCAAGTTAGGTATTATTTTTTTCAGACTATCATGTGTCGTATTCTGAACATCGACATAGAAATATATTCCGAATGAAATGTTTTGAACGATTATAAAAATAAAACAAGCCGATTATTTGCTCCTCCCACTTGAGCTGCCCTGAGTTACAAATGAAGCGCTCCGTTGCCAACTTAGCGACTTTGATGCTATTTCCAACAGCTTTTCAGACCCCCTTCTTGACTTTTTAAATCTTAAAAGTACCTAGCGAACACCTCAGAAACATCTCTGGTAACCCTTAGCTACTTTCTGGATAACTATCGTCGACATTTCCTGCAGGTTAGCTAAACACTCCGCCTGCGCTCCGGACCGTTCTTCAGGACATTAGGAAAGGGAATGATGCAGTGATGTGTCGGTCGCTAAAGACAGCTCTCGGAGCCGGCTCCCTGTTGGATTAACCAGAGTGAGTGACACACACCGTACCTGCGGACTCCTGAGCCACTAAAAACGGCTAAGTGTGCGCGTGCGGCGCGCTAAACACACGTGCAGCTTGCCCCGATTGCTGTGAGACCGGGTTGGGGGGTGGGGGGTGCAGCTGTGGTTGGGACAATTATTACATTAACTGATGGACTTGTAAATAAATAGTTTATAAATAAGGTAGAAATAAGTTCCTCACGCTGATAAATGATAACTAATCTCTCTGAGGACATGGTGCTAGTGCACTCTACTACAGCACCTTGACATGACTCAATAAATGTTATGCAACATTTTGTGAACATTAATTTATTTGCATTTATTTGTTATAAATGCCACTGTATAATTCTTGCTGTCAGTATTTGCAAGATATTGGTATTTGGGTCTGTACGGGTTAGACTTAAATGAGTTAAACCAAGGTCTACAGCCCTTGGGTCATAAACTATGAGCTATAAGTATATTGGTCTTTTTATACTGGGAATCAGGAGTTCTTTTAGTGATCATCTTGTTTCTTGTTTATTTTTGCCCTGATTGTGCCCTGAGCAGTTTTATGACTGAATAAAAATAAATTAAAAAAATCTACATAAATTGAAACATCGTCTTAAATAATCGAGATCTCAATTTCAGTCACAATAATCGTGATTATTGTTTTTGCCATAATCGAGCAGCCCTACTTTAGCATATCCGGTCACATAATGATGACGTCATATTCAGTGGTCGTTGTGCATCATTTCAGGCCTCGTGGTCAACTGTCTGAACCGCTGAAAAGAAGTGCCTGGCATATTTTCTAAGTAAAATAAATATGTGCAATACGTTGTCAACATCAGTGAGTCTCTAAGTCTATGTTTTTTGTATGTTATATATGTTAAAATATGTGTAAATAGGTCGCTGATTAACACTTGCAATTTAGTGTTGTGATGGTTTTAAAAAAATTCTGAAGGTAGTAAAAAAAAGTATTAAAAAGTAGTAAATTTTACTTAAGGATTGCTGTATATACCCTGAGTAGGTCAAATCAACACTTTTTAAAAAATATTTTTATTGAAAGAAGAAAACAGTACTTGCAATTACCAAAATACAATTAACCTTTCTTCATTTTTCTAGGTAAATAACAACAAACAAACAGAACAACAAAAAAAGGGGGACAAGACAATTAAACACAAAAACAAAGACACCCCCCCCCCCCCCCCCCCCCACACACACACACACACACACACACACACACAGATCAACACAATCATCAAACATATTACCGGAATATAACAATAACAGAAGTACATTTAAACAGGTAATACCTCTAGACTAGTAAAATAAGAGATAAAGTGTTGCCACTTATGAAAAAAATTGGCCGTGCAACCTCTCAGCGTATATTAAATTTTTTCAAGTTAAAAAAAACATGATATCTTTAATTCACTGGGAAACAGTAGGACACTTAGCAGACTTCCAATGTAACAATATTAGACGTCTCGCTAATAGGGATGTGAAGGCAATAATATCCTTTTGTGTGGAGTCCAGTATAAGTAAGCGATCAGGAATCCCGAATACCGCAATCAGAGGACAAGGATGAAGAGTTACCCCAAGAACAATTGACAAATTAGCAGAATACCCTGTCCAGAAACGTTGTACACTCTTAACCCGAATTAGCTGACTTTACTCGCAAATTGCGAGGAAACCCGTTGCCTTATACCACTTTAGTTTTTACACATGCTGAAACTAAATATTTTTAGTTTAACTAACATGGAATGTTAAGTTTTTACACAAGCTGAAACTAAATATTTTTAGTTTAATTAACATAGAAGGTTAAGTTTTTACACAAGCTGAAACTAAATATTTTTAGTTTAATTAACATAGAAGGTTAATTTTTTACACAAGCTGAAACTAAAAATTTTTAGTTTAATTAACATAGAATGTTAAGTTTTTACACAAGCTGAAACTAAATAGGTTTAGTTTAACTAACATAGAAGATTAATTTTTATACAAGCTGAAATTTAACTTTTAGCTGTATAAATATAACCTGAATTTTTATATTTTTTGTGTAGTCAAAATTATTAAATAACAAGCTATTGTTATTGGTACTTACTAAAAATTACAATTATTGTATTTTCCTCTAACAAAATAATTTTTATGAATTATAAAAAAACATTTTTACAATGAAATTGGATAGGAAAAGAAACAAAACCTTCAAATGCTCGATGCATTTTATTTTTAAGAAAAAGCCACAACAAAGCCAATGTCAATTTTAGCCTAAAATTCAGTGAACAGCAACACATTCAACCTAAAATGTAACAGTCTGTCTTATTTTAGCTTATATTTTGGTGAACAGCAATACATCCAAACTTAAATAATCCTGAAAAAGGTCATAACTAATTTAAACAGTTATGAGTGTGGTAGTGTGTGTGTGTGGTTGTTGGTGCCTGTGTTTTCTGTGCTGCTTGTGTGTGTGTGTTTGTGTGGGGTGGGGGGGTTGAATGTAACAACCAACAAAAAACAGTATTCCCAAAAAAACCTCATTTCAAATGTATAATTACAAACAGGATCTGCATCATCTGCCTACATTAAGGGAGGTCAACAGACAAACTAACAAATACTTTCTTATTAGAACAATATCCATCTCCATCTACAAAGACTTATGATGTAACAACTTAAACAATATCTTTCTTTCAGCTACAACTCTTCAATTTTTACTTTCACGTTACATGCTTCTACTTACTTCTAAAGCATCTAAGTGTGTGTGTGTGTGTAGAAGTTTATGTCTAGTGTTTTTTGTTTGTAGGTGTTGTATGGGACTGTTCTGACTGGGTGCTGAATGTGTCTGTTTCTGTGTTTTGTGCCTTTTTGTTCGGCTGTTTTACAGAACCAAAAACATGAAAAAAAAGCTTGTCACAGTAGAGATGACATCACTTTACATTGTAAGCAGATTTTTCAAAGATTGAATCTTTGGCTTTAGGTCAGTGTGGCCTAAAGAGAGCAAAATCTGTTTGGATGAACAGAAAGGTCAGCTTCATACTTTTAGGATAGTTAAGATGGAGTGCATACGTGAGTCCAAACAGAATGCACATTGCTTTGGGCAGATCTTGGATGTTTTCCATCACGACTTCTCCCTCAATGATAATTTTCAACAAGGTTGGACTTGGATGCTGGGCAGATGTGAGCACAGCCTCTTCACGCTCAGTGAGAAGAATCCCGATGTCAAGGTCACGAAAAAAATCTGCATCTGATTCCTTGTAAAACAAAAGTACATAATCATTAGAATATTCATTACAAAAATAAACTTCAATCAGTATACCACAAGAGTGTCATTGTAAAATGTAGAAGGAAAGAGTGGAATAGAGGCTCCGGGAAGACTTGCAAGTGCTATAAAACAATCTTCATAAGTAGATTGACAGGGTTATTGAAACAAAAAACAAACAACCAAACAGAGTTTAAATATGCAGCATCCTATAGGAAGGAATGTCGATTCACCAAACAAAATATAGGGCTGGTACCTTCAATTTAATTGGGTAAAAAGCAATTTTGAACTGGATCAGTATAAGTGCCCCTGGAGATGCCAAGAAGAATATTTAAGGGAATAAAAACCTGGAAATACACAAAGTATTTATACAAAATAAAAAGAACCAACACAAAAAAGATAAAAAGTAAAAAACCTGAAAATAAAATAGCAAACAGGATGCAAAGATAATAAACAGTACATCTAGGGATAAAAGG